CTCGGCTTTCCTTCGCACAGATCTTTCAGGCGCTCTCGCCTTCCTTTCGAACTTCGTTTACACACCTCCAACACTCGACACAATGCGCCATCATGGCGGACAACGCCGCAAAACTCGCGACTCTTGGTGTGCTAGGCAACTTTTTCGACAACTACAGCCTCGCCGACTTCACCGTGGTATGCCGCGGCAGCACCTGGCCAGCGCATCGACTCGCGCTCTTCATGGCTTCGCCAGTCTTGAGAAAAGCGTGTGATGGCGATTTCAAGTAAGCAATAGATGTGAGTGCAAATCGTATTTGAGCCAGCAAGCAAGACATGGCAGGGGTACTGACCGGCCGTAGCGCAAGATCGACCTATCTGACCACGATACGGCTCATGTCAGAGCTCTGCTGGAATACATCTACAAGAGCGACTACAACGGTGCCGAAACTGTCAAGAACAATGTGAACAAGATGGTTTTCCACGTCAACATGTGCTTCGTTGGCGACAAGTACGACATCTCCGAGCTGAAGAACGTCTCCACGCGAAAGTTTCAGAGTGTGATCGGTCAAGTCAAGCAAGGCAACGAGCTCGCAGAGGTGTCAAGGTTGGCTTATAGTGGAGCCAGCGCCGTGCGTACTATCTGCGACAGCATCGTGGATTATATCTTCGAGAAAGATCTGGTGACCGCATGTTCGGACAACAAACAGCTGGAGGAAGCCATGGAAGCATACCCTCGGTTGGCCATTGACCTCATCAAGATCCGCGGCCCGAAGACCAAGAAGCCGAAGGAGGCGACGGAGAGGCAGTACTGCTGCCCGAATAAGAAGTGCACCTGTGTTGTAACGGCGCACATCTGGGACACCCCCACTCTCGGGTACACTTGTCCTGCTTGCGCGATCTGGTCCTATGGAAATACTTGGACGAGGGGTCTTGTCAAATAAAGGAAGTCTTCGAAGTTACACCCGCGGAGCAGCAGTGCTTGTGCATCAAGAACTGCGAACTAATTCGCCAGGCCGAGATGCTGAGGTGGAAGACCCACGCAGCATAGGAGGTCAAACAAAGACCAGGAAATGGGCATCAAGCTCATTCACGAGTCCCTTCTGTCAAACTTTGATAGTCAACTTGGAGAAATACTTGTGTCCTTCCAGTCTCTCGTAGCACTCCTTGACCTGCTCTACGGCAAAGTCGACATCGTCCTCTCCTCCACGAACCTCACCAAGTTTCCAGACGGCGCTCTCGTGCCCAAAACAATCTCTCCCACAGTGAGTACATATTGAACAATGCAGTCATCAAAGGTACCGCCTCTGGTCCTTGAACCGTCAGTATACCCGTCAAGATGACGGATCCGCCAGTGCGCACTGCTCTAACTGACTCCAGTAAAGTACCGTCTCCACCGACTTCGACGACGCAATCACAGCCTCGCCCATCTTTGTGATCCTCCTGATCTCTTGTCCTCAATTTGAAGTCGTACACTCTCCGCTCATAGCTTCTTCAATCTTGCAGCTTTCTCCTTTTTTGAAGTCGTAGCAACCACATTCGCTCCTTTTGCAAATGCGGACTGGAGAGCTGCAATGCTAAAACCTCAATTTCCTTGCACAAGCACCCGAGCGCCTTATTTGACGTCTTGGAGAGCATCTCGAGCCGTCATCCACTGCATGTCAATGTCGCCGCTTTTTCGAGACTCGGGTTCTTTGGTCCAGGCACGAGCGCTGACTCGTGCAAGACACCGTAATCTCTCACTGGCTCATCTTTGACATGCTCGATACCGACACAGACATCCGGGAAAGTGGGATCATGGTCTTCTACCACATTCGGACAAAGTTGGGTGACGACGCGATCGCCTTGCTTGGAGTCTTTCACTTTGCTGCCAACCGTTTTGACGGTACCAGCACCGTCAGAGTCAGGGACAACTTCCTTGTAGTAGGTTCAGTACGGAGTATGTCGACGATTCGATTCCGATGGATGCTCAATGGCCAAGCACGCTGACATCTTCGGAGTAGCATAACCCAGACCATCTTGGGTACTCACGTAAGACCATTGAATGTCTGGAAGATCGCCATCGCAAGCTTGTCTTGAACCCAATAGTCCTCATCCACACCTGAGACCGAGAGCTCGACGTGAGTCCCGTTGCATAAAGCGCCATGCCGCAATTTGTCCTTTGCCGCGGCAGAATTCGAGGCGAATTTGTAAGAAGCGATCTGATCGCCCCATGATTGAATTTCAAATCAAAGTTCGGGGTCCCGGACTGAAAATGGTCGAGCGTCAATTACACCGCGGAAAAGCACTGACAGACATCGAACAATCATGGAGTATCCTCTCTATGTCCTGTAGCAAATTCTTCCAAGATACAGGCGAGCGTTTGCGCGTTGAAGGACGTTGGTTCGTATCAGAGCAATGAAGTTTCTTGTCATGACCTTGATCTCGCGGGATTCCAGGTCTTGCTCGAACGCTAGGATATTGTTTTGCATGCCTGGAGTAGGACCGCACAGCTCGGCCTACTAAGTTGAAAAGCCGAAGAGACATACTTGGGTCCAAAAAAGGACTCGAAAATGTGTGACTGGCCTTGATACTAACGCTAAAACACTTTGACCACGGGATAGTCAGAAGACCGCGGCTCTTCGCTCGCAGTGACAGTGAGTCGTTCTTCGGTGCTGATTTCTGCATGGCATTGAGCGACCATACTCTGCTCCGAGCTATGAGGCATCGTCCTTCGACGGGAACATAATCAAACCTCCCAGGAGATCTATCCGACGAAGATCCCAGAGGTGCAACGCATGACGACTACCATCAAGAATGACAGGCTGTTTCATATACTCTCTCGCGGTCGAATAATCCAGGCCGAACGTGACCCGGGCGATCCGGTCGTCCAGTAGTTGTAAGTCGAAGCAGAGCCTTGGGTCTCCGGGCAAGAGATGGTCGTGCACGCATGATACCACGAAGCAAAACTAACAAGCATCGGTAGACGTTGTCGGTGTCCCCTTGAGTCGGGTTGATGGATTGTTCGAGGTGTATTTGATAATTTGCTGTCCGTAGAATTCACTCTTCAGAAAGAGCGATCAGGTCTCATGTTATTCTTCCAAAGTTTTGAGGCTCTAATTCCTCGAAATGCTCTTCAAGACCCTGGTCCATCGCAGGAACTCGCAAAAGGACATCAAGCCGGCCTTGCGTGATGCTTCGAAACTCTTGACGAAGTTGTCGGAAAGTCGCCAAGAGCGGCTGCCCTATTAACAAGTTCTCCAAGAGGTCACCTTTGTAGTCGCCGGGATGTTCAAAGTCGATGACGGTCTGTGGTACTTCGTCATACTCGTATATAGTGTCTCGCAGCTCGCGCGGAAGCTCCAAGAAGCGACAACGCAGTCTACTCTATAGGAGTTTGCCAAATTTTGCCAAGCTACAAGACCGTTTCACCTGGACCTTAGCTCTCCTTAGGCTACTAATGTTAGACCGGGGCACTCGTGTTACAAGGGTGCAGTCAAGAGCTGGTAGTATTTGCCACTCTGTACCCTTTATAACTCGCACTTTAGCAGACTATACTCGGCCAATCAGCGATTTTGTACGTTCTTTTTAGCCAATCAGCTCGTGCGCTCTAGCACAAAATCCAGGCCGCCTACGAGCGCGATATACGTCTGCTACGCCTACCACGCCTGCCACCTGCTACGCCTATTATACCTACTATACCTGCCACGCCTGCAGTGCTACTTCCTCAGCCTCCGGCGGCTATTGCGTAGTGCTTCTTAGCTAGGGAAGATCCCGAGAGCCCCCTTTCTTTCCTTCTCAATGATTTATCAAACGCTACGGGAGGCTCTAGGGGGGGGCTGTCCACTCGTTTACTAACGTTGTGGCCCTCCGCAAGCTCCGGGACTTCTAGTGCTCACTCGCTCACGGTCGTCCCCTGCCGCCGGCCCTTCGCTTAATAAATTCATCGTCCAGGGAAAGCATAAAAGTCGCCTCTTCGCCCTTCTAGTTTGGCTACATGTAACCCAATATTATCATTACAGCAATCATGCAGATCTCTGTCCTATCCATTATTACTCTCGCCGCTGCGGCTACAGCGCAGAATTTTTACTTGGCCAACTCATGCACCGCGGGTGGTCTTGCGGGTTGCAAGTCCCAGGGCTCTTACGGTTGCGTTCAATATACGACCGGCAGCAATCTGTCAGGCCCGACCTGCGTCAAGCAGACCACCAAGTGCGACAGTATATGCAAGACCGGTTACGCTTACCAGAAGGATAAGTAAGTACTAGTATATAGTAAGTATGAGCTAGATACTAATTTGTTTATAGAAGCGACGATACCACTTGCATTTGTACCCAGACAAGCGATGCTGGCAAGCCCATCAGCCAGGCCAACTAGGGGCGATGCGGTAGGGAGGCTCAGGAACGATAGTCTCCTAGTGAACGACGGACGATGTTGTTGGGGGCGATGCGGCAGAGAAGGCTCAGGAGCTATAGTGTTTCCGACAGCTTGACGAATTCCCACACTGAAACATCTAAGATCAGTAGCCTTTGTGTCGGTATCATACTTCCTTGGGCCAGTAGACCCAGCGTTTCAAGAACCGCATTGCGTAGTGTCTCCAGCCTTTGGTACTTCGACATGCTCGTAAACAGTGTCTCGCAGCTCGCGCAGAAGCTCCAAGAAGCAACAACGCATTTTCTATCTAGTTATCAGCAACTTCCTGGACACAACCTATCTCGCGACTTGCCTCGGCTGTCGTCGTGTTCAGAGTGGCGTTCAAAGCGATGCTCCGAGCGGAATAAGTTTCTAACGTTCTCAAGGCTGCATTTGATTTCGGTTGATGATGGTCGGGTTTTTGTGTCTTGGTGCAATTGAAAGTCGATGGAGTGGGGAAGGAAGGTGCACTAACTAAGCACCTACACGTGGGTCACATGCTCGAAACAGACTTGTTTGCACACAGCGCGTAGCTAGTGAAGCCGCTGTTCCATGATTCTGAAGCATACACTGCTGACTAATGAGTTCAGTTATGGATAATACAACCCAGAACTCCATTTGCAACCAGAGTAGACATCAGCAATTCGAATACATTAATTCCAGGGTTCCATGGAGGCTGGTCCAGCAGTCTCAAAAGCTCTCTCGACATTTGCTCGCATCCGCTGGTAGGACCTTCGATCACCTCAGTGTGTCATTCCAACCAGGCAGAAAGACGTCTTGCCCGCCAGCAAAAGAAAGACAAAAGATACCAACAGCAAAAGCCTCCCCTTTCCTGCCAGGTCCAACTCAATGCTCTATCGCGCTCGCTCCCGAAACCTTCTTGACGTGCATATAGAGGCACAGGCGAGGGATAGCAGTGTCTCCAGCCTTTGGTGGATCTTGACAATCGAAAATGTGGATCCGATCAATGGTGTAAGCCGATCCAAGTGCCTTCTTGTGTTGAGCGAGCATGTAGGCGACACCACGAATGCTTGGCGCCGAGATAAGAGCCATCGCTTGGTAAGACTTGTCGCTCTCGACATTATACGCCTTGCCAGGCCACTGACAAATCGCTCATATTAGCGAGAAGATTAGCGAAATCAGGTGGAGCTCGATACTCACCACGCCTAGATCAGCAATTCTCAATCCACCTCCGCGAGCCTCAGCTTCAATCCCGGTGACTTCTTTGAGAACCTTCTTGGTGCTGCTCTCGATAACGTGATACTGAAAGACATGTTCAAATCCTCTGGTCGCTGGGGTTTGTGCTGGAAGTTTCGGGAGATACTTCTTCCTTTTCACGAACTCGGCTCCGAGCCAGACCACGTCGCTCCATCGCCGGAGTGGAAATTCCTTGTTGATTTCGGCTTTGGTGACCTCTCCGCTTTCAATCTCAGCTCGCATACCATCCTCGATGCCGAAGTTGTAGTTCCCTAGCAACACCCCCTGTCGGAAGTTGACCGGATTGTCCAAATCGGCTCTGAATGTCTTGGTCTCAGATCCTGGAACTTTGACAGAGCAGAAAGCGTTGTTGCTGAACCAATCGCGCGGCTCTCTACTGATGTCGAGCCCGTTCATTGCACTTGCAAGTCCCGAGAGGAATTGGACGCCTCTAAAATCCGCGTAGCCTCTTAGAGCCCATTTATGACTCTCGAGAATGCTCTGCGGAGAGCTGCCATCGTCCTGATAAATAGAATCCCTGGATGTGTCCATTGAAAGCATCGAGTGGTACACCTCTACCCCTTTTTGGACCCAGGTCAGCTTGTTCTTCTCTTCGCTAGAGATATGTTGATGATTGACGTCTGGCTTGTCAAGAAGCCCCTGAAGATGCTTGGGAAACCAATTATAGTTGCTCTGATCTGCAGAGCCAGTGCCATGTTGAATAGAAGAGGCAGATCCTTGACCTGGAGGAATATTCTCATTTCCTGGCTTAGGAGGGGTGCCAGAGCCTCCTACGCTGGTGCGAGCGAGTAGACCATCATGCACTGCCCGGGAGATCTGATGAGTTCCAGGTGGATGAAGACTAGACTGCCATGGGAGAAAGACACAGAGAGCCACCAAGCCGATGAGGCCGGTAATGATGAATGTGGAGAACAATCGTCTCTTGCGGATCAAAGCTTGAGCTCGCGCCGTAAACGAAGCTGACATCTTGACATCGATGTTGTGATCGAAGCTCTTTGGCTTGCAATTGATTTGTTGATCGGAGGCGTGGGAGTGTGAATGCCGTGTTTGAATTGATTTTCAAGATTCTCTCAAGTCGGAGACTTCTATGTAGGCTAGTTGTTTGCCTCATTGCATCTCTGCTGTGCTGTCTCTGGAGAGGTCAGCCGCTTGAACAACACCGCAGTCCTGTTGGCGGTCACTCTTTAATGATCACGTTCCGGGAGAGCAAACTCATTGGGCCTAGGGAGATGCAGACAAGTCTCGAGAAGCAACTACAACACCAAGGTTTAGGAAGAAGGCCAATATCGACGGAGCTCGTAGGGAAGTGGAAGCCAAGACTGTCAAGGTTGGAGTTCAAAAAGTGGAACAAACCAAGACTCCAACATACACGGAGCGATATCCCCCGCAATCTGGAAGCAACACGTCCTTGTGTATTACTCTCTCTTGATATTATGGAGCTTGAGAAGCATGCCTGAACAGATTCTCATCATCTCCAAGTTACCTAACGGAAGACTCAAGTGTCGGAGCAACTATAGGTGAGAAGCCTACCTTAGATGTGGTCTCCCCCAGCGTGTGGATAGATTCGACTACTTCCCACTGAACACTACTTCACAATACCTCGTTCTACCGGCGAATACTCCATCTACGAAAGGGACATTCGCCTTTGCCAAGAATGAAATGTTCATTGACCGGCCTGATTCGAAGGCAGATGAAAATTGCCTAAAGCGGTAAGTTTCAGCATCTCGTCCGAATTCAAATCATGGCATGTGAAGTCGAGGTCAGATCACGCAGCAGAGGCCGCTAGCAATTATCCTCATATATCTATATCTTCACCCAACTAGGCTCGGCCATCTCCAAAGAAATTTCAGCCTTTGTCGCACCTGTCGTCGTGATGAGAGGTAGTGTGCTAGTATAGTAACGACGAACCACCTTCTAGCTCATTTCCAGTTTTTTTTTTAAGAAAAAAAAACCCTACCCACCAAAAATATCGTGCATGACTCCGCCATATCTCACGAGACGTTATCGTTACCCACGACCACATCGCAACCCCTCATCGAAATTCAACACAGCCTTCCCCAACACCATAGCCGCCTCAGCGCAGTCTTCCATACTCGACCACTCCGCCGCGGCATGCGAGATCCCCTCCTTGGCTCTCGCAAACACCATCGCAGTCGGACACAGCAGCGTGGTCATCGTACTATCATGCGCCGTCAGAGTGCGAGCCGCAATGCCCCTAGGCCCGCAAGCGCGCTTGACGCAATCGACAGCCTCGGGCCAGAAAGTGCCCGGCTCGAGATGCATGATGCGTTGGACGTGCAAGCGGAGCCCGGCGGCCTGCGCGCGGGAGTGTGTCGCGGTGGAGATGTCCTCGGCCATGGCGGCGAGGTGGCGGGCATCGGGGTTCATCAGGGCAAAGACGACTTTGGTCCAGGACTGGATATTGCAGCAGCCGACGGGACCGGATTGGAGGTTCGTGACGGTGGTGGAGGAGCCGTCGTGTCGGGAAGCGAGGGCTTCCAGGTCGACGATCATCTTGGCGGCGCCGACGAGGGCGTCTCGTCGACGGTGCATATCGTACGTGTTCGCGTGGCCGTCGAGGCCGTGGAAGGTGTATTCGAACATGGAAATCCCCTGCCAGCCTTCTACCCAGCCGACCGGCTTGCCCGCTTCTTCCAGCGTCGTGGCCTGCTCGACGTGGAGCTCGAAATGCGCGGAGATGGGGAATTCTTGAAACGTGTTGGGCCCATCTCCAATGTATCCGATGGACTGCAAGGCGGCGCCGAGTGTCTCCCCACTGCCGTCGTTGGCTGTGCTCGCATGAGCGGCGCTGACGTCTTTCTCGCCCGCGTAGACGACCGAAGAGCCTAGTGGCGGGAAGAAACGCGCGCCTTCTTCGTTCGTCCAGTTGATCAAAGTAATCGGTGCGAACGTCTTGATGTCCTGCTCTCTCATGGACCTTACCACTTCTAGGGCACCTAGGACGCCCAGGGCCCCGTCGAAGCGACCACCCGTAGCAACAGAGTCCAGGTGCGATCCCATAGCGATGGGCGGCAGGTCGTTATTTTCGCCGGCAAAAGTAGCAAACTGCGAGCCTGTCCCATTGACGGTATACGTTGTTGGCCCTAGAGACCGGACCTGGTCTGCAAACCAGTCTCGAGCCAGCTTGTCGTAGGGTGTCCCGCTGAGCCTCGATAAGCCTCCAGCCTTGGTTGTGGCGTTCGGCGCCGACCATTGAGCCGTATGATGGATATCGTTCCTGGAAAGCACCATTCATCAACCTCAACTACGTTCGGGAGCGCGCGAATGGACCTACCACAAGCGTTCTGCGTTGATCCTAAAAGCCTGAGCAATAGGAGCATTGAGATCGGTATATGATCGCTTGAGCTGGACCGCGAATCTCAGCTTTGGGACAAGACTTCCACGTCGTGTCAGCATCATCGTGTAGGTTTGAGTTACAAATATCTCGACAACTACAACGATGCTTTCTTGAGTGTCAGGATGCGATCCTGGGAATCCTCCTTTACTACGGCGTTTAGAGGCGGTGGAGACCTGAGAACGCCCTATCGCCCAACGCGGCGAGGTACATTGACCCGGGGGTCTACGATCAATCCATCGTCTCCGAAGAGACTCGTCTCAGTCGAGAGTGTAGAAGAAAGCTATGCAACGGCCTTGGTGAATGCTGACATGTTATCACCCCAATCAGCGCAATGCTGGTCTCACCCGCAACTGTGGAAAACAGCAAGTCTGGAATGCCGATCTCAACGACATGTATCAAAGTGCAGAGAGACCGTGGCGTGCTTCATCACTGGAAAGCGACGGCAGCTCAGCTACCCTAGGAAGTTGGCCGACGGCATGATAAGAGTGATCAGTCGTCAAGTTGGCCTATCAGCTGGAGCTCTCGAACGCCGACTGCTTTTCCTTTTGGGAAGCGCTCTGCAACAGATAAATCACGTCTGCGTCGCAGCCACGCGAAGCGCACACGTACGTCGCGCATACGAACACAATGTCGGAGCAAGACCTCGACGTCGTACCCGGAACAGTGCACCTGGTCGATCTCGCAGGCCAAGGAACGCCGGGCCAACATGATCCCAAGAACTCGAAGATCGTGCTGGTGCCACAGCCAAGTCGAGATCCAGAAGACCCATTGAACTGGAGTCGGAGGCGCAAGTTCTGGTCTTTGACGATGCTGTATGTGTACATACTTGGAGTGGGGATTCCGACGACGCTGCACTACTCTGTCATCGCCGATATCACTCGGGACACGGGCATTTCGACCACGGATCTCGTTCAAGGTAACGGAGTCATGTTCCTCTTCCTCGGCTGGGCTTGTCTTTTCTGGCAGCCGATTGCGACGACATACGGGCGACGAGGCGTGTACCTCATTTCCATTCTACTGACGGTACCCATCATGATCTGGACGGCACACTCTTCATCCGCCGGTGTTTGGTACGCCCATCGAATCTTGATCGGTATCGTGGGTGCACCCATCGAGGCATTGCCCGAGATCAGCATTCCCGACGTTTTCTTCGTAAGTGTTGGAACAGAGTCTCTCCCGGGTGGGAGTCGCTGATTGGAGTCAGGCACATGAGCGAGGCACTTGGATAAGTACGTACGTCTTGCTGCTGTTCGGTTCCAACTTCCTCGCTCCATTGATGGCTGGATGGTTTGACGATGCCTACGGCTGGCGCTGGACAATGTATTTTGGAGCCATAGTGGCGGCGGGTGCTTTCGTCATCCTGTTCTTTGGGATGGAGGAGACGATGTACTTCAGAAACTCCGTGGAAGGAATTGAAGTGGCGCCCACGCCGCCAGAACAGACAGCGGAGAAACAAAGCTGGCCAGAAAAGCAAGACAGCAAGTTCGTCACGTCCCCGGCGGCTTCCGAAGTCAAGGAGTCCAATGCTCCGATTTTCGCTCGGAAGCGATCGTACGTGTCCAAGCTGAAGCCGTTCGTGCTCTTGCCTGGACGACCAAGTTTGAGACAGGTTGGCATCATGATGTATCGGCCTCTGATGATCATCGTTCGATTCCCGAACGTCGCATGGGCTGGCTTCATTTACGGCATCAATCTGTCCTGGTACAATGTTCTGAATGGCACGACCAGTCCAGTTCTCTCAGCCAGCCCGTACAACTGGTCCGCGGCTCTCGTGGGCACCATATACGTCGGCCCAATCATTGGCGCAATCTTTGGTTGCTTCTGGGCCGGAGTCGTCGCGGACAGACTTGCGATATACCTAGCCCGCCGCAACAATGGGATCCGAGAACCAGAACAGCGCCTATGGCCACTAGCCATTGCCGGCATATTCTCCACAGCGGGCCTCATCACCTGGGGTGTTGGAGCATATCATGGTGTGCACTGGGTCGGGCTGGTGTTCGGCCTTGGTATGATGGTATTCGGCGTGGTCATCGGGGGCAGCATCGGTCTCTCATATGCAGTTGACTGCTTTAAAGAGATCAGCGGCGAGTCTATGGCGTCTGTCATCATCATCCGGAACACCATTGGCTTTGGCTTCACCTACGCAATCACACCATGGTACACGAATATGGGGCTCCAGAACTGCTTTATCATGGCCGGATTCGTCTCCTTGGCGTGTATGGCGACGTTTTTGCTGATGATCTGGAAGGGCAAAGCGCTTCGCAGGATGTCGGCGAAGGCGTATTGGCGTTATGTCGGTTCCAGTGTAGTTGGCGCACATTAGAGCAAAGCGATTTCTCGCTTTCTCTTTGCCGCCCTTCGGCTTAGGGAGAATTTTAGAGCCCTACGCATTCCATAACATGCCACGAATGACGCCACGAATGACCTTCTGTCCATGGCACTTCCATTCCTCTTTCTCCCGTACCCAGAACACAATGATGATACTCTCTCCCACCACATTCACGGGTTGGCCAGTACCCGCAGGAGAATGTATACCGATCCAGCTGGCTCCAGTATTCTCATAGATGTGTGCCACGGAGTCCAGGGCTTCCAAGTGGTATTCCAGGTTCTCCGCCAGGCGCTCGTGAGTCTTGACATACGTATTCCATAGAGTCGATTTCAACGCCGTTGGAGTGGTCAAACTCCGCTTTGTAATCAGGCGTGATGTCTATTCACACACTACCCACATCAGATTAGCGCAATTCTGTAGAGATCATTCAATGTCGACTCCATCCTTCCTCTCCACGAGGGCATCAATCTGTCGATGAAAAAGGACACCCTATGCTCATCTTTGTAATTGCGTTGCCGACATCCGACTGCATTGGAAGCGTTCAAATTAATAGAGCTCTATACCGAAACGCCCGCTCATTCCCTTTGTAAACCGCCAAAATCTCATCGCAAAAGTGGTATCTCTTTCGAATCAAAGAACAAAAGTCTATGCATTGTCGTTCCGGAGTCCTCAACGAAGTTTCGAACAACCATCGCCTAATACTGTATATCTCTCCCTTTTGTCGCTATGCGGTACCTATCCAGAAAAAAGACACAGAAGAAAAACAAGAGGTCCATCACCATCTACTTCATCAAATTCGTGTTCGCAGGCGATCTCGACCTCGAAGCCCTCATAGGCGTATCAATCCGATGCTGGCTCGTCAAGTGTCTCTCCAGATGATCGGCCCTCCCAAATCCCTTCGTGTGATATTTACACGCCGAAAGAGGACAGTAGAATTTCTTCCGATTCGGGTCATGTTTGGGGAGATGGCGGTGGAGATCTTTGCGGTATTGGAATCTCTTGTGGCATCTGTCGCAGACGTGTTGGCGGCTCGTATAGGGTGCGTGGGAGCGGAGGTGATGGGTGAGATCGCCTTGGGCTGGGAAGCCGGCGTTGCAGTAGCCGCAGACGAAGTCGCCGACTGTCATCTCCCATGGTTTGCGACGAGAACCGGGGCGGGAAGAGCCGGTTGTTGAGGCGGAGGTAGGTGAGCGGGTGGCGGAGAGGTGCTCCGGTGGTGCGAGGAAGTTGGTGTCGAGGCGAGGGACGGCGCGATCGCCAGTGGTAGGGGCTCGGCCAATCCAACCACGCATGTTGCCGACTGCACCGTGAGCCACGCTTTGCGGATAGTTGTAGTTGTTCGTGACATCTGCCGAGAGTCTCTCTGGAGCATTCGGCTCCTGTGAAATCGAAGACTCGGGATAGCTTCGTGGTATCATCGATGCCTGAGCCAAAGGAGGTTGATACCCTTGATTGTTCAGCTGAAACGTTGTCTGATAGATGGTCGACGCATACTGAAGCTGTGGAGCGAACGACCAGTTGTGCGTAAGAGGTTGGAGCGCTCCGGGGAACCTGTCTGCGTGTACGTGCTGCGAAGGTGATGGCATTGCCGGGGCGCGCATAGCATGTAGCGGATTATCGTTGGCGGTCAATGTCGGATCGTTGTTCCAGTTTCCTGGTTGTGACCACTGATGTGTGTTTCCCACCCAATTTTCCCGAAAGCTTGGTGCTGCCATGCTCTGCTCTTGTCCGAAGCTGGAAGGTTGCGGTGCGGGTGCGAAGCTTTGGATGACCTGCTCGTTCGGCGCAACATGTTGCATGCGAAATCCTCCATCCATGCTCATGCTCCACAGACTTGGACCTCCCATGTCGCATGCGTTCAAAGGGCCAGCAGTGTGGGGATTCGGTTGGCTGGGTGCCGAACGAGGGGACGCATGGCTTTGGGGGTTCGCAGACATTGGCGACACCGTCTGTACTGCCATGTCAGCCCCGCCGACACGATGAAGGGCGACTTCGGGTCACGAACCATATACGGCATCTGCTCATTCGCAAACATATCAGAGAACTGCGTCCCCACGCTGAACAGCGACGGCCAGTCCATCTCATCGAGGCCATCCGGTGTAGGCGCGTCCGGTTGAGCGTTCGCGCACGCAACAAATGCAACGAGAACAAGCAGTACCGCCGCCGAACGACTATTGATAACCGGCATCTGTGGTGAGTAGGGTATCGTATGGACAAGTACTCCGACTCGGGCCTGAGGTGAGACAATGGTATGTATGGCGACGACGAATGAGAGCGGGAAACCTTCGAGATATACCTACATGCGTCCTTTGCAGCCCCCGACACGCTCGACAGGGGATCGACGTCACATCCATCGTGCCCTGTCGTTCATGGTGTTCCTTCGAGCGAGGCTGTTCATCAGCTCTGGCTGGAAGAAGACTCGCGAGGCGCAGCAGCACCTGAGATTCTCAGCCTGGTGACCCGCTAGCCGCTTTGGAGCTCCGATCGGGCAAGTGGATGCTTCTTAGACATTGCTTGTTTGAGCGTTTGCACAGGCTGAGATGGCGTGGAGTTTGCAGTGTGCAAATCCGGGAGTTTGTTGAGGTTGTGATGTTGATGTCGCTGTCAAAGTGGTGTGGAAGAGAAGACAACGGCCGGCCTGAGAGCTGCTTCCAACAGCCAATCGGAGACTTCCTTCGGCCCCTCCAGAGCTCCCCGCACCAACATCACCTCATCCAACGGACGACACCTCTTGCACCTCTTCAGCTCGCGATAACTTGTTACACCAACAACATTACCAATACCCTCAAGTCGCAAGCCTGACACTCAGCCACGAAGCAAACATTCCCACCGTGTTCTTGTGTATCGCTGCTATCCCCTCCCGTCTATATCCAATCCACACCCCTCCAACGCGGCGGCAGCAAGTAGAAGCAGTACAGTCCCACGCGCATTCAAACCTCCAACGAAGAGAAAAGCTCAAAAGCCACCAGAAATACAATGCAATACAATACAACGCACGCCATCATCATCAGGAAACAAAATCACAAAAAAAAACCCTAATCGGGCACACACACGCCCGCCTTGTTAAAACGAAAAAAAAACCTAATAGCTAACAAATAATAATAATAGCCCCGACCTTATCCTATCTACGCCTCTAGGTATTTAGGGTCCAAAGTTAGCTTAATAATAAGTGTGTTAGCTAGTAGCTACGATATTAATCCGGAGCGCCGGACTTTTATTACAAGCGAAGCGGCTAATAACAAGGTAAGGTATGTGTCGTGTCGAGTCGTTAGGGGGCTAGTATACATAATATAATATAATAGATACGTATACTCTTTCCCGTAGGTAACTCCCTTATTATCGAGCGCAAATTTCTATACTACGGTAGTAGCGAACATACGAAAATTAATGTTATACAAAAGGGTTGGTAAGAACTCTAGATCCGGTAGGTAGGTACATGTCCGCTCGTATAATACGGGAGAGGAGAATGTCACTTTTACATACATACATACATACATACATACATACATACATACATACATACATACATACATACATACATACATACATACATACATACATACATAAATCATCAGTAGTGTCAAGGTACATGTATCTCTCCATTCAATACACAAACATTCCGCGGGGTATCGATTGCCTTAATCTCCATCATTCCGTCATTCCAAAAACCAAAACCAAAACACCCACGGCGCATAGATATCCCTGCGCTCCTCCTCTACCCCCCAATTCTTCAGAATCATAATAATTCATATCGACAAAGAAAGCATCGCTTCGCTTCCCATTCCGGGTCTTTCCAGTCATTCTAGAAGCCGAGTCTCCGGACGAAAAGCGTGGTATATCATATCTCCACACTGCGAGCCGGCACGCTTTGCCCGATTCGATTCGATTCGATTCGATTTCGTACTCCTAGCTTTTGGCATTTTTGTTCCTTATTCTTTTTGATTTTTTACATCGCCGGTCCAGCAGCAAATATGATACCATCATCATCTCTCCTCATTCTCATTCAAAATAACTTCTGGATGCCGCGTCCGCATATGTCGATCCCGATTATCACGCCTCGGGAAGCCCTTTTCCTTATATTCACATTCCCCTCCGAAGAGACACGGATACGGTCGGTCCCCGGTATTCGTCTTGCCATGGCGGAGCAGATCCTTCTCGAATACATATGCCTCCCCGCACGTGTCACAGACAAACGTCCCCTCTTGGTGGTTTCGCTCGTGTTTTCGCAGTGCCGCTTCGGTGTGAAAGAATTTCTCCGTGCCCTTGGCAGAGCAGACCGGGCAAGTAATAGTTCCGCCACTGCCACTCGCGGCTCCACGGCTGCGGGCACCGGATGAGGGAGTGGGCGAGCTTCTACGACTGGCTGGCCTGCGACTGCGACTGCGACTGGCACCTCCGCGACTGTGAGCAGCTAAAGAGGGAGCGCGGGAACCTCTCGGCCGGGCATTTCCTCTCGATCTTGTCGGCGTCTGAGCCTCGTTTGAGCGAGCCTCGTTGTTCGGCGGCCTGCCATTTGCGAATGGTGATGGTGGTGGCATCCACCCTCCAATATCTGCATTGGAAGGGATGCCAGGGTACTGCCTTCCATGAAAGTCGATGGGTGCAGCTTCTTGCTGCTGCGGTAAATCATACCCAGTAGGCATTGGCATAGGATTCGTTTGATACCATACGTTTTGATGCCACGGCAGAGGAGCAGGTTCCTGGATTCCAGGTTGATACCCGCTGAGGGTGTGATGAATCGGGTTATTACAGTTTTGCGAGTTGATCGAGCTTGTCTGCGCTGGAGTCACTAGACTGTCTCCGAATATGTCTTGTTGCATCCGCGCCGGACTCATGCTGGAGGGTGTCATAGGTAGCGTTTGTTGCCATTGGCGAGCACCGGGGCGAACGACTCGAGCTGCAAATTCGAGCTGTCCACTGCACGTCGATCCTTGCGTGCCCGGCGGCGTGTATGCATTGCCATACTGGTAGCCCGAGTCTCGACTGGGTGTGAAAGGGTCTTGGTACGCCGGTTGTTCTGATGCAGAGGTGAGTGTAGGTACGGCGACGAGGCGAGGAAGAGGCGGGCCAGGGGTGTCCTGTGACAACTGTCAGCGAGGTCAGGCACTACACCACTGAAACCGATGGTATACTTCTTCTTCATTGAAAGCCATATCGCCATCGACATCTTGTGCGAGCTGATGGATAGTGCCGATATAATTCTGGTCCGACTCCAATTCCACGGTCTGCCCACCGCCCTGGGCTTGTTCTAACTCCAGGTCGCTCATGCGGACGAACCTATTATGCCGAGAGAAAGCCATGGCTTCGTGTCACCGACCAGCTTTTGGCCAGTGAGGAGTGAGCCGCATGCGAAGGCAGTGCTCGCGGCGGTAGCTGCTCCTTAAATGGAAGGCAGGTCGTGAGTATGGAGTCGCGATGTGGTTTCCCTAGATGAGCTTGGTTCTTGAGAGGATCAGCCGCAGCCGCCACAAGCGTGTGCGACAAGAAAGTATTGCGAATGAAGGAAGTCGAATGGCAAGTGAGATTACGAAAGCAGGAAGATACAGCAAGATGCGGACGATGTCGCAGATTGGGTCTCTCACCTGGACTTAGCTGAGAGGCGGCCTCTCTCGTGGGCTTGTTGTCGAGCGGGGATGGTGAGAACAGCGCGCGAGCGGGCGGCATGACGAAGGAGAGGGAGGCAGTGCCGATTTCACGACCGCTCCTCGTCTGCGACAGATCCAGACATGCTGCATCTCCAGAGAGCGTCAGGCAAAGAGCAGTCTGCTGCTGACTTGTGCAAGACTTCAAGCAGGGGAATTGAAATTGACGAGGGGAGAAGAAGCAGCCAGACGACGGGTAATAAACGCAATGTCGATCCATTGGTGGGGCTGCCGGCATATCGATACAGCAGAGGTGAGCATGCACGCGCCGATTGACTGGCTGGTCGTCAGCATACAGCACCAGCGCTTGTGTTGTGACGAGTTGATTGGTATGAGATGTCGCCCGTAGACTTGTCGCTGCGTACATCAACGTTCCACCGCGTCGCTCGTCGTCAGAAAGACGGCACACGGGACCTCTGGATGAGGCTGAACTGTAGCAGCTGGTGAGAGCTCCGCGGCACGCGGCACCGGCAGGATGGAGATTCGTGTCCAAATCAAGCTGAACTGGTAGCGAAACTCCCTCTCCGGAACCCTCCATGTCTGCTTGGCCTGCTAGGAGCTACCGATGATACCGCTCGCTTTCCTAGCCCTACCACCATTGGCGGATGCAAGCAATGGCCGAATTCGACCTTGCAATGAATCTTGGAGCCGGGGACGAACGACAGCCCCATCGATGCGGCTCCGACGAGCTGAAGGTACCGCGCTCTCGGAGCTTGCATTTCTCTTTCCATCCTCCAGTCGCGCTGGTCACCAGCCTTGCCAACACCTCCAGCCCTCACAATCAGCCGCTCGCGTGTATGTAAGGTAGTCTTGTTGGCGCAAAATCGTCGCGTGTTCGCAATCCACGTTGTTGGAGGATTCTCGAATCCTCCAATCCCAGCAGGCCGACAAGGACGCCGTGCAAACCGATTAGGCCCCATCATCGTCTCGTGGTATCTCACACCCCTTCTTCAGGATTGCAAACGCGGTCATGGTACCCTCCTTTTGAATAGAGAAAGGTGGTGTCGTTGGGCACGAAGCACGGTGCACTGCCGCTTCCTGTGAGCCAACGTGGACGACGAAAGCCCATTGTCGCACAGCGTTGGCATCGCGAACACATCTTGACGAGCTGAAGTAAGGTAGAAAGGGAAAGACTTGCATACTGTAGCAGGATCGAAACGCGGTGTAGTCGCGTGTCATGGTGATGAACCATGGTCCGGGCACGGGCACGCGGACGGCCCGTCGGGACGCCAAAACGTCCCCCTGTGTGTGTATTTGACTCCGACCATCCATCCAACCGTCAGAGCCACGCAGCGCCAACGAAGCAGAAGCTGTCCGCCGCGTACCTGCAGCAACGCAAACGCCCAATCGGCATAGCGAGTTTCTAACCACGAGTCAGACGCCGAAGCCCGCTACTATGCGCAGTTCCAAGCCAAATAATACTCGACGCGACATCTCATGATGCCTGACATTTTCCAACAAAGAGCGCCCAACAGGTCACGTTCACGTGGGACTCAAAAGGGGTCCCGGGTCTTGGACGAGAAGCATGCCGGCAGAGTATCACGAATACTAGGTGGCCCTAACACACTACAGTCGTTTGGTCTGGGCCGTTAGATTCTAAGTCCCGCGCGAGGAGGGGCAAGGACTAGCGATAGAAGAACGATCTCCACGATGAAAGATGTTTGTTAATATAAATGAATGAATGAATGAATGGTTAACGTCGACGTGGCGGGGGAGTCCTTACATATACCGTCGTTGTGGCTCCATCCATGCCATGTACCCGGCGGTAAGAAGCTAACGAGTATATTGAATTAAATTGAACCATATGACGAAAGAAGTTCCATTCTGGGCACGAAGAGTTGATAGATTGGATAGAAAATATGAATGTATCGAGCCCGACGCTTCTACCGGGAGACGAGCTCAAAAGCAAGCTGCCAGAGCTCAAATATCCACCTCATCGCGTTCCCGCAAAATCCCGCAGACTCCTTCATGCCCCACACTTTCGTAGCGACGATGTGCTCAAGCAGAGCGAGAGGCAGAGCGACAGCAAGAATCGCGGGCAGCACGCTACACAGCCCGAACTGCAGAGCGAGGCTGGCAGGACCTTCGGCGTGCTGTGGGCAGTTCGACCCGCGCCGCCCTTCCTACGAATGCCCGCCCCGATCCTGCTTCCCGATCGTCTTACCCGCCAGAGTCGCAAAGTGAAACTGCTGCAGCGCAATGCTAGCCATCGGACACGGATACTTCTGCGCGAGGCAGGTCTGCACCGCATCCGCCAGTTTCTGCCTCACTTGCTCCGCACCGGGACATTCGGCCAAGGTCCAGGTGTCCTTGTCAAGCATGGAAGGGATGTACGTCGTGAACATGGCGTTCCACCCTGCAGCTTTGGCAATGATCTCGTACATGACTTTCCGATCGATGCCGAGGTGCTTGCAGAAGGCCATGCCTTCAACAGACGCGGCGAGGTGGATGCCCGAGAGGAGGTCCACGATGGTTTCTTTCCTTACCTTGTGCGAGGCGACCATTTTGACGTCTGCGGAGGTCATCTGGTAGACCAGGTCGCCTTGAGACTCGGGTAGGTATAGTTGTACGAGAGCGGCGTCGTCGGTCTTGAGAAGGCCGGCTTGTTCGCCTTGCAGGTAGAGTTGCTCTGCCGTGTCGGCGATGGGAGTGGGAAAATGGTCTCTTCGGGCTGTATCTGTCACAATGCCGGCGTCTTTTAGAATGATGGAGAGGGCAGAATATGGATGCCAGTCATTTTTCAGCATGTGAGGAGTGCGGTTCTCGAACATGAAGCTTGCTCCGTCTGACTGATTGACATGCTCCATGACGGCTTGCGTGTTGAGTCCAACTGTGGCGGCCAATCCCATGGCTTCTGCAGCAGAGATGATGTTTGTCGCGGCAAGGAGTTGATGAACGGTCTTGGTCTTGGTGCCCATGCTGATACCTCCCATTCGGTAGAGGTTGCCCGACATGGTCTGCAGTACATCTCTCGCGGCGTCCAGATCTTGTTCAGGTCCCGACTCGAATATCGACAGCGTACCATCGGCGGCCCTCAACGTACCGCCGGATACAGGACAATCCAGCAGCTTCACATCCGGCCGGTTGAATTCTTCATCTAACCTTTTCCGTAGGTCATGCAGAAAAGCCGGGGGCGTTGTGGAGCACAGAATGAACGTCTTGCCCTTGCCCAGGCCGTGGACAACCGCGTCTTCGCCTTCGAACAGCAGACTCGAGGTCTGTGCAGCGTTGGCCACCATGGAGACGAAGAAGTCGGCATTCGAGGCCGCTTCTCGGGGCGTCTTGGCCGCTTTGCCTCCCGCTCCCAGCAAGCTATCCACCAAAGGCTGGTAGACGTCGTAGCCGTACACGGTGAAGCCGTGCTTGACGAGATTCTTTGCCATGCCGCCGCCCATGGCCCCTAAGCCAGCAAATCCGAGGGTTGGTTTCGATGCCATGATGGTCTGTGTGCTAGGAGATGCAGTCTCAAGAAGTGAGGTAATTCCAGGAGCGTGCGGAGACGTAGGTGGAGAGTGCGGTCTGCGTTGTTTCGGAGACCACGCAGGATGAAGATATCATTGCTTCGTGGGAGCAGCGAGATGCTGAACGATGAGATAATGTCGTGACGATCAAATACCGACGCGGTTCCACTTGCCGCCTGAATGTTGAGGCAGCGCACGTTTTGTGCGGGTGGAGCGGAGCGGAGCGGAGCAACAATAATCCCCACCGATCAATCTTCACCACCGCAGCCGCTCTGTCCGTTGGTAAATCTCATCGATTCAATAAATTTCATTGATTAATCCCATCAATTGATCCACCACGAAAGTCTGGGCGTTATCCCCCGAGCGATCGTCGACGGAGGGCTGGCATTGCTCCCGTGCTGGAAAACCGTGGATGCGAATACGGTACGCGCATGAGACAGGCCAAGTCAGTCTTTATAGATACTTCGCTTGCGGCGGGCATGGCCGAGGAGGCGCGTCCAACGCGAAGCACACGTCGACGGGGAGTGTTGGCCGTCGTCGACAAGAGTATAAACAAGAACAGGATGACCACGATGTTTGATGTACAGCAAGCAAGAAAGAAAGAAAGAAAGCCCCTTCTATTACTTCGCCATCCCGGCCCGAAATGGACTAGCCCATGCATCGGAACTGTGGAACAGCAACTCCACATTCGTCGATAGATCCTTCGCCCGAAGCGGATATCGGAAGAGGTTTAAAAAGGAGATAGGACGTACGAAATAAAAGGATAGTTATCTATCCGTAAGGACTATTACTATATAATTTAATATATTATAGTATTACTTACTCTTAGAGACTACTTTCTACCTACTTCCCTTTATATCTCCTTACTATAGCTATACTCTCTAAGTATAAGTATAAGTATAAGTATAACTATAACTATAACTATAACTATAACTATCTCCTTCTCTATCTCGACCCTAACTAAGGCTATACGATCTAGACGTACTCTATATAACAATCCCTCTACGGCTACCGTCCTAATCTAACTACTTCTTCTTCTTCTTCTTCTCCTTCTTCTTCTTCTTCTTCTTCTCCTTCTCCTTCTCCTTCTTCTTCTTCTTCTTCTTCTCCTTCTTCTCCTTCTTCTTCTCTCTCTCTCTCTTTCTCTCTCTCTCTCTTCCTTTCCCTTACTCTTAAAAGTATAAATAGACTAAGAATAAAGTAAAGAAGAAGATTTCTAGATAAATAAAAAGAAAAAATACTAGAAAAGAAAGAAAAAAAAACCCCCCCCCCTAATACTATATAACACTACCTACTTCTCACCTCCCCTTCCCCCTCTCCCCCTCCTTTCCCCCCAACCAACCCCCCCAGCAGCACCCCCAACCCATAAGCCCCGGGATCCGGCACCCCCCTCGTAACCCTCTCACTCAAATAACTACTCCTACCCAAAGTCGCACTCAACCCCTCCGTCCTCCCAACACCCTCCCAAGCCTTCCTCAGCGCCCCTTCCCCCCCTTCTTCCGGGAAAGAGTGGATAAAGGGGATCAAAGCATCCATCATCGTGCGATCCCCCTCGCGCGCGGGGGTGTATTTATACAGCTCCTCCAACGCAGTCTTCAAAGCAGCGGCGGCAAAACCCTCACTGGAATTCGACCAAGTTGCATTTCCAAGGGAGTTTGCGAGCGCGGTGAGGAAGATGCAATACAGCGCCCCCGACGTACCGCCCATGGAAATTTCCAATTCTTGTACAAGGGCCTTGAGGAAATGCGGGAGAGTCTTTTGGAGGTGGGAGGGGTAGGTGGATAGGCAGGCAAGGACGGTGGTGGCGCCGGAGCGTAGCGTGGTGCCGCAGTCGGCGTCGCCTGCGATGGTGTCGTAGTGCGTGATGGTGGGTTCGGCGGTTATGAGGGCTTGGCAGCCGGTTGTGATGAGGGACCGGAGGTGGGCGTCGGAGAGGGGGAGTTCGATTTGGGGGTGGGAGGGAGATGGTGGGTGGATGGTGGTGGTGGTGGAAGAAGGGTGATGCGGGGTGGGTTTGGGCGACGGGGCGAGGAAGTGCTGCGGGATGGGACAGAGGGAGATGGCGAAGCCGCGGGCGGGCTGGGTGTGGTTGTGGATGGTGCTGTGGGAGAGGGTGTATGGGAGGTTTTGAGAATCTGGATTAGAAGAAACTCTTTCGTTAGCATTTCGTTTCATTTGTCCTTCGAATGGGATGGATGGATGGATGGATGGATGGATGGATGGATCAAGTGATATGATGTGATGTATGTGATGTGTTGTGTAGGAGACTTACCAAAAACCTCCGCAATCTCCCCGGCAATAATATAATTCTCCAAGCGACTCAGACCATTCACATCGCTGAAATGCACACTGTACACCACATCTTCTTCCTCCCTCTTACCCTCGCCATCCACGTCCACCTCCCGCATCGCCCTCTCCAACACCTTCCGAACCACCTCCTTCGCCCCCCGAAACCCTTCCGACCCCTCGTCAGAATGCATCGCTACCGCAGCCCTCCCATCCACTTTTTCCGTCCCAAACCAACCCTCCGTAATCTTCACACGCCTGACGAACCCCTTCAACATCTCCGCCATGGTATGCGGATTCGCCCTCACACCCCCCTTCGCAGTCCCTATTAACTGCAGCGCGTGATCAGCCGCCAGTGCACCCTCACAGACCACCTCGAGGACATCAGGTGTATGCTGCACCACCACGGCCTTGCTTTCGGCTGCTCTCCCGGCGCGGACCAGAACCACCCCGGGTCCCATCTCCACCCCAGCCCTCCGGAGCGTCTGGGGTAAATCCCCCGCCGTCACTGGGATCCCCGCACCCGTTGTTTCCGCGACGACAATCGCGGTGACGTGTCTCTCGTCGAGGAGTTGGGAGGAGAAGTGGCCGAGAGTCGCCGCCGCGACGATGTGGAGGTATTGCTTGCCTTGGGATTTGGACGTGTCGACGAGGAGGGTATGGCCTTTGGGGGTTTGGACGGATTGGACGGTGGGGCGGATGAGGGGGAAGAGGGTGGTCCATCTTGTTGGGTTTTCGAGGTCGAGGGTGGAGGGGGTGAAGGGGATGGTTGGCTCGACCACGACGGCCATGGTGGTTTGGCGTCTCTTGTTGTTTTCAAGCGGCGAGGTTGGATGTCTGTGCTTCTTTCGATATTTCAAAGGGATTCAGAGGATGAGATACATGAAATGGAATAATGGAGATATCGACGGTACACAGCTGTTCTCGAAAGAATCTCTTACCTGGATGCAAGGCGCGCAAGCCGCGAATGCTTATGTATGATGTGGTGGAGAGGGGAAAGGTCCAGTCCTGGCAGAGTAGAGGGTCCCGGTTTTCCTAATACGGTAATCCCGGATGTGAGCTCGGAGGTGAGAGTCGGGCTGCGTCTTTCGCACGCACGCGGTCGTCGGCTACCAGTGTGAGACTAGATCATTCCCACACTTTCTCCTCGATCTGGAGAGGCGACTCTTGGGGTACTGTCCAGAGTGAACAGTTGCGCAATGGCGTGCCGTCGGCTCCTCGGTGATGAGCTGCAGGTACAGCTCCGTCAGTCCCGTCGGTGCTATGGATATGGATACATGTACCCCTCCGCAGCGGGGCAGCTTTCCAAGGCGTGAGGTACAAGTTCATAGGAGACCCAGACTCTCATCCATGTCACAAAAACGAAACGAGACCACTCTTGCACACTGTCACCACTGCAAAAAGTAGCCACAGCAGCGAAAGCAAACGAAAAGGACTCACCTCTTCTCCACTCACCTCTCTACTACACCCGACATGGCCGCCCAGGCGCTCCGCGACAAGCAAGCGCCTCTCAAGTCGCAGTACAAAGAGGACCCCAATGCCGCCATCATCACACTCAATGCCTCCGGAAGCCTCGATTCCAGCAGTATCACCTGCAAGCTCGACACTGGCAAGCAGATGGCCCACGCCCAGCAGAAGATCGCAGGCCTGCATCCGAAATCCGGAGGAGAAGGCTTCGAGATTTCCGGCGAGCTCTGCTCGGGTGACCTGCTGCTGGAGGCTCTAGTCGCGTGTGCGGGCGTGACGCTAAAAGCCGTCGCGACGGCCATGGATATCCCGATCAAGTCGGGCACGGTCAGAGCCGAAGGAGACCTGGACTTCAAAGGCACCATGGGAGTCGATAGGGCGGCGCCTGTTGGCTTCAAGGACATCCGCCTGAGCTTTGACCTGCAGTTTCAGCCCGGAGAAGAGGTGGCGGAAGAGAAGGTGGAGAAGCTGGGCAAGTTGACGGAGCGATACTGCGTGGTGTTGCAGACCATTGCCAAGAAGCCGGAGCTGAGTGTACGGGTGAATGGCATGCAGGAGACGGAGGATGGCATTGAGAAGGGATACTCTTGGGGCCAGAGAGGATGATGAGATGCCGCATCAGGCAGGGCGGATGGTAGAGACAAGCTCGGACGATCTCAATATCCAGGCATGGTGGCCCGTTGCTCTCGTGCCGTGCTTTTTTTGCCGTAGGTCGAAGTTGAGCACGGTCAGGTACGGCTGAGACACGGGAGGAGGTAGCGTTGTTCGAGGCATTCTCGACCGACTCTTTCCATTCATGATCATTATTAATGACCTGTCAACGTGACTCGCGAAAGCTTGGCGTGGTCTTCCTCCCGCAGTTGTCCCTGATGATGTGAATTCGCGCCCGGACGCCGACCAGGGTGTATCCAGATGTCTGTTTGTGGTTTGTCCCTGCTAGCGGCACATGAGTATATGGCATTAGCAAGCATCGGGCGGTTTGGCGAGGATGCCGCCCGATGCTGCCGTCGATGGATCGAGGCAGGAGCGTCCCAAAAAGAACACCCTCCACGAATTCCGGTGAGAGCAAGAGACACGTACGCGGCAGCTTCGTTTGATTGTTTGGGTGACGGGCCGGAGTGGTCGCGGGGGTGGTGGTCGTACGAGGTGGCGGTGGTGGTCGTACGAAGAGGCGATCAGCCAATGTCGGATTGATAACGCGGCGCGAGCACATCGCGGTGCGGGAGGGTGTGATTCGCCGTCGTGGTGGGCGGCCGCCGTAGCACAGGCGGACGCAGCTCCGCGGTCGCGCCATGATTCTTGGCAAAGGAATGCTGGCGAAGAAGTTGGAGTGGGCTCAAAGATGCAGCACGGGCGCGACGAGAAGGGAAGGGTGAAACAGAGACGTTACGGTGTGGCGCTCTGTCGGCCTGCTGCAGTGCCGAATGAGGCAATGGGTGCGCGATGCGGGACTTCGGGCCGGCACGGGGTGCGATGGTGTGGCGATCGGGAGGGCAAGACTCGGCTCGTCACGCGGCAGTCCCGAGAGTGTCGTGCCGGGACTGTCGAGCAGAGGCGCAGCAGGTTGCTAGCTGTGCTAGCAGCTAGTAGAGTGAGAGCAGCAGGCAGCCATGCAGGCAGCATTGCAGGAGAATCTCAATCGGGAGGCGGCAAGCAAGGGAGATGAAATAGTCCAACACACAAGCACTGATAGTGACAGGGCTAGCTGGGAGGTCCCGGTCGCGTGCATGCAGCGGATGTGATCCGCGTCGGGGCCCGCGTCGAGCAGCCCGAAGCAAGAATGCATGAGGCAAAGATGCCTGAAGCAAAGATGCCTGAAGCAAAGATGCCTGGAGGGGAGATGAGGGCAGAGTCGAGATGGGTATGGGGTCGAGGCGTGAACAGGCCAGTGGGTTCATGTTTGCGTGAGCCAAGAGTGGGAGAACCTCGCTGGCGGCAACTGGCGATTGTGGATGGGCGGGATGATGAGGCGTTTACGAAGAACACGACGAACAGCCTGTGAGGACTCGTGCCGTGCCCACTGGCCACGCAGACCGTACCCAGTACCTCGTTACCTCGTACAGTACGTAGTGCCCAGCAGGCAGCGCGGGCCAGGGGGTTCGGGACGGAAGAACGTTCGGTACTGCGGCAGGCAAGCACAGCAGAAGATCGGCCGCGGACATGCTGGCCGGCGCTGGGATATTTTTTTATGCGCGCGCTCTGCACGGCAGGCAAGCGAAGGGCGGGTAGTGCAAGCGAAGGGCGGGCAAGCGAAGTGTGAAGGGCAAGAGACCCGACAGCGCGCGACGGCGACACGCCCCATGGTAGCGAATGGGAGGAATCTGATCACGCGGCGCGATCCAGTCAATCTGCCGACGGCAAGGTCATCCGCGACGACGACGACGACGACGAGTGAATAAGAGCAAGCGACTACTGCAATCATTGCAGTGCATTATTGCTGTGCGTCATTGTGGTGAAATGCTTGGCGCAATGCTTGATGCAATGCTTGGGTGACGGACGCGACGACAGAGGGCGGCGAGGAGGAGGAGGAGGAGGAGGAGGAGGAGAGAGGGTGAGATGAAGTGTTGACTGTTGAGCCTTCCAGGTTGGGTGTTGATAAGTAGTAACATGGTGGAGGGAGAGAGTGATTGAGTTCTGTTATGATATGGGCGGTGGTGGTGAGAGTTCTCGGTCTAGCGCTGCGATGTACGTCACGCGTCGGTAGCTCGGAGCTGAGCTTTCTCTCGCCCTCCCACAGTCCTGTGCTCCTGTGCTCCCGTCTCTCTCGCCTCTCAGCAGCAGCCTCTGCCGGCTCTCGGCGCTCGCCATTCGCACCGCACTGCACTGCACTGCACTCACCCTCTCCACCTCTGCTCTGCTCTGCTCTGTTTTCTTCTCCTCTCCTCTCCTCTCTCCCTTCTCTGCAGACCAGACACCTTCGCGTCGCATTGTCATCTTTCGTCTCATCTCATCAGATCGCACTCCGAGCGCGTCTCGCCTTGTCCGACAACGTACGCGCGGAAGATCAGCCCGCCGCCCGCCGCCCGCCGCCAGACCCAGCCAGCCAGGCACAAGGCGAGGCGCTGAGGCAGCCCACAGCCTCAGTCAGGTACGCGCTCCACCTCCGAACGGGCGCCCCCCTCGCAGGTGGGTACGACATCGAAATCTTAAAATCAACCACACCCGACCACGTCTGCACTCGACTCGCCGCTGAGCTGCTGCTGGGCGCGTAACCCACCCCCGACTCTCCCAAACCCGTCGCCGCACCGGGGGTGTATGAGAGTAGTGAGAGAGCGCAGCGCGTAGAGGCGTGTCTCTCGCTCCCGCCCCCGCCCTCCCCGGCCCTGTGAAGCTGCAGCGCAGCAGAGAGCGTTAGGTGATTGATTGGGAGCAGACAGACCCGACGCTCCAAGCAGGAAGGTGAAGCGCGGGCAGATTCTTTTCCCGCGAGCTTCTGCCGCACCACCAGCAACACCAGTCCACGCGCTTGCTTCCCTATCGCTGCTACCGCCCGCTGCGACATCGTCACCGCCAGCCAGCATTCCCAGCGCCCTGTCTGCCCTGTCTGCCCTGTCTGCCCTGTCTGACCGTCGGTGTCAGTCCGAGAGACCCTCGAAAATCCGCCAGGCTTGCCACCCCCCCCCTGGACGAGTCCTGGCAGCTCATCGCGACAACCACCACCACTCCTCGCGTCATCCCCGTCCCTCTGCCGCCGTCCTCACCAATACCGCAATCACCGCCAACCCGAACTCCGATTCCTCCAACCTCAAATATCCATCCCATCCAACCCCAATCCACTTCTCTCCACCCCCCGAGGGAAGCTGCGCCGTGGTCGTTCTTTCCCACCACCACCACCACCCACTCGCTTAATTCGGATCAAAGCTTTGCGCATCCGATGAGCACGGCACTAGCACCTCCCACAAATCCCCACCGCTGCCCGCCTTCCACCCAACTCTCTCCCCTCTCCCTCCGCCCTCAGTATGGATAACTCCCACTTCCATCCCGGCTACAGCCCGTATCCACCGCACAACCCGCAGCAACCTAATGCCCCGCCGCCGCCGCAACAGAGTTCGACGCCGCAGCATCAAGCTCAACACCACCAGGCCACCACCACCTTGGCTTCCTTTGGCAACCTCTCGGCCACCCAGGTCCAGCAGCAGCAGCAGCAGCAGCAGCAGCAGCAGCAACAATCACACCAACAGCAGTCGGCGCAGACGCAGCCCTCGCCCTCGCATCCCACGCTGCCTCCGCTGCAGGCACAGAATGGCTACCCTCACTTCGGCTCCATCTCCTACGCCCACCCATCCAACAGCCAGTCGCAGACGCCCACCACACCACACACCCCCTCGAACGCCTCGATGCCGGGCAACGGCCCCAACGGCTACTCCCAGCACGTCTCGCCCACCAACACCGCCGCGCCGGGTCAGATGCTGCCGCCCTACGGCCACAATCCGTACAGCTCCATCACCCAGAGCATGATGTACCCATCCTCGACCGCTACCACGATGCCCCCGACGAGCGCAGCCACCGGCCTCCCGACCATCCGTCCAATGCCTCCCGGAGGTGTCAGTGGGGCCAACGGCCTACCGAGTCTCGCCAACACGCAACTGGGGCACTTGGGCCAGCAGCCGTCGTTCATGCAGAATGAGGAGGCTCCCACACACGTCGTCGGCTCGCAGGGCCGGAGAGGCATCTTGCCGAGCGCGCCTGGTCGGCCCACGCCATCTGCGCAGGGCACTGCACAGGCTACCAAGAGCATGATTCCACAAAAGGACGCAGACGGGAAGTATCCCTGCCCGCACTGCAACAAGACCTATCTGCACGCGAAGCACTTGAAGCGACATCTTCTGAGACGTAAGTCACGGCAACATCTCCCGCGAGAACGTGGTGCTGACAACAATGACTCCAGACACGGGCGATCGGCCATACATGTGCCACTTGTGCAAGGATACCTTCAGCCGGAGTGACATCCTGAAGCGTCACTTCCAGAAGTGTTCGCTACGCCGAGGCAATCCCACCGGTGCCAATCACCTGGCTCACCAGCGACGCAACACGAACAGCGGCAACCGGTTGTCGATCAGCCAGCAAGAAGGGCCGATCGGTCTGGCAGGAATGCCGGAGATCTCTGCCACCTCGGGCTACAACCCCAACATGGCCACCAACAGCCCGTCGGTCAACGGCGACATGTCTGCGCGGACCTCGCGGGCCAACAGCTTGATCACGCCCGGAAACATGAGCCAGCGCAACAGCGTGGCCGGACTGGGCATCTTGGGCTCCAATGCGCCCAACAGCGACCAGATGACCCACTCATCTGCGCCGTACCAGCCAGGTATGAATGCCTACTCCATGCAGAACACTACCAACGGCGGCCAGATGCCCTCCAACTATACCTTCAATCAGGCCCCGCACCTGAACGGCAACATGTTTAGCACGCAGAACCCGCAACAGATGTCTTTTTTAGGCCATCAGAGCTCGCGGTTCGACAGCAGCCCGGCGAACAACCAGCCCCAGCAGCAGATGCCAAATGGTAATGGTAGCGGCGTCGATTGGACCCGCATGTTCACCCCAAGTGGCCAGGATGGCTATATCGGCAGCCATCCTGCGAACGCGAGCTCGCAAGGAACTCAATCAATCAAGACCGAACCGGATTCGAAATCCGACTTTCCTGCCCTCCAGAACGGCTACAGCAACGACTCTTTTTTAGGTAGTCTCTACTTGCATCCGGGTGGCTTCGGAGGCGAGGAGGGAGACAGCAGCATGCCCGGATTCCCCAGCTGGACCATGGATGATCCACTGCAGGCCAAGGTGGACAGCCTGCTGCATCACTGCTTTCCGCACGGGACCGAAACCGCTCGCGGCAATCCCGTCGCAGAGCTGATGCAGTCTGCGTTGACCATCGAGAACATCAAGCACTTCGCGGAACACTACACCTCGTACCACGGACACTGGCCGATCCTGCACATGCCCACGTTCAAACTGTCCGAGGCCAACAACAACCTGGTGCTCGCCATGATGTGCGTGGGTGCCGTGTACAGTCCGCGGCTCGTTGTGCACCAAGTGCGACAGATGATGGAGTTTGTCAAGGCCACGGTGTACAGCAGTTGCACCGTGTATGCCAAGACCATGAGCGGCCAGACGCAGGGACTGGGCAACCAGCCTCACGAAGTAGAGGAGCTGCAGGCGCTCACGATGCTGCACATTCTCTTCACGTGGCACGGCGACCCCGCGCAGAGGCAGGCATCGCGGGTCGAGTTCCCGAATCTTGTGCGCATTGCCAAAGCCATGGATCTCTGCCAAAACGCAATGCCCAGCCACTACGCATACAGCGCATTGCACTCGAGTCGGAGCTCCATACCGCCTGGCTTCCAGCTGTCGCAATGGAACTGGCACAGCTGGCTGGAGCAAGAGAAGCGCAATCGCTCGCTGTATCAGATGTTTCTCACGGATACTGCCATGGCCCTCTACTTCAACTTCACCCCACAGTTCGATCCCCTCGAGATCCGTCTCATGCTGCCTGCCGACGATGCCGCCTGGGACGCACCGAACGCCCAGGAGTGTGCCAACGCGCTCGGATTGGCCGGTCCGCAGGCACGAGGACGCGACGTGACCGGAACGCGCAAAGCTGTGCAACCGACGATGCGTGACGCGATGCGCACGCTGTTGGATGCCTCTGCGTCAATGCAGCCCAACAGTACGAATGTATACGCCAAGTTCCTGCTCATCCACGCCTTGATATCTCGCATCGTCAACTGCCAGCGGGCGTTGCTTCATCCGGACGGCAACTCCCAGGGCTTCAACCTCTCCCTGAACAACAGCACGCCAGCGACTCCACTGTCGCAGAACGACTGGCAGGAGCAGAATGGCGGCCGCAGCGACAGCGCCAGCGCCAGCGCCAACAACAGTGGTCACGTCACTCCCGACGACGGCCTCAGCCCTACGATGCAAGGAAACTCAATCGCGGCGCAGCATGAGAAGAAACGCCTGGGATACGCGCTGGAGAAGTGGAAGCGCAACTGGGACGTCGACATGGACTTGCAGTACCCTCCTTCTCAAGCACACCATCGTCGCTTCGGTTTCAGCCGTGATGGCGTGCACTTCTTCTACCTCGCTCGAAGCTTCTTGCAGTCCCAGCAGTCCACCGACTTCACCCTTCCTGCGGACTTGCGCTTCAAACGGGTGATGGCGCTGCTCAAGCGCATCAGGGCTGTGGTCCATGGCGACAACGAGGGCAAAGGACAGGACGTGGGCTCCGTCGGCGACATTGATGATCAATACGGCCTGGACGACCTCACGCTGGACATGAAGTTACTCTTCCGACCCTACAACAGCCAGGTGGACAGTCCTGTCGCCGGTGTACAGACGTGCCAGCTCTAGCATCGTTGGCGAACGATGAGCCAGCACACTGGACCGGTCCCCTGGGTCTCTTAGAATTGACCGGTCTCCCGGGTCTCTTAGAAGGTGGTTCTCGGAATCCTGTCCGACCGACTGCCTGGGTCTCTCTTTTTCGATTCATGAGCGCACCAACCAAAAGTTTACGAAACGCAACTCTTACGCCTTGAGGCACGATTCTTACGGGATACACGGCCGGAAACATTGTATCCAACGGCGCAGGATTTCTTCACTTCCCCTATCAACAACAACAACGACGACGACTCTGAGAGTTTCCATCATACCATCATACGGAAGGAACAGTGATACGACAATGAAAACAGAATCATCACGAGAACATAGACTATAGACAGCGGCTGACCAGTGGAGCCGGACCCGTGGCAGCAGAGCCAGTTTTCCTGAGCCAGACGGGCGGCCCTGCACCGCAAAGAAAAAAGGCGGTGTTATTGCTTGCGATTGTGAATCCATTGTTGTTGCTGCATGTGCATGTGGCGGGGCTTTGGGATCGCGGTTTGCTATTTTCCTTTTGGATCGCGTGCGGAGATATGATATATGGACGCATGGGCGGTTGTGGAGTGAGAATGCGCAGTGCAAAGGGGCAGAATCGGAGTACTCTTTTCTTTATTGTTATTGTTTGCTCTTCTTTTTTTTTTTTCTTGGCATCATCAGACGCGAAGAGAGCATGTCTATACAAAGGAGGAAGAAGAAGAGGAAGAACATGTGATGTATGTGCATGTGTGTGTGTGCATATGTGTGGGTGTGTGTGTGTGTGTGTAGGGGTGGATGGCTGCTACTGCTACTGCTAGAAAAGCTTCCGGGGCGCAAGCTCACTACTACTGGCGGATTATTGGTCATGGGCGCGCGCTGCAGAGAAAAAAAACCAAACTTGTTCATATCCATAACGTGTGTGTTGTGTGTGTGTGTGTGTTCCGTCCCACCATTCTTTTCTGCGGCGCGCGCGCGGACCTGATGATTCTTTCTTGCTCTTTTTGTTGTGTCACGCATTTATTAAGAAGTTTTGTGGTTATCCGGACGGGGGGGATAGAGTATTGCTTTTTTACTTGCTTGTCTGTACGAACGATTTCATCATTTAATCGATTCGATCAGATTTTTTGCATATGATGTGATGTGATGGGTCAGATTTTTGCATATGATGTGATGTGATGGGTCAGGGCAGGGCAGGAATGTGGTCATATTGGTTGATTTTTTCTTTCGTGGAATCTGTATAATATGTATGATATGTGTGTGTGTGTGTATATATAATATCTGATCAGAATCCAGAAAATTTCGGAACAGGATTCCCCCCCCCTTCCCTTTCCTTTCCTTTCCTCACCATGTTGTTGATGTTAAAGATCCAGATACCCATCGACCCAACGCACGCCACTCCCACTCCCCTGGCCACGGGGCCTCATCAATTTCTCCCTCAAAAGGACGGCATCCGCCTTGCTCTCATCCAGACCCGGCAACATGCCACCACACGGGCCGAACGTCACGCTCTCCAGGCCGTGTAATTCCAGCAGACAGGCGACGCCGTCGAGGACCCACAGGCGCGGCAGCGGCGGGAGGAGCACCGGGCGGGGCAGGCGGATCGTGAGATTGCGGAGCCGGGGGCAGCTGGCGAGCAGGGCGAAGGCGACGGCGTCTTCGCGCTGGCCGCAGGCGACGTCGACGGAGTGCAAGTGCTGGCGGCCGGCGTGGCCGAGGTGGCGCAGGAAGAGGTAGCCCTCTTTTGTGCTGGGGAGGCGGTAGGTTGTTGTCGGGGGGAAGAGGAGGGGGAGGGCTTCGGTGTGGATTGCGCGGCAGGTGGAGAGGAGGGGGAGGGTGGAGGGGGAATGGGAGGAGGAGGAGGAGGAGGAGAGGTTTTGTTGGTAGGCCATGTGGGTGGTGAGGGTTGTGGAATCGCGGGTCCGGGGCAGCATGTGCGTTGTCGGGGCCATTTGGGGGAGGATGTAGGCGTAGATCTGCAGACGGAGTTCGGTGGGGAGGGAGAAGAAGGGACTCTGCTGAGGTTGGGGGTTGGGATGCTGGGGAGGGGAAGAAGGGGGGTGTCGTTTGTCGATGCTGTCTTGCCCAGAAGTCGTGTGATTGTTCCGTATACGATGATGATGATGCTGATGATGATGATGGTAGCCGGATAGGGAGCCGGTGAGGACGGTTTGGTTTTCCAGCGGGATGCGGACCTGGAGGCGGAGACAGTTGGGGTGGTGCAGGTTGGGGATTGTGGGTGCGTTGTCGCCGTTGGACGTGGTTCTGCAGAGGGGACCTTCCAGGGCGCGGATGGATTGGGCTTTGGGGACGAAGATGTTGCAGGAGATGCAATGGGAGCCTTCTTCTATGGCTTCGATCGGCGGACGGTCGCAGATGTGGCCCAGGGCGGCGAGTTGGCGTGCGGCGGTCTGATGGTTGTCCCAGTAGCCGGAGAAGGTGGCCAGGCGGTCGGGATAGGTCATGGAGCGGTGGTCGTTGATGGCGTTGCTTGCGGTGTGGGTTCGTTCATCTTGGTAGGGATTGTCAAAGAGAGCCAGCGGGGAGAACATGGTGGGAGATATAGTAGATATTGAGGGCATGAATGTGCTGGTGTAGGACATATATGAAAGCATGTGATAGCATTGGGGGAGGGGTAATAATGCAATGGTGGAGAGGTTTGATGCCTGAGGCACAAGCCGCTTCTCCATTTCCAGATCGGTCGTCATCTCGAATTTCTTCTCAAACCTCCGACTTTCCTTTCCCACTCACTCCCCCACAACCACCGTCGCCATGCCTTCCACATACAAGCGCGACAAACCCTGGGATACCGACGACATCGACAAGTGGAAAGAAGAGCCGTTCAAGGCAGAAGAGAACATCGGCGGCACCTTCAGCGAGGAATCCAGCTTTGCGACCCTCTTCCCCAAATACCGCGAAGCCTACCTCAAAGCATCATGGCCCGCCATCACGCGCGCCCTCGAGAAGCACGGAATCGCATGCACCCTGGACCTGGTCGAGGGCAGCATGACGGTCAAGACGACGCGCAAGACCTACGACCCCGCCGCCATCCTCAACGCACGAGATCTGATCAAACTGCTCGCGCGCAGCGTGCCCGCCCCGCAGGCGCTCAAGATTTTAGACGATGGCATGGCGTGCGATGTCATCAAGGTGCGCGGCCTGGTGCGCAACAAAGACCGCTTCGTCAAGCGCCGACAGCGCATCCTCGGGCCCAACGGCAGCACGCTCAAAGCCCTCGAGCTCCTCACGCAGACCTACATCCTCGTCCAGGGCAACACGGTCGCCGTCATGGGCGGCTACAAGAGCCTGAAAGAGGTCCGGCGCGTGGTGGAGGACTGCATGGCCAACATCCACCCCATCTACCACATCAAAGAGCTCATGATCAAGCGCGAACTCGCCAAGGATCCGGAACTCAAGAATGAGAACTGGGATCGCTTCCTGCCGCATTTCAAGAAGCGGAATCTGAGCAAGCGCCGGAGACCGCATGTCGTCAACGATAAGAGCAAGAAGGTCTACACGCCCTTCCCGCCGCCGCAGGAGAAGAGCAGGATCGATCTGCAGATTGAAAGCGGCGAGTATTTCCTGAACAATGCGGCCAAGGAGCGCGCGAAGAAGGACAAGCGGGAGGAAGCGATGATGGAGAAGATGGAAGAGAAGAAGCGGAAGCGGGAAGAGGCATTCGAGGCTCCCCGGGAGGCCGAGGACGAGAAGAAGGCCAAGAAGCACAAGAAGCGGAAGAGTAGTGAAGACGGGGAGAAGAAGCAGAAGAAGCGGAAAGCGGATGCTGGAGAGGAAGAGGAAGAGGAATAGGACATCTTTCCTTCACCAGCCAGCTCTGTCACTCTGCGCGGGGGTTCTCCTGTGGCACAGAACTCCGCTCCATCGTAGGGATGGACTCTTCATTCTTCGCTTGCTTGCTTGCTCTGCTTTTGCTGTGTTTATACCGTACTCTTAGCGAGGCGTCTGGCGGCGCATCATCCATGTTCAGAATTGAGATTCTTCGCATCTTCTCGACCAGAATTCTTGATGATACCCATCCATCCGTTACTCCACTTGCTCTCCATCATCTCCGACTCATGTTTTGTCAGACACCTCAAGAATGCCGGATGTCCATACTGACTTACGCGTAGAGCTGGCACATAATGAGACAGATCCAGCCTACAAACCTCTTGGGTCTCGAGTTGCAGTGGCCCTGGAAGAGATTTGGGGAAGAAGACAGGTTGGCAGCTAACAGATGGTGACTTTATTACTGTCCTACTACCAGAAGGCGCAGCGAAATCTGGCTCCTGAGAACGATGGAACTGATCTCGAGCCCAGACCTCATCCCCAAATCATTCCGTTGCGCATCAAGCGAAGCGGGTTAACGGTGGCGCGTCCAGCCTTCATACTCGAGTCTCAAGTAGTCGTGCGCCATCCGGGGGAGGCAAGCTGCTGCTGCTGCCATCTGCGGATGATGTAGCATCATCGCCCTGCAAATATCAGTTCCTGATGGGCTTTCTATACCTCCTGAAACCACTCACCTCAAGCTGCTCCTCCTTGGGAAAATACGCCTGCTCATTGTTGTCCAATTCCGCGTACATATTGACTTCCTCATCCAGCATGGCTTCGCTCCGGGCATTCTCCCAGGCATACCATCGCTCCAAGAGAACGGTTCTGATCTTGTCCATGGTGGTTTTCGTCTAGAAGGAAGAAAAAAAGAAGGAAGAATGGGTTAGCCTTTTCTCCCCATCTCCCATCTCCCATCTCCCGCTTTTTCCTGATTCCATGGGGGGAGGACTTACCGCTTTCATCCGAGCATCATTCTCATAATCCCCATACATCTCCCCCAACCGGTTCCGCTCCGCCTTCTGCGTCTGCAGCCTATTCGCCTCTTTCAGACACACCCACCACAAGCGGTGTAAATCATCCCAATCTTTCTTGCGCAACTCCGCTGCCGTCCAGGCTCGTCCGTGCGATCGGAGTTCCGACGGGTCCATCAGGCTATGGCGGCCCGGCGGCAGGAATTCCCAGAGGCCATGGTCTTCGTCGACTTCGACTTCGGAGCGCTTGGATTGGTCGAGGACGGGTTGGGGGAGGCCGCGTTGGAGTTGGTCGCGGAGGCCTTTGTAGTCGGGGGATTTGCGGAGGGTTTTGTTGAGGCCGGAGCGGTGTAGGGGGGAGACGCCGCGGTAGGGGTTGCCGTCTTTGCGGGCGTGGTGGGGGGTGGTGGTGGAGAAGGAGGAGGAGGAGGAAGGGGACGGTAGCGTTGTTGTGGTGGTGAAGGCGGGTAGGAGGAAGGACGGGGGGAGGGTTGATGCGCGTCGTGTCAATGGGGTTGTGAAGGTCTTGAGGAGCGTTCCGGTCGTGCAATGCATTGTCATGGTCGCGAATTGGAGGAGGGAGTTGGGCTGTCGATGTTGTCGTCTGGAGAGATGCAGTCAAGCAGTGAGCTCCTTGGATTTGCTTCGCTTTCGGCATCCACCTCCGCGGCGAGATTTCGATGTTGCCTCAGGCTCAAACATAACCCGACTTCACACTTCTATGTTTCACAAAGGATAAGTTCTTTGTTCACCAAGTCAAGGGACATACCGAGTTGCTCAGAAGTCATACAATTTCAGATCGCGAAACTTAGATCAATCGGATGCTTACGGATCTACCTTCCCTTAGGTGCTGTACGGGCCTAGTACATTCGAAGACTTTTTCGCGGGGGCAGGTTCTACGGCTTAGGTTCTCCTTCTTTGTCTCGTACACTATATGGCATGGATGCATGCAGTATGGTCCATTGTGACATGCATGTGAGCGTTCAATCTCTGCCTCGAATTGTCGAATGTCAAGATACCCGTCCCAATACCGAGGACTACCGTAGGAGATGTACCAGAATGGACAATATTTTGGCCTTCATATGTTATTGAGGTGCAAGCATGAAGTGGTTGAGTTATTCGCTCGGCGTAAGTATTCCATTTGTGTCCCTCCCAGTTCCCCAAGTAGTTCACATGGATGCATTCGTCCTGTTGTTCGAAATGCTGGCGGATAGCCAGTAAATCCCGCGATGGACCTCGATAGCTAGAGAGAAGCGCAATTTCAAACGCCTTGTTACGACACCAGTTCATGTAGTCGGGTCGCTCAAATAACGATAACTAGCATTTCCAACATCCTTTGCGCCAATCCTGTTCGGGTAGGTTCAGGCGCTCCTTAATCTCATTCAGGTTTTCCGTTTCCACGTCGGGGTACCTCTCCTGCAATAGCTCGAACCGGGCATGATCGCCTTCGCGTTGTGAGCTGAAGGTGGTGGAGTTGTCTGCCGTCTCTGCCCGTACCTCTGGGACGTAGCCGATGACGGTGTCGTCGGGTTCGACATTTCGCCATTGCTCGAGAAGATCGTCTCGATTCCTGTTCACACGTATCCTGGTGTTTCCGTTCAACTTCTTATTATTTGAATCCCGAAGACTGAGGCTGCCACGTGCCTGAAGCTTCTTCGAGTATTTTTGGTCGAACTTGCGATGTATAGAATCCAGCTGCTCTTGCGACAGCGGTTTGTCTCCTTCATCGAGAGCTTGAGTGTCTCTCCTCAAAGCCTCCTCTCGCTGTCGTGGCCTCAACATTGGCGCGGGTGAAACCGTGTCGTATCTATCAGAGATAGGACGGCCATCTCCACCAGAGACTTCATCTGGTCCTCCTAATTCTGAAGTCGTTGAAAGTGAGTCTGCAGCGTCGTAAGCGGAGACCGATTCGCCCGCCTGCTCGGGGGACTGAGTGTCGTTCGATTCCTGGCCAGTACGCTCGGGAAGTAGGTACTGCTCTTGTGGGTGGTAATCACAATCGTATAACCTGGGCGCCTTGGACCGAGCGAGCTCCCCTTGCCGCGTACTTCGTCTGGTGTACGGTTCCTCTGTCTTCTTTGGCTCGGTCTCTCGCGCAGTGCGTCGCAGCCGCTGGTTTCCTTCATCTCCGCTCTGGTGCACCCGTTGTTCATTATCGGGAATTGGCGGCGATGCGTGTAGCGTTAGGTTCCAATCCTCATGTTGATCGTCGCCTAATTTTCTCGACCGTCGCCCATCTGGCTCGATTAGTTGGTTGTCGTATGATGGTAGTAGGTCAAGGTCCGACGAGCTGTCGTCCGATGGAATATACGTTGTCCGCTTGAGTTTGTGTGCTTGGAAATTATCGCCGGGCCGTCTGTTTTCTTTTCGTTTCATTCCCTTTGAGCTCGAAGCTCGAAGATGTCGTCTAAGCAAGTTCGCAGCAGTGAAGGCTAAACGAACGTCATTAGCTCCTTCTTGAATGACAAACGCATAGCATTTCAGCAAAATGCTCCGCAGCCAGCAGGGAGAGGGATGATCTTGGTGGTATCAATACAGGTATCAATACAGCTGTACACCTTCACACAACAGTGGTATATCGCAACGAACTCCCCGCCATACTTCTATGGTTCCTTAGGTGCTTTTCTTGCCGGCTTTCAAATTCCACTCCATGACTTTCTCAAACACACCCTTGCCGTCGCTCTCAATCACATCTCCATGGCAGGGAATGATCTTTTCAAAGTCCCACTTCGCGATCCTATTGACACTCTCGTTGAAAGCAGGTCTGTCGCCTGAACTGGTTCCGTACCACGTCATTCTCTTTTGCCACGTCGCGCTCCCCTTCGTGTTCTGCAATGCGTTGAAGATCTTGGTCAAGATACCGGACTCAGGTGAGACGTTGGTCTTGCTGAATTGTTCATGTGCCGGAAGGTTGAAGAGGAGATCGCCTTCGATGAGGGTACGTGACGGTCTGTGGTTGAAGACGAGCTCTTTGTTGACGTGGCCGTGGACGTATTCGACGTCGAATTCGGAGTCGAAGTCTGGGTCGATCGAAGGGCTGGCAGGGTTCTCTTTCTTCAATAGATGCCAGTGCGTGTCGGGGATCTTGAAGTAGCCTTGCTTGTCGCGGTATGCCGGCAGGGTTTCGGGCCCGAGTACTTTGGCATCTGGATAGGCCTTCAATGTCACAGTCAGATTAGCACCTTGATGTCCTGAGCCCTCCTTGGACTTCATCTTGTGTTCTTGCACTCTCGACTCACCTTGTGCCAACTCTCGAGAAAAATGTGATGCTCTTGGTCCACTGCGACGATATACTTGACAGTGCCAAGCAGCTCCGACTCTTTCTTCACGGTGTCCGTCAAGTCGACTGGTGAGAAGACAGCAACAGAGCCATTGGCCATCTTGACCAGCGTGCCCCTGCCTCCAATCTTTACCCTTCCAAAACGAAGGAACGGGGTGCTGAGGGTGACGATCTGAGGTGTGACGTGCCGGATGACCATCACCTTCTCCGGATCAGAAGGGATCAATTTGCTCGCACTGGACGCCATTGTTGCTGTCTCGTCGAGGATCTCTGCGGTCAGTAGCAAGGAGCGTGCAACAAGTCCAGGTTCTACGTTGATGCGAAGAGTTGAATTTGTAAGAGACAAGGGGAATCTCGCGATACTCTGCTCGGCAAGGTGGTGTCTCGGCTAAAACGGCGTCAAAGGGAGGCTGACATGGCTAGAAGGCGCCTGTTCTTGATATGACCGCGTCTTGCCCCGAATTGGTGGATTCACCGGAGGCATGTGAAAGCGAAGAGCTATACCGATCGCTGACGGCATTCCAAAACCTTGCATAACTTTTCCCGAGCATCCGATTCAGGTTGTGCAGCTGTCTTCGCTTCGGCCCGAGACGGGGCAGCGGACTGAGCTCCGGCGAGAGCAGACTTCACCCTCGTGTTTGTCGGGAAACATTCGGTACATCAGTCGCAAGATCATTCCAGATGGCCACTACGATGGCATCAGCAGCGTCTCGGCGAGTCATGACGAGGTTCTTCGCTTTGCCGCCCTCCATACGACGATCCCTCTTCACGACAGCTACTTCGCCAGCGAAGAACCCCGAAATCTACGACCTGGTCTGCATTGGAGGAGGACCCGCCGGTCTATCTCTCATCTCCGCCCTGCGATCAAATGCATCCACCAAGGACCTGAAGATAGCGCTCGTAGACGGTCAAGACCTAAAGACATCCCGAACATTGAACGATCCTAATGCTTTCGCCAATCGTTGTTCTTCCCTCACGCCTTCGTCGGTTCGCTTCCTCCACGAGACTGGGGTATGGCAGCACATCAATACATCAAGGATCCAGCCTTATCACTCGATGAATGTATGGGATGGCGTGAGTGGGAGTAAAATACATTTCGATCCTGTGGATAAGACGGGTGGAAGCATCCTTGATAGCATTGCGGAGGCTATACCGGGCAGTCGATTGAGACAGAGTAGAAGAAAGTATGAGACGGAAAGAGATGCGGCCACAGTAGCAACGATGTGCGAGAATGGTAACTTGACGGCAGCACTCTTACAAACGCTGAGCCAAGGAGGAACAGGTTGTGAGGTGCTGGACAAGACTCGCGTTGAGTCGATACAACTCGGCCTCGGGCCCCAAGACGAGGAAACTTTGGACTTGTCTTCATGGCCTGTCGTCAGTCTACCTGGAGGGCGATCTATCGCGGCCAGGTTACTTGTGGGCGCGGATGGTGCAAATAGCCCTGTGCGACAATTCGCAGACATACCTAGCCACGGCTGGGACTACGGTCAGCATGGCGTCGTCGCAACATTGCAGCTGGATCACACTTTTGACGAGCGCGATCTACGAACAGCATTCCAGCGCTTCCTACCCACGGGTCCGATTGCTCTGCTGCCGCTACCTGGCAACAAAGCCAGCCTGGTCTGGTCGATATCAGCGCCGCTCGCCGCAAAGCTGAAGCAGTTATCACCGGAAGACTTTGCCACAATGGTCAATGCTGCTTTCCGTCTGATGAACGTCGACTTGAAGTTCATGCTTACAGACTCATCATCCAATGCAGCAGAGGAGCTCGCATGGCGAGAGCCCAACACCAAGGCTAGCGAGACTGGCCTACCGAGATACTTCCCGCGAGTAGTGAGCGTACAAGAAGGTACGGTCGCATCCTTCCCACTTCGCATGCGCCACGCATCGACTTATACTGGACACCGCGTCGCTCTGATTGGAGACGCAGCCCATACCATCCATCCGCTTGCCGGACAAGGTTTAAATTTGGGCCTCGCAGACGCGGAATCGTTAGCCAAGCGCATTGCAGTTGGCATCGAGCTTGGAATGGATATTGGTAGTTGTTGGTGCTTAGATGAATACAACTCGAATCGATGGGCTGCGAACAATGCGATGTTGGGCGTGGTGGACAAACTACAGAAGCTGTACTCCGCCGATTCAGGACCAGTGGTATGGGGCAGGAGTCTTGGGCTTGATATTGTGAACAGGCTTGGGCCACTGAAAGGTGCACTGATGGGTGCAGCTTCGTCGAGCTAAAGCAAGACAATGCCGCACGACATAGTTCACCTGGAACACCTCGTCTCAAGGATGCTCAAGTCTCAACCTCGATCGGAAAGCGGCTCGCACACTGTGGATGATGTCTCTGACGACCTGAACTTCGTACCTAGACATGTCGCTCCTCTGGCAGGATTCTTGCAAAACTGGTATTCGTCCGAAAGAAACATGGCTAAGACCACGAACAGCACGAGCCGCTTCGCCATATATAAATGAAGCATTCCACGCCAGCTACTTCGTGATTCTCAGCAAACATCAACAAATTCCCCCACTTCATCCAACAACCAGCACAACAACCTCTAGTCAGTCCGCATCTAAATCACAATGACCATGGACTCCTACGTCGAAGGCTGCCTCACAGAAGCAGCTGTCAACCTCGGCTTCTGGCCAACGAACCAACGCAACAGAAGTCTCATGCTACTCGTCGCAAAGCACCTCACCGCCGAAAGCCAACGCACATGTCGAGACGGTCAAGGCAATTTTATGCAGCTCAAGCGAAGCGACGTTCTCGATTACGCATCCGTAAGTTTCATTCAGGAGTACGGTCCTATCCTCTGGACCGATCGGATGGATGAACGTAGACATCTCAACGATACCTGGCGCCGGAATGAGAGTGGAGTCGTTTGTCAGACTACGTTCATTTGGAACCATGATCAGTGTGCTGCTGGGAAAGTGGAACGATCACTGTTTGAGAGTGTTCTGGGAAGTGCGTTGGGACGGGCTGTGAGGAGTTATTTTGGATTGATGGATCAGGTTCCGAATGTGGCGCTGGAGGATGCGATGGGTATGAGTGCGGAGGCGCTGGTTTGGGGTATTATGATGGTTTGAGATGAGGTTGTCGTTGCGTTGGGAGAAGCCTGCACGGCTGGAAGTGTTTTAGCAGTCGAAAGGGGCGACTAACTCGAGATTCATTCTTCAAGTGGCAGCTCTCTTCTCTTTGACAGGATCACGCACTATAGGAAAATGGTAATGGTATCTACCATTTGCTCGTTTGCGCACCATTTGTTCCGGCCTCAAGGTCTCGCGTTGGGTCGAGTTAAGAACATGTCCAGTGTTTTGCGAGGCCAAAATCGAAACCTAGAATCCGTGTCGTTCGATGCTACCTTTGATGATCTGCAGCCATCCGCTAGCTCCCGCTGTAAACAGCCAATCGACGACATGTGACACCAATGTCTTGGCGGGCGTCTCTCTGTGCGAGCAGAACATCCACATCCACATGAACGTGATAAATTGGTCCATCTCCCTTCGAATTAAACAAGAACGAGCGAGCTTTGTCAGTATGACAGATTCCATAAATCGTCTTGAATGTCCGCTCTGAGCGTCTTGGTACGCGAGTCACCGTCCTTTTCCGGATTGATGTTCACCTGATACTCACAACGGCTCTTTGATGCCATGACGCCTTACATTTAGGCGTCCTATTTTCACGATGGCTTTAACTCCGGAAGACGAGCTACGTCAAGATTTCCGGCTTTGGTAAAACGGCCCTGGCGCACGAGCTGATTTTCAAGATCATCGTTTCTCAGCACGGCATATATGGCGTCGATTACGACCCAAGAAATTTGAAGAGTTCCAATCTGAAGCAGATATTATCCATATGAAGGGCTCTCAGATCTGCTGAGCGAAAGAGCCGATATCGTACTTGATCGATCATTCTGTGCCAAGGATGACCGAGATCATTTCAAGGAAATCACCGAGTCAGGCGGTGCGAGATGGGTCTTGGTTCATCGAAGAGAGCTTGCTTTAGAGGAGGATCCATCATGTAAGAAAGCAACAGCTCAATACTAATTGGGCCTTGAAGATTTTACGCAACCTTTTTACAAGATACTTACGAGGCTTCGAGTACCCACTCGGCGAAGGAGAGACTGTCATCCAGTGCACAGAGTAGCTGCCTGCGGAACTGACTGCTTCTCAGTCCCAGAATGCATACACTCGAGTCTCGATGCTCTCCCTCTCCTCCTCGTTCTCCGTGCCTGGAATGATTGGTGAGCAATGAATGCACCCAGCGGCGATGTTCGGATCATCAGGACTGGCCGTATCACAGAACTTGACGATGAGCACTTCATCCGGCTTCTGCTCCGGAAGCCAGTACCATCTCATCTTCTCTGGATTCTTCGGAGGCATGTGAATCCATGCTCGTGCAACGTACGTTCCCTCTTTACTGAACTGTCCTGGAACGCGGAAGTCGGTGATCTCCAGCTCGGACTTGTCAATGCTACGGTAATCGAGTACCGCGAGTGGGTCACGCTTCACTGGTTTGATGGGACGCTACGATCTTTCATCAGCATACTGCTACAAGAATGGAGTATCAAGATGAGTCGCCCGACGTACCCAGACGCTGAAAGCGCAGGCGCGTGGTATCTTCACAACCGCTCCATTTTGCCGTGCTCCGTGTGCTTTGAGCGTGGCTTCTCCGGCTTCAGAGATATCCTGACGACATTCTGCTAGAGTGTCGTAAAGTGAATCCACGATCATGTCGCAGTGAGCATGGCGGGCGGGTTCAGATCCGGTACCCTCGTCTCGGCCACCGACTGGAACTCATGAGCACGTAACATGTGGTACTTTTGATGATCCATGCTCACCCGAGAATCGGTCACGAGGCAGCTTCAGTGTTGCTTCGTCGAACTCGCTCCCAGCGCGGTGCACCACATACAGATCCTCTTGCTTCGTTGCGAGTGTCCGACGAAAGGCTGCTTGATGAGCGACGACTCGCGAAGCTCCCGTCAATCTGAGTATAAGGTCTTTGACCTCTGGGATGTAGATGTTCTCGACATTCTCTCCTTCCAGCATTTCCTCGGCTGACAGCGAGAAGGCATTCTTCACCCACGTGAAGGCCTGTGTGTCGAGGCCCTCTCTTCCTTGTGCGACATCTTTGGAAGTCCGCAGGTCGTGAAGCTCGATGGTTTCTTCCTTGACCGCTTTTGGAGCCGGGCCTGCGTATATGCTTCGCTCGTGGGCTGGGATTGAGAGGTCTGGATCTATGAAGCGGAAGACCCCGAACGTCTTTTCAGATGCATCGCCCATGATTGCTTCAGGCGCCTAAGAAAGCAGAATGTAAGAGATTCACCCATAAAGCTAAACGATGCAGTTGTAGTGAAGACTACGTCGACGTTGCTCGGTCCATGACGACGCGGAGGTTCGATTTGTCCGTGCCCGCCGAGGAGATCCATGTTCACGAATGGTACGTATATCAGATGCTGTTACACTTGGCACTTCCGAAACGCGGCAAGACAAATGGCTGTCTCGTGGTCCAACAGAAAAGTCATCAGTCTTGGAGTCGCCGCGGAACTAAACCACTTCGTTCTGCAAGTCTACATTACAACATTCGATGACACGATGGCGGAGACGTTGTGTATTCTTCTGAGACCGAAGACGCAACATGATCATGAGAGCAGAATGCCTAAAACGGCGAAAGTAGCCGAATGTATGCGTTCTCCGTAGAACTGAGAGTGCGGCGGAAATACCAACAATTGAGAACTGGGCAGAACGTCGAGCAATAATGCAAACGATCTCCCGAGGACCAATGATTCGCTGCTACGGTCACTTTGCGCCAACAGGATTCGACCCATGAAGGCTCCTGCGACTCCGCAAGAAGCAATCTTCGGGAGTTGGTCGACACCGTCAGCTGATCCAGACACTTGCACGACGTCGATTTTGGAAGTGCTAGACGAAGCCTCCGAAGTCGCTCGATTGCATACATCATTCTGAAGGACTTCCATAGGATCAAGCGGAATGGAAGGGCTTCGGGAAACTCAAGATCCGGCTTTCCTCTCGTTTGCTCAAGAAGACTATGCTTTGCCGGCTCCTCGACCGCGGACACCACAGGAAGTATGCTCACTGCGGGAGGAATGGTACCTTACCTTCGTAGGCCAACCGTTCGAATTGGACACACTTCGTCGCCATGTGCCGATCTTGGCAAGATAAGACCAAAAGCTGACACGACACAACGGGCTGCGATCTTGGTTGTCGTAATAGAAGCCCGCCAATCCCAAGCGAAGACGTTGAGAACGAAAGATGCCGGGAACCCGAAGTCGATCAGCATCGAATATTACAAGGACAGTCCATCAATATCCCAACGAAGGATCATGATCTGCCCAATCCTAGTTGGAGTGAAAGTTTGATGTGCTTTCATGCCCAAAGATCCTGAAACGCCAGCCAAGTTCATTCACTTCAACCTGGTCGGTCTAACCGGAACGGGATTAGGCGCGCCACTAGCTGACGCTTCCCTCCCCCCACCCATCGTGTCCGGAGCTGTCACGTCACATGCGAGTAGCTATCTTTCTTGTGCGAACACGTGGACCATAACCTTGTCGCTCGCAACATGTTGGTCTGTAATTGGGTGCGCCGAGATCCCGTGGTCTCCAGCTGTCTGTACGTACCCGCGCTTTGCGCTCTGGGACTAGGGTAGCTGCCGTCTGTCGGCAGTCGAACAACTCATGTAGGGACCCGTGGCGCCCTCCAATGCCAGCAAATACCGCGAACATCTCCGCGTATCTGCGACTTACCTTCGCTACCTCTTGCGCTGATTTGCCCGTATCGCCCGGAAATCGCGACGCGTCAACCTTCCGATAATAGCGAGCTTTTTGGGTCTCCCGCACACGACTTCCCAATGCCTGATGCTGGAGTCCGTGTTTCCGATGGACCAACGGGAGGACCCTTGGATCTGCACCTCACACCTATCAGGCAATCGTGGCATGCGAGTATGGCTTGGAGAGTATTCTTAGTGGTCGTTGAGGAAGTGCCCCGAGCTGAGCTAGGACAGCTCTCCTCGGGATCCGAATACCTCTTGAGAAAGGCGAAGCGAGACCCTCTTCCCCCCGGAGATATGATTCCGAGTGCCTTCTGTCTGTCGAGTACTTATCTGCTCTCCCCCATCGTCGTGATCTCTCCTCTTCAACAGTGTAATGATATTCTTTCCCCTCTAACGGCCGAAAGCTTCTGTAACTTCTAATACCTAGCTGCCTTCCTTCTTGCTTCCACCACCACCACACAATACTGGAAGAAGAAAGAGAAGCAAGCAAGATGTGCAACTACCGATACAAATGGTGGGACTGCGGCTGCGACCAACGCTTCCTGACCAAAACCTGCGGCTACGCAAAGTACAAAGGCCACACTCTGCACAAAGACCGCCAACGAAAGGACGTCCACGAGCAAGGCGTTTGTCCCAATGGATGCCGACCTATCTCTCACCGGAGCAAGAACCGTGGCGTAGCAACCCCAGCGCCGCCTTCGCCTCTCGAGGATGCCACGATTTGGAGGTTCGCTTCCAAGTTGGCGATGGGAGTTTTCAAGGAGGCCGTGGGGACCAAGTAGAATGAAAGGTGAGTTTGTCAAACTCTTTCCTTTCTCACGGCTGTGGAGCTTGAAGGCTAATCATCATCGACCAGGCGATTCGAGTCATCTTGCAAAGATCCCATACTTCATTTCAAGGAAGAACTCGTGCATCAAAACCCACGCGATCCGAGCAAGCCGCGAGCTACGACACAGATCAGCTGATCTAGAGAGAGATCGGCCATTTTGATTTGAAAGGACCGAAATGATGCATTCTTCAATGAAGGCGTGGTAGCTTACGATGGGACGACGGTTGATGATGATTTGACTATGCGTTAGGAGCGGAGAGGAAAATGGGGACGGGGACGGGGACTGGGACGGGGATGGGAACCGGAGCCACTGCGTTCAAAGCACGGTGTTTGCGGAGTATGGTATACCCGATGGATCCAAACGTAAAATTGGATCATCGTAATTCCATCCGTTCTAGGTAGACTATTTTATTTGGAAGAAACGTTGCGGACGCTCGCAATGATTTGACATGGTAGCTTTTCTCTTCTACATCAGTCCATGGAGTGAATGGTGGTATCCGCGGTGATCGTACAGCCGGCTGCTCTGATGGCATTGCCCAAGAGTACAGCTTATCGTGATGGTTTTCTGTGGGTAGTGTTGGTCTTCGTCTGATCGATAGTCAAAGACTTTTCGTATCACTGTTGATGTATGTTCAGATCAGACCAGATCATCGTCATTCTCCTCGGCATCCACAAAGAATTGGTTTCCTTCCTCGTCATCGGACACTTCTTCGACATTACCTGCTCCATCGAGCATGGCGATCAGCTCTTCGGAGCCTATTCCATGCACTACTCCATCGGAGGTTGGCGGGCGTCCCTCTTGCCGCTGCTCCTCATGTCCATCGCTCAATCTTGGCGCAAGGCTCACGATACGAATCGCTTTGGTGGGCAGCGTCCTCGTGACAGGCTGTTGATGCCCGAAAATCTGAGGTGCCGGCTCCTCGACGTAGCGAAGTGTCTGGCCAGGTCAGTGAATGTCATGTATACGCATCAATGTTGGAAGTCAGGCTACCTACCGTGTAGGTCGTCATGATACAATCATCATAAAAAGCCATGAAGCTTACCGGCGCTCCAAACAGGGACGCCATACTTTTTCCAAAGGCAAAGGATGGATGTGCAGTCTTTCGGTCAGAAGAGACGAATTGGTCATCGTCTGTCAAGCCAAGAACGTACACCTTCTCTTTGACTTCGCAAAGCATCCTATGGTCTCGAACAGAGAGCCAGCCACCGAGATCAAAAGTCGATCCATTGCTATCGCACTCCACGATTGCCGAGTTGTCGACCAGACCTTGATGACTTTGCAAGGCACTACGCCAGTTGGAGCACGCAAAGATCCTTCCTCCGCGCGATACGCCGACCATGAGATTACCGCAGATCATTCCGGCGCCCCATTCATCTTCCTCCAGCGAGATGCCTTCCTCCATTTCTCTTGGATATCCGCCGACAGAGATTTTCAGAGGCACTAGCTGACGAAATCGTATATGCCGGGGCACCATGACATTCGAAACTTCATCTGTAGATACTCCATTGTACCCAAAGGTGATTTCTTCATCGCTGGCCGGATGTATGATGTGATGTAAATTTTCACATTCTGTGGGATCCAGAGTACCAAGAAACCGTCCAGAGGCTTTCTCGTAGAAGTGATATCCTGCTAATCCGAGTGAAAACACCACAACGTCTTCGCATTGGTCAAGATGGCCCACAGCGCCCTCCTCGATTTCGATGGTCCTTTGCAGTTCCGGTGTGCCCTTCATGTCATAGACGAAGCCGCGACATTCTGAGGAGACGACGCATAAGGTGTCATACGATAGTTGGAATCCTCTTGTCTGTCGGTCGTGAGGGAGGACCGCAACTCGTCTGAAGCAACCTCGAGTGCAGCCCTCTAAATCCGTTCGCCACACCTCCAATGCGTCGTCTACCTTGTCCCAGACAGCGGTACCATCCTGATATTCCAGATGGGCGAAAGGGCGGACTGTCTCTGCATCAAGTCGAAAGAGTAGCTCTCCGGTGTCCATATCCGTGACATCCAGGCCTCCCATCTGGGAAGTGTTCAAGAAGAAGCGTCTCTTGAAGTCCGGACGGAAACGCCATACTGCTCCATTCCTGACGCCAACCAGAGTCTCGCGGGTTTCCGGGATCTCCTTCAGCCAGTTCCTGGAGAGCAAGGTTTGACGTCGGCAGAGAACTTTCCAGGATTCGACGTTGGAAAAATACCGAGAGTAAGTCTTGTAGCTTGATAGGAACTGAAAGTCCTTGGCACCAGGAGGGTGGTTCGTCTTTGATGGGTGAGAATAGATGGCCTCCTGATGTGTGTGGTCGATGAAGGTATTCCAAGATCTGTTTAGTCGCGTGAGAGCTGCCAGGCCTGACGCTGGTGTGAATTCGAGAATCCGGAGCACGAGCTCGGAGGGCAGGAGCTGCATTGGATCGGTGGTCTGCACGCCATTCTCATGTGACGCGGCCATGTTGACTTCACTTCCGGGTTGAAGCTCACATAAGAAGTTTTTGTGGTAGAGGTCAAAGTCCAAGGGAACGAGATATACTGGACTCGTGGGTATGACGCAATCGATCAATCAATATTCCATGGAGCTATCAGTGAATTATCATCGACGACCATCAACTAATCTTTCTCGAAAATTCGGCCTACGGGCGCGACGCGTGCAAGTGCAACCAGAGAGCTTTACGGTCTGATTTTGTGCTTTTATTGTGGCGAGACTGACGTGCGTGCTGAATGTTCACATGCGCTCACTACAGTGGTCCGTGCACCGCGCTAGTAGTCAGTCCATAATAAAACTGAAGGCCGATTGCAATCTCTTTCCTACTGTAAGCTTCAACTTCATAGCCATTCATTCGACACATACCACTCAGCACGGCACACCTCTACAGCATGGACGACTCACCACTCCAAAAGCTGCCTCCAAAACTATAGCTTAGCACACACGAGTTGATGTTACAGTAAGAAGTCAGGGAGAGAGCTGAACGTCTACCAAGTGAGAGAACATCTCGACAGAATAAGACACACGCTAGAGTCTAGCCACCTAGCTACAGAATATAACGAAAGTCCTTCTGCTCTCGATCGGTTAAATCGAGAAAGGCTCCATCCGCCGCCTCTGGCGCTGCGTCTGGCTCTCGCGCCTGGGCTTTGTCTCGTCTCCGATTCTCCCAGATATTGATCAATCGGATCAACAACAAAACGACAGCGGCCGCTCCATACCTGCAAAACACTAATGTCAGCACGGCACAGCGCCACGAGGACGACGACGCGGCGGCGGCGGAATTCGCCCATCAACAAACTCACATGATGGCCACCATCAACTTCCCGTGGAAATATTCCGGCGCGTCGGCCGAGCGGAACGTCTGCGGTCCAATCCAATTCCCGGCACCATAGGCCAAGATTTGCAAGCCATTGACGGTGAGCTTCTTCGTGTAGCCCACGGTATTGTTCGAGATCATCACCATGACCAGACCCCACGAAGCACCGGCACAGCTGATGAGGTAGTACCCCACGAGCAACGCCGGTGCCGCACTCGATGGGATGGTGATCATCATGATACCGCCAACCATCGGGATGAGAATCGCGCAGATGGCTGGGATACTTCGATCGACGAGTTTGTCGGAGAGGAAGCCAAAACCAAGCTTGCAGACGATGTCCACGAAGCCGCCGGGCATTTGGAGAAGCAGCGCGAGCCGGTTATCGAAACCGAAAGATTTGATGATGAGGGAACCGAACGTCGTGATGCCGCCGTTGGGGATGTTCATCAGGAGAGAGAAGAGCACGTAGAGATACGTCCGCGGGTCCCGAAAGGCTTCGAAGAACTGGTTCCAGTTCCACACTCGATTGCCCATGATGCCTTGAAAGTTGCCTCGGATTCGTTCGATCGCGACCAGGCTCTCTCGGGGCTTCAGGAACCGGGCTGCGGCTTGGTTGTCCGGCATGACGATCCAAAGCACGAGACCTGTGCAGACCGTCAGAAGGCCCAAGACCAGGAAGAGGATTCGCCAAGTTTCGATAGCGGTGTTCGTGGCGCCTGAGAGTCCATATGCAAAGGGGGACATGATGAGTGTCGCGACGCCATTGCAGCACAGCCATGCGTTCATCCGCTTCGCCTGTTCTTCCCGCTTATACCAGATCGAAATGAATAGCACAAAGGCCGGGGTCACCGTCGCTTCCAGTGCTCCGAGGAAGAATCGCAGAGCCAGCATCCCAGCGTAATTGAAAGCTGCCGCATGGCAAGTAAGAACCACACCCCAGAGAAAGATCATCGAAGCGCTGTATTTCCCCAATGGAAGCCGTCGGAGGAGGTATGTGGTGGGGAACTGCCAGACGATGTATCCTGCGTAGAAAATGGAGGAGATCCAGGAATACTCTTGACTGCTGTTACTGAGGTGTATATCGTCCCGTATACCCATGACGCTGGCGTAGTTGAGAGAGGTCTTGTCGGCGAATTGGATCATGTAGACCCACATGAGCATCGGCAGGAGCCAGCAATCGATCTTGCGAAGGACACGCCTTCCTTCTTCTGCTGTAAACTCAATAGGCTCTTGTCTGGCTACCGTCGCTGCAGGATCGACAATTTTGGCGAGGTCCCGCACTTCACCGGTTTGGATGGAGACTGTTGGTTTCATCGCGTATGATTCAGGGCTTGATTTGGCGTCATCTTTGTTCGGTTTGTATGAGTTGTCGTCGTCCATGTTGGATACTGCAGCTGTTGAGAGGCTAGAGTATAATGGTAAGTGAATAGCACTTCGGTATGACACGAAGTACCGCCTTAGTTTGGCGACTGGACTTGGGTTCTACCATGAGCCGGATCAATGTATTATGCACCAAATCTTGTCAGGCATCATGTAGGGCGGAGATATGTGGAGAGGAACCTGGTCGAGATATCAATTGTTAGAGGTGGAGCTCCACACACTTGTAAGCACCAGTGGACATGTGCGATAGGGCAAGCCACCCTCGGCTGGTCAAAAAGGCACTTCGGGGAGGCTGACAACTCCCACAAATCATATCGTGGTACCCGCCACGAGGAGATCACATATCTCTCTCAGAATACCTGATGCCGCTTCTCCGACGGGCGTCGTCACGGCATCAAACACACTTCCAATGGAGGAGATAAATGCCGCTTCGAAGCCACGCAAATCCTCATATCCAGGCATCTCCCTTCCCTCACCAAAATGCTGCTTAGTTCTCTCGATCATCAGTGAAGACATCACAGCAGCAGGACTCAGAGCATGCAGACCAGCACCATTCTCGTGCAGATTGCGAGATTCCAGTTCACCAATGGCTTTCCGCAAAGTGCGCCAGAGCACCGTGACAAGTCGAAATTCAAGTACCGTCATCCACGGCGGCTGCGAGCCTCTGCTGTTTTTAGCTTCGATCATCATGGATAAGGACTTGAGCATGTCATCCCAAGCGGTAATCGATGCATCGTCACCAAAGCGTCTTCTGATGGATGTCACTGCTCGTCTAGTGGCAACGGTGCTGCCCAGTATGAGGTGCGCCGTCGTTGCAAGACCTGCTGTAACTGCATTGTCGACGATGCCTGAGATGAGTAGGTCGTCGGGTTCAGAGAGACATAGACGTGCGCTCCAGCAACCGAGCTGTAGGAGTCGATTGATTTGCTCACGGTTGACCTTCGTGTGAGTCGAGATGCCTAGCACCGCATTGATTGCGGCATTGATAGGTCTGTTCTGTTCCGGAGCGAGCGCGTGATAAGCAGAGGGATCCGGCAGCACCGGCGGCATCTGGTAGTATGCAGAGGTGAAATCTCTGGTTAATGCTTCAATGTTGAAAAGCACGCAGATCGTTGCAAATGGGCAGGCCGACAGTCGGTTGAGCAGATAGACAGATGGGCTGGCTGTCATCAGAGCTTGTGTCACCGACGACAATGATGAGATATCAGGACCACGGCTTGGCTGCCCGGGCAAGGTCAGCAGTCCCGCTTGAATCTGCTCTTGCACGGTCAGAAGCCACTCGTCTGCAGTGGGCGCTTCCCAAATGTCAGAAGACGGTGGAAGCTCCCAGCTTAACTCGGTGGCGGGTATTATGGCTCGAGTGTTGCACGTCGCTGCCACATGCTGGCTGATCATGCCCAGCGCCCATACGCATAGACGGAATGCTTCTTGAGAAGAGAAATCTGTCCAGCATTTGGACATGTCGTCCAAAGTCCATGCTGCGGATCCTTGCACGCGTGCAGCCCAAGGCTTCACTGAATTCGCAACGAGGGTGAGCTGCTCGTTCATGAGACCCAGAGATCGCAGATCCCGCACCAAAGCCTGCAGTAGGCTCCACGAAGAGTTCGAGGCGTTAGAGTCGGCGAAGTAGAACCCGTAGACCAGGTGAAGCACGCACCCCTGCAGAACCCAGGGCTCCTGGAATGGTACCGAGGTCTTTTGCATATGAATCCGGAGACTTTTGATGCCGTCACTCCACATGCGGTGACTCTTTTGCCTCGTCGCAGACCGGTCTTTCGAGGGTGCGTACATGCTCCCGATTGCAATGACGACAGAGACAAGCATCTCCTGACTGGTGTAGAGCGAGAAGCTTGGCCGATGTATCACCGGCATGAAAGCGTGGAAATGAGCAAAGTAAGCAGCAACATCCGAAGCTGCAACTCGAGGTGGGATATCTACGCTCGTTTGTTATCGCTGCTCGACACTCACGAGATTGACACAGGATGCCTACCATAGCGAGAGTATAGCGACGCTCTTGGGCATGGCTGCGGGTAGAGGAGTTCGTCAGACCCGTTGGCGATATCCGGGTCAATGATAGTGGCGGACTGAGCTTCAGTTTGCATCGAATTTACATCGTTCGTGAAGTCTGGGTCGATAGTATTGTGCACCTGTCCAAGTGGAGAGCCATCTGTCTCTGCTTGGTGTCGTTCCGGCGAAGCCGTCGATTGACCAGTCTGGTCATGGAGCTTCCTTGGTTTTCTACGCGTGCGCAGTCCTCGCGCACATCTTTGTTCGTGACGGCTCAAGACGTCTTGTCTAGAGTACGTAGAGCCACACCGCTCGCAAGCGTACTTTTTTGCTTCCCCTAATGTCTTTGAATGACCTGAGATAGTCAGCTTAGGCAACGTGCATGTAGCGCAATCGGACAGCGCAATGGACGTACGCGAACGCTGATGACGAGCTAGATTCTCCCTCCTGGTGAAGACATCCGAGCATTGCGGACAGGCGAAAGGTGCAAAGGGTGGAGTGAGCGTCGACATGATGATGGTGCTCCACGCAACAGAAGGCTTAATTCAATGTGTCAGAAAGTAACTTCCCGCTCGATGTTTTTTCGCACCTTATCAGAAGGATGAGCGCCCTGTGGCCGAGGAAGCTGTTGCGGGCAAGGGTGCAGCTGAGGTTGGCCGGTCGAAAGTGGCGGAGCTCCACCAAGTCTTAGCACCAATGTTGCTCTCAGATAGAGCCCCTACTATTTTGTCGAATGAGTGTCGCTGCCAGATCGTGTACATGGCCGAATGCGGGGTGTTGCTAAACAAGACTCCTGTCTGATAAAGGTCGATCTTCCTGATGGTATCAAGGTGTACTTGCAGATATGGCTCCATCCTTGGATCATCCTTCTGAACCATCTTTACAGAATAAACTCTCAAAGATGGCCCTTGAGGTATCGACAGTAGAGCTTCCACATGAGCAGCTGTCTGACTCCTACCCTTCAATCACACAGGCCGATGTAAAGACGGCCGATCCAGTTTCGAGCTTTCAAGAGTATTCGGTTCTCGAACAACCTTCCCAGACCCATCGCCCGCTGCGGGTTATCACAATAGGCGCCGGTGCCTCGGCCATAAACTTTGCCCACGAGATATCCATCTCTGATCTGGATGTTTCCTTGACCTGCTACGACAAGAACCCGGAAATTGGAGGAACGTGGTTCGAAAATCGTTACCCGGGTTGCGCTTGCGACATACCATCAGTAAATTACCAGCTTTCCTGGGCTCCCGCAGTTTGGACGAAATATTATTCTTCCGCTCCAGAGATATTGGCGTACTTTAAGAAGGTGGCGACGGACCATGACCTGCTCAAATATATGAAGCTGTCACATCGAGTGATAGGTGCGATATGGGACGAAGATCGTGGGCAATGGAACGTTGAAGTCCAGAATCTTGTCTCAGGCGAGATTCTCCATGATCGGTGCAATGTCCTCATTAATGCTTCGGGCGTACTGAATAAATGGAAATGGCCCTCGATACCCGGCCGTGAGACCTTCCAAGGCACAATGCTCCATTCCGCAAACTGGGACACCTCGGCTGATCTCACCGGTAAAAAGGTCGCTGTCATCGGAGGTGGCAGCTCAGCAGTCCAGATTGTACCCAATCTGCAGCCTGTTGTCGGTGAGATGACATGTTTCTTGCGCTCAACGACATGGGTGACGGCAGGGTTCGCACAGCGGTTTGCTGGCCCAAATGGCACCAACTTCGAATATACCGAGCAGCAGAAGGAGATATTCAAGAACGATCCCGTGAAGTATCTCAAGTATCGGAAGTGCATTGAGTCCGAGCTCAATGTTCGCTTCAGGTTCATCCTCAACGGCTCCATCGAACAAGCCAATGCGAGAAAGTTTGCCGAGGAAGATATGAGGCGTCGCCTTGCGAAGAAGCCAGAAATCGGTGATCTTTTGGTTCCAAAGGACTACGCCGTGGGATGTCGAAGACCCACGCCTGGGAACGGGTATCTGGAGAGCCTGTGCGAGGACAATGTGCACGTGGTGTCAGAGACCATTTCTGAAATCACGCCGACTGGCGTCAAGACAGCAGATGGAAAGCTGCACGAGGTTGACGCCATAGTATGCGCAACCGGTTTCGATGTTTCCTGGAGGCCAGCATATCCCACAATCGGCCGAGATGGCAAGGACTTGCGCGAGGTGTGGAAGGAGAAGCCTAGGTCAGTTACAGCAGAATGCATTGAAATCCAAGACCGACTAACCGAACAGCAGCACATACCTGTCAATTACTGTCCCGGACTTTCCCAACTATCTGATCTTCAACGGGCCCTACGGACCTTACGGACATGGGTCATTCTTGCCCATCACCGAGACGCTTGCGAGACATTTCATGCTGATGCTCCGCAAGATGGCAGGTGAGAGAGTCTCCTCCTTTGCGCCAACGCAAGCTGCTGTCGACGACTTTGCCGAGCACCGGAGGAAATTCTTGCCACGGACAGCGTGGACTTCGCCGTGCCGATCATGGTTCAAAGGCGGGACGGTGGACGGCGAAGTCATGATGTGGCCAGGCTCCCGACTGCAATTCTTCGAGGTGATGAGACAGCCGCGATGGGAAGACTATGATATGCGACATTGTGAGAGGAACAGATTCGCGTATTTCGGGAATGGGTTCGCGACGCGAGAGAGCGACGGGAAGGATCTGAGTTGGTACTTGGGGCAGCTCGGGGAAGAAGATGTCCAGCCGTCTTTCACCGACGAGGATCTCAAAGACTTTATAGCCACGTCGCAATAAGATTGATATCGCGTCGTTCCACGGCGGAGGGTGATATTCTTCCCGAGTGTATTACCTACTAGCGTCGGAAATGTCCGCGCGCGCGCTTGCGTTACGTACGATAACCGATACAGTATTAGGGGGTCCAAAGATCAGACTAGACCCAATATAACATATATGTCGCTCTCTCGTCAACGATAGAACTTGAGTTATAACATCGTTTGGCATGGCTCCCAAGCATTGACAAGTCTCTGCACCCGGAGCGTTTGCGTATATCGGAACCGTATATCGGAATATCTTCTCGACGGTCGCGACAGCTAATTGTCTGCTATCCGGCTCGCCATGACCATTCTCGAGCAGACATAGTCTTAAGACAGCATTTGCTCCGTCTCTCTGGATATTGATAAGCTTTCCATCTCGCTTCGATTACTGCCCTTTTACAATCCCTCATCTTGATTGTCTCCGACGATTTTGAAATATACAGGCGTGGATTGCGGATTTTCAGAGTCTAGTGCCCGGCTTGCACCTGTCACAGCAGTCCCAATATTGGTGCCTCAGGCCACCCTCAGCAGATATTCGGGGAGCAAGGCAAGTCAACGGCATTTGGCCAACTGGGCTCACTCTGTGATTCGTGTCAGGCTGGAAGTGAAGTTGCACTGCAGTGAAACGCCGGATCGACCTCGACATCGACACCCCACTCTCCCCGGCTTTCCAAACATCCACCTCGCCAGATCAACTACACCACCATACACGCAGAAATCCGACCACGCTGTCCAGTATGGCCTCTGCAGATCCATTCGACGCTGCTCTGTACGCTCAAGATATCTTTCCTTCAAGCAAAATATTTCCTGACACATCAACAGCGATCTCCTCCGCCGCCTACCACCATCATCTACGCAAGAGAACCTCAATGGCATCATCTCCCTCCAGCCCAGCCTCGAAGAAGACCTCCTCTCCTCCGTCGACGTCGCCCTGACTTCTCTAAGATGTCCCAAGACTGGCCGTGACTTCCTCTGCTGCGACTACAACCGAGACGGCAACTCCTACCGATCGCCCTGGTCCAACGAGTTCGAACCGCCAATTGATCCTGCCGACGCAGACGAAGTCACGCCTCACGGACGGGTACGGCGCATGGAAGAGAGCATCAACACGGCTGTGGACGTATACCGAGAGCTATACTACGAGGGCGGTGTGAGCAGTGCATATCTGTGGCAGCTGGACGAGGGATTCGCCGGATGTGTACTGTTCAAGAAGAGCGCGCAGCAAGGCGGCAGTGCAGGAAAAGGTGGATGGGACAGTATACATGTGCTGGAAGTCATAGAAGCGGCGACGAAGCGGAGCGCAAACTACAAGCTCACTTCGACTGTCATTCTTGATCTAGGCTTACAGACTGGAGCGGTGGACAGCCTTGAGCTAGCCGGGAACTTGACCCGCCAGACTCAACAAGATCTACCACTTAATGGACTGCGAGACGCTGAGATCGAGCAGAGCCACGTCGTCAACATCGGCAGAATGGTCGAAGACATGGAAACGAGAATGCGAAACATGCTGCAAGAGGTGTACTTTGGCAAAGCGAAGGATGTCGTGGGAGATTTGCGGAGCATCCAGCCTCTCAGTGAAGCGGAGAGAGATCGAGCCGCGCACCAAGAGGTTATCAACAAGATGGGACAATGAGGGACAGCAGACACGAAGAGATGACACATATCACTGAAAACTGCCATGCTCGACACATGCTGCAGAGGCGTTACTGTTGCTGAAGAAAACTCGACAGACGGACGATAGAAGTATAAGCAATTATGAACTCCGCACGGCAGTGGATATGCGGCCGCTTTGAAGCTTCGCCAGGAGATTTTTGGAAACACATGTACCATTTGAGGCAGATGCCAGTAGCTGACACGTTGTCAGGCCTTGCGCATTCAAGTTCTCATTCTGCTCTGCGCTTTCCTCGAATCACGCACGGCAAGCCTTTAGAATGGTCTGAATAATGAATCAGAACCATCTACACAATGACAGTTTCATCCAACAGCGTCTCGCTTCCCATCTCCTGCTCTGCTGCGCAAGCACTCGTGCCGCTAGTTCCACTTACGGCTTGATCTTATCGACGTAAATGCCAGGTGGTACGTATTTGCAATTTGTGGCCAGCGAGCGGGATGGGACGAAGCTGATGAGGCTCAGTAGCTCATTCTAGCTCCAGATGCACATGCCAAATCTACACCTGGACCGCAGTAGAACTCTTCCAGGGGTACAATTTGGAATTGCAATACAGCAACTAAAAAAAGCCGCCGAGGGACAGAGAACATCACAGGGGCCTTATTCTCGGAGGAGATTCGAGAAGCAGCCTTCAACGCCCTGATGGATCAGATGTTGGCAGATGATCTTGGACGTCAGGTTTCGTTGTCACCGCCGCCACCATATTGCTTCCATGCCGCTCGAGGATTGGAAGCAAAACTGGATGCAGTGCCACAAGCATTCCAGGATGAGAGGTCAACACCGCCCGTACGGAAACATCAGAGTGGCGTGTATAACACCTCGGCAACAACAGCGTCCATCAAGAATGCGATTCCACTGGAATTGAGAATCTACAAAACCAAGATTGTAAAACTACACTGCGGCACACTCTACGCCGAGGAAAATCTGACCGTCCGAGAGTTTCGAACCATGATCTGCCAGAATCAAGGGGTGGAAGGGCCGGACCACAGAGTACTACTGCAGCAAGAAAAATTCGCAGGAAAGCTGGATTGGACGCTTGAAGAAGTAAGTGGCTACAGTCGCCGGTTTTACTTCTCTGGGGTCTTTCTGAAGCTGATGGGATCGATTTCAGGTAGGTATGCAAACGATACTTGTCTGTTCCGCTATCTCCACGGGAGGATCTGTCTCGGAGAGGAACCGAGCATCAGGGTCTCAATTGACGCTTCGAGGATCAAACTGAAAGGGGGGAATTTGTGCAAGAGGCTGTCGGGTTTTGTCCTCAAGGCACATGTCAGCGCGGAGACTACATCGCGGGAACTTTTTGAGGCTTTTTGCGTTGAGCGGAGACTTCAACAGAAGGAATGGGGACTGCTATTTGGTACCGAAATGATCTATCATGGCGCGCGGGAGTTGTCGGAGGGGAGGGTTTTGAGAGAGGTGGGTCTGTCTTAAGTACTCGCTAGCGACAGATGCTGACCAGTATTTTTCTATTCAGCTCGGTGTCGGGGACGGCGATGTATTATGCTTGGTGACATCTGAAAGAGAACCATAATACCGTGCAGATCATAGAGTCATCCAAAAGTCGTTTCTGCTTGGGGAAAGAGGCCCAGCATTTCGCAAGTATTGACACATGAATTTGGCTCCGAGCCTATATCCATTCCGGAGCTCACTGCGAGGATCGAATCATGTCGTAATTCATCGGCCCTGAAGAAGTCGTATGACTTCTGGTAGGATAAGTCATGTTCGATAGCCGCAGAGGAAGGACCTTTCTCTACCCAGTCGAACAATCACCACAGTCCAAGGACTCCCTAGCTCTCTCGCCTGGGCCCCAATTCAACCTTCAGGGGAAGCTTCACTCACACCACCATTCCATGATGACGTGAATTAAAAATGCTTCCACCTCATCAAAAGGGAACAATTCGCCTCGAAAACAATGTATCCATCCCCAAAGCTAGCCGTCACGGAAAAGAACAAAAAGACATGTCCCTAACCTTCAACATCTCCTTGCCATTCGACATTGAAGCCGCGCTGCACCCTCTCGCCGGCGAGAGCATAGAAATCAACGACCCGGAGATCCAGGACGCGATTCGAGATGCTATCTTGCAGGCTGCGAGGTCGTTGCCGTATGGGAGTGCGATTGAGGAGGGGGACGGTGGGAAGCCGTATCGGGCTAGTCTGATGGACGGGGAGAGGATTGTGTTGACGGAGTGTGATGATGATGATGCTGAGGAACAAGAAGATCTGGAGCAAGGGGATCTGAATTTTATACCGCAGGAAGGAGCTGACGGGGAGCAAGGAGATGGGACGCAAGATGGTGGTGGACAGACATACCTGGTGGATGGTTCCGAGCCGGACGAAGAGGAGGAGGAGGATGATGAGGGTGAAAGCAATGCGACGAGCACAGTGACCTGCATCCCTATTCCACCACCAAATTCATCACCAGGAGGAGAGCCAGACGAAAGACAAAGCCACTCCACAAACCAAATCCCAGCACCAGAGCCCGAGCCCAAGCAAGACCTTCCAGCCTCCTCAGCACTCCGATCCGAGTCCACACAACAGCAGCAACCATACGACGACACCACCCGCCACTCAACAAGGACCCCACACCGCCGCTCATCCACAACCACCTCCTACCACGACCCCAGCAAATCCTCCATCTCTTCCACTTCCACCTCTCGAACCCTCTCCCCTCCCCCCTACACCGAGAGGATCTCCGTCCTCATCAAAGACATCCTCGGCATCCAACACCGCATTTCCATGCGCCCTGATCTCGCCACCGTGGCTCGTCTCAGAGCGAGATACGCCATGTTGGTCCAGCGTTCCCGCAGTGATCTCATGTTCTTCGCCGCAGATGGCAAGAGGATGGAAGATGGGCAGAGTTTGAGCCAGGTGAGTAATGGGAGAAAGGTATTGAGTGGAAGACCCGCTGATGGAGTTCGGTTTTGCGTGTAGTATCTTCTCGATGCGAATAATCCCGTTGTGCTGGCCCTTCGAGCCAGTGCCACGACACTTCCAGCTGGGATGCCGAGGGAGACAAGGGTCAAAGCTGTAGATCGCGACAGCGCAGAACGGCGACCGTTGCTGGATTTTGATTCGGATATGTATAGCCGAACAACTCGGGGTTACTGATAATCTACATCTTGCCGGATCGAAGGCGTCGTGCAATGGGCAGCAGCCTATTGGTAATCGTAGTTTAGCCTTGTGGGAATGCCCGTGACTGTCATTAACATAGTGAATTGATATTCCTGTGAAGATGTACAATGACATCAAATCCATGAGTACGCGCTCTCGCGCACGGCGCCGTAAAACGCCGCTAAGGTATGTACACACCTGGTCACCCTCACCTTCCCAGCCTCTGCATCTTTTGTAGCTTCTACGCCTACCGATCAACCTCTCCGAACACCAAGTCCATGGTTCCAATGATAGCGACGGCGTCTGCGAGCAAGTGTCCTCTGCTCACTTGGTCAAAGCATGACAAGTGTGCAAACCCGGGTGCTCGGATCTTGCATCGGTAAGGTCGCTCGCTGCCGTCCGATACAACGTAGACGCCCATTTCTCCCTTGGGTGCCTCAATGGCGGAGTATGTCTCGCCTGGTGGGACTGTGTAACCCTTGCTGAAGAGCAAGAAGTGGTGGATCAGAGCCTCCATGTTCTCCTTCATGGCGGCACGTGGTGGCGGCGAGATCTTGTAATCCTCGACCTTGACAGGACCAGGGGGCATCTTGTTCAAGCATTGGTGGATGATGCGGAGAGATTGCCGGAACTCCTCCATGCGGCAAAGATATCGGTCGTAGCAATCACCATTCACACCGACTGGAACGTCGAATTCGACTTGGTCGTATGCGTCGTACGGCTGGGACTTGCGGATATCCCACGGTATGCCCGAGCCACGAAGCATGACACCAGAGAAGGACATGTTGAGGGCGTCGGCGGCGCTGACGACACCTACACCCTTGGTTCGGCCAATCCAGATACGATTGTCCGTCAAAAGTTCTTCAGTTTCATCGATACGGTCACCAAATTGTGTTGCCCACTGATAGATGTCGTCGAGGAGACCGACCGGAAGATCCTGAGAGACACCACCTGGGCGGACATATGCAGCGTGAAGGCGGGCACCAGAGACACGCTCGTAAAATTCCTGATCTCAATCAGCGCATGCTCTTCCCAACAGATGCACACATGCTCACCATGAGCTTCTCACGCTCCTCAAACCCCCACAAGAACGGTGTAAGTGCACCAACATCCATAGCGTGAGACAAGACAGACATCAGGTGGTTCAGAACTCGGGTAATCTCTCCGAACAGTACCCTGATCCACTTGGCGCGCTCTGGAATCTCGATGTTGAGCAGCTTTTCCACGGCCAGAGAGAAACATTGCTCATTGGTCATCATAGAGACGTAGTCCAAGCGGTCGAAGTAAGGCAGAGCCTGCATATATGTCTTGTACTCAATGAGCTTCTCCGTGCCACGATGCAGCAGACCAACGTGGGGGTCTGCTCGAATAATCTCTTCTCCGTTCAACTCCAGAATCAAACGCAACACACCGTGAGCGGCAGGATGTTGAGGACCAAAGTTGACGGTGTAGTGGCGGATCTTTCGCTCTTCCGGGGTCGCAGCGTTATCGTCTGCCATGTTCATATTGTGCCGGCTCGGGTCTACGGGGTGGCCAAAGGTCGGGTCTACAGGCACAAGACGTGTCTGGCCAGAGTGAGGAGGGGTCGACTGACTGCTGGCGATCGGGTTGGCGGGCTCCACTGGTGTTGCGAGTCGTCGTGCTGTTGTCGTCGAGAGGCATCGGAAGGAGTTGGGCGTCGCCGTGGGGACAGTACGCTGTCTCTGCGCGAGGCGGCGCGCGCCATTGGCGACCAGTCTGCTTCCCAGTGCCATGTCGGGTGATGATGGCAGCACTGGCGACGGGATGGAGTGGCAAAGAGTCGAGAGAGCGGAGAGGTTTTGGGTATATCGGAGTGGCCAATGGCGATGAAAGTGATGATGTCTCGATCAGGGCGGTCCGAGCTCCTCCGGGGCGCGCCTCGTCCCGTTCATCCGAACAATTTCTTGAACTTCAACTTTCAAGGTCCAATCATCAATCAACTTCACATGACACTCTTTCGGTAGCGACAAGATGCCTTCGTGGGCGCCTCTCACCGAGGAACAGCTACAACAAAGGCGAGTTGTCAGCGTCAACGCCGAGACCGTCACCAACACTGCATCGACCGATATACCCGGTCACTATGGCCCTGCACAAGACGACTCGTGGGATCTGGAGCGCTTCAAGAAGGACCTAAAGGTGCACTTTCACCAAAACAAGCCATACGACGCAGCATTCAGCCTGGTGGGCGTCGATTCAAGCATCGCGAACGCTTTCCGCCGAATACTGCTTTCCGAACTACCAACACTTGCGATCGAGGATGTCTTCATCTTCGACAACACCAGCATCATCCAGGATGAGGTTCTCGCGCACAGATTAGGCCTGATACCTCTGACAGGCGGACATGAGGGCCTGAGGTGGATGCGCTGGTATAAGAAGCCTCCGCCAAAGGATGACTACGCTGCACAAGCGGCATATGAGGCAGAGCAGCACGAAGGAGGGGCAGATATTGGAGCCAGCACGCCGAGTGACTACAATACAGTCGTCATGACACTCAATGTCACATGTCGGTGGGCGACTATGGAAGAAGACGGACGAGACGGACATAAGTTGGCCAAAGATGGAAGCACAGATCCGAACGAGAGATACGTCAACAGCAACGTCTATGCTAGCCAACTCGTGTTTGAGCCGCAAGGGAATCACCAACCCAAGCTGTTTGCGGGAGAAGATGCGATACGACCTGTGAACCCCGATATTCTGATCGCGAAGCTACGGCCAGGACAGACGATTCACGTGCGGTGTCACTGCATCAAGGGCATCGGCGCGGATCATGCCAAGTTTTCCCCTGTCGCAACGGCGTCATATCGCCTGTTACCCGACATCAAAATCACAAAACCAATCACGGGTGCGTCGGCGAAGTCGTTCCAGAAGTGCTTCCCTCGAGGCGTCATCGGGCTAGAAGACGATCCGGATTCAGGCGAGAAGAAAGCTGTCGTTGCCGACCCGTTCAAGGACACAGTGAGCCGGGAATGCTTGAGGTATGACGAGTTCAAGGACAAGGTCAAGCTGGGGCGGATACGGGATCACTTCATCTTCAGCATTGAGAGCAGTGGTCAATTTGAGAGCGACGAGCTCTTCATCGACAGCATACGGCTACTCAAGAGCAAGGCCGAGACCTTTAAGCGACATCTGGCCAATTTGAACGAGGGCAATTGATTGATGAAGGGAGATAGATTCCACGAGGATGAAAGGTGTTCTGTTTTGGATGCATAGCCTCGGCGTTCGGGTCCCGCGGATGATACCATGTTGATGTAGCAAAAGCAAGCTTGTCCCTCCCACGCATGGGAGATGTTGCAGTAAGTCGGAATTCCAAAGACTTTGACGATTCGATTGAATTGTCTACGAAAGTGCCTGGCTGCCAAAAGCTAGACAAAATCCCGAGACAGATCCCGCTGATGCACTCTAAGCATGGCAATGCCAAATCAAAAATCAAACCCTCCCTCCGAGAGCTGCATCACGCACATTAGCTATCAAGGCGCCGTGGGAAGCACCGACGTAGAAGTATTCAAGACACCGCCATCTCGGCCAACGTCACAGTGGCCCCTAATCCCCGTTTCCAGTCCTTGCCCCGGGCCTGCTGGCCTGGGAGTTTTGTCTTCTACTACTGAAGCGATATGCTTTTGCTTGCCGGAGCAGACGAGGAGAGAGCTCATGATTCTTGCTGTCGCAAAACAAGAGCATCACGACACAGACAGAAGCTGTCCTGGAGGGTCTCTGGTGACTCTGGAATGCTGCAGATCATCGTCATTGTGTGGGAGACGAGGCGGATGGGTGTTTGCTTAATTCGACGTAGCTATGGAAATAGCCAGTGCTGGAGCAGGGACATCTCCGTAATCGCATTTCCATTGCAACTGATTTGGTATCCGAGGGCCTAGTACTGGAATCGGAGTCTACCCTCCTGTCGCCTTCCAGAATGTCGGACTTCTTGGGGTCATTGGGTAGTTTCACTTGGTTGTGATGGTTTTGTTGTAGGTAGAAAGAAGCATCGCAACTTATACCGCCAGACGTAGAAGATGGCATTGTTAACGGCGACATCTAAACCTGGGGTCGACTGCTGAACGCATGGTCTCAGCGATGAATGCTATCTTATCGTGCCTGCCTTGTACAAACGAGTGCGAAATAGAATTCCTTATGTTATGAGCCATGATATCGTACATTAGTCTAGCCAGAAGCCTCCATGCCTCGATCGTAGACAGTACTGTTGGGCTGTCTGAGCGCGCGCCCTCCTTGTATGTCGGCCAGGACATCTGCAGCGACGGCTATGGCGCTCTCAGGAAGACCAGCCAGCTGTGCGACCTTCAGCGCATGGGAATCTCGGTTCACTCCTCTCCTTAGCTTGTGGACATATGACCAAGATCCGTCTTGCTCTTCGAGGACATCTGTACAATAGCAAACGAGATCCTCAAAGTCTTGCGTCATGTCTGCAAGCGCATGGAAATGAGTGGCAAAGAGGGCACGGCATTGATTGACGTTTTGAAGATGGTGCAAGCACGCATAGCCTACTGCGATGCCATCTTCCGGTGTAGTGCCCCGACCAACTTCGTCCATGATTACGAAAGAACGTGGCGTTGCTTCCTTCAAGATGTCTGCTGTCTCAAGCATCTCAACCATAAAGGTTGATTGGTCTTGGTACAAGTTGTCGGCAGATCCAACCCGGCTGAAGATCTTGTCGACAAGCCCAATCTCCGCGTAGTCTGCAGGTACGAAGCAACCCGTCTGTGCCAAGATGGTAATCAACGCGTTTTGACGCAGATACGTACTCTTGCCGGCCATGTTTGGCCCAGTGATGAGGTAGATTTTGCCTTCGTCACCGACAGTGCAGTTATTGGAGACGAAGTTGCGACCCTGATCGTTTAGCCCAGCATCAACAGTAGGGTGACGGCCGCCAAGAAGCCTGTGCGAAGAACTGTTATTAAGTATTGGCCGCACAAGATTTCTCTGCTTGGCCACGACGGCTGAAGAACAGGCGACGTCCAGTTCGTCGAGCACTGCAGCGTTTCTCCGCAGCTTCATTAAATTCTCCAGAACCTCTCCACGTAGCTTGCCGAATACTCTTTCTTCTTCCGTTCGTATCCTCAACTTCGCGTCATCAATCCGCACGCCAAGATGAGTCCAGTCCGATAGATAAAAAGACCTCGTACTTTTCGTCGAGCCAATCGTTCGGGCACCGGATAAGGAAGACAGAGTGCTCTGGGCGTCTTTTCCCTTGACATGGCAGAAGTGACCGAGTTGGGCACTCCACTTGAGTGTAAGGCTATCCGCTTGAAGCTCACTCCTCAACCTGCGGGCAAGCTCAAATTTGGCATCGAGAAGTTTTTCTAGATCTCGATGGGCTCTCTCAAGAGTCTGGGACGCGTTCCTGCACATGATCCAGATGTCATCTGATTTTGGATCTCCAGGTTTGTCGCTTGATTGAGATACTTGTGCTCGAGATGTGCGACGAGAAAGCTTCGGCCCCCTTTCCCCGGCAGCATCAGCATTCACGACTTCCTCCGTCATCTGTTCGGCCTCAGATTCATTCGCTTCTTCAACCATGTGTTGCTGATTGAGACCTTCCTCGTCGATGGCGACTTGTATATTTCTCGCGACTTTGGCCGGAGTTTCAAGATCAAAGCGGCCTAGAATATCCCATAAGAACGTGAGATCAAAGTCACTTTCAGCCTCACCAGGATCGTTGTCTTGGTTTGCTATGATGTGCTCATGTAGTATACTCGACACCTGCCGCATAACGTCAATGGTTCTAGCCAGACCGAGTAGGTCGTCAGCATCGCCTTTGCCAATCGAAAATTTCTGGAGTAGACGATAAGTGTCAAATGTTCGGCGCAGCATGCCCAAGACCTCCTCTCTCAGCACATCGTGCCTCAGCATTTCCTGTGCGAGATCAAGCCGATTGTTGATAATCGAGAGCGACATTGATGGCGATACCAGACGCTGACTAAGAAGGCGCGCGCCACTCTTTGTAACCGTCTGTCGAATTGCGTGTAGAAGACTCCCCTGGAAGGTGCCGTCCCGAAGTGTAGAGCGTATTTCGAGATTTCGCAAGCTCTGTTTGTCGATAGCCATCGACTCGTCGTCCGAGCGTCGCACGGGCGGCTGTAGTTGTACTGTAGTGCCTTGCATCTTCTCACGAATATAGTCAAGGATTAAATTGCCTGCCGAGACTTCGACCGCCGTAAACTCATCTTGTTCCTCCGATGAGACTGGTCTTTCCAGCATTGACGCCCATTCTGCGACTGAATCTGCAGCATGCTGTTGCTCGTGGAAATGAAGCGAGGGAGCGGCATCGCTGATCAGTCGCTGAAGTTGCGTCTGATCTGCAGAAGCCAGCGTAGAGTCTAGAACGACCTCTCTCGGACCAATTCGAGCGACCAACGATGGCAAAGTGGCGAGATCCGAGCTCTGCGTAAAAAAGTCGCCACTGGAAAGATCTCCCCAGCTCAGCCCGACCTTTGCGCTGCGTCTGTATCTTTCATACGCCGCTCGATCATCACCTACAGCTGGCACAGCCGGCAACGCGCCCGCAAAATGAATGGCCAACAGGAAGTTGTTCTCAAAGGGATCCATGAAACTCTCGTCAATGAGGGTCCCTGCAGTGACCACTCGTGTCACTTTGCGGTCCCAGAGCATCCCACCCGACTTCCCGCCACGCTCACCTTCTGGTAAGCGCACCTGCTCGCTGATTGCGACCTGTTTTCCGAGATCCTGGACAAACATCTTGAGATAGCGTTCCAGCTGCGTGTGTTGGAAGCCAGCCATTGGGACATCACCAAGCACGGTAGATCGCTTGGCTCTCTTGAGGTTGACTAGTGGTGCATACTGATCGACCTGCTCGAAGTACATTTCGTAGAAATCGCCGACTCTGGTGAGGACAATGCAGTCCTTGAACTTCCTGGTGTTGTTAAGATGTTGCTGCAGGACGGTGGGATACGTCTTTTCTGGCGGCGGAACGACATCCTCTTGAGGAAGAGGTGGCAACGCTCCTTGGGGTAGCTTGCTAAGTTTTAGGGTACTCTTGGTCTTCGCTCCTCGACGCTGGCAGAAAGGCTGGAAGCTTTGCGCAGAGCCATTGCATTGTTGATAGATCAACTGCCGCCTGGGCGGCCAAGCTCGATGCAACTCACATCTTGCGGCACGTGATGCCAGCCGCAAGCTCATGAGGCGGCGGTATTGCGGTGGAAGCTGTAAAAGCGAGTGTCGAAGCACAACCGAGAGACATATCTTAAGGTACTCCTGAAAGCTGCAGTGAAGTTCAGAAACGCTGCGGGAGCTGGTCGGCTCGTGCCGCAACCTTATTCGAGCAATCATCTAGGCATCTTCTAGATCTTAACGAAGACCACGTCTTAGAATTGGCACGTATACGTATGGCATGGAAAGTAGTGGAGGCGCTTGCCGAATGCTCACATCGCGTGCCAGCACAGTACAGGTCTGCAGCTGCGAGTGGGAGGCAGTTTCAAGACAGTTTCTATCACGTTGCGTATGGGTGACTTTATTCATCACGGCTCTAGTAATTTCGGCGTAAAGCCACGGGATTTAGCTCTTCGCGGAGCCGAGTGCTTAGAGAACGAAAGTCATGAGATTCTGCCGGTCCTAGACGAATGGTGAACAGTGGGAGAGGTAGTGCAGTAGCCACGGACACCATCCTCAGTCCTGCAGGGATATCTGGACTCAAGGATGGGGCTCGTTCGGTGATCTGGATGGCTCTAACGGAGCCCTCTTCACAAGCTCTAGACGGGAGCCACAAGCCGCGATGATTGTACGCACCCCGATTGCCCAAGACGGATTAAGCATTGTCCATGCGATGATGAGGTTCTGCTCAATCTGGTGGTACTCGACGTCTCACTATTTTGTTCAATTTGAACTTCAGGCCAAGTAGCTGACTCAGAACGAGTGGGAGACGGGCCTTCATGCCGCGCTGGTCGCAGATCCAGTTTCTGCGAGTGACTGTCCAAACGAACGATCCACGGGGGCAATCATCACTCGATCTTGATAGCATTGTCCATATGGTCGAGAATAATGCCTTTTGTGTGTTGATGCAATACTCCTAGCGTCGTCCTCTACGTTGATGGTCTCAGAGAGTCCATGACTAGCAGACGGAGGCCGTCGGATATGCAGACTGAGGCGGCGGTGGAAAACGCGTGTTGCCACACAGAAGTTGGATGGAGTGTTTGGGATGTCGGTGCTTGCGAAAGAATCCGGAAGCCTGATGACGCGCAATCGTTTTGGCGGCGGCGTGTGCCTCAGCCACACTGACGGTTAAACATCGGCCGAACCTGGGCCACCCGGCGACGTCAAGTGCGATTCTCAATGTTGCCCAAAGACTAGTATTACTTTCTTCACATTCACGACTGTCCCGCCCAATCTCTCCATTGTTTGCCGACTGCATATACTCGCCATCTTGCGACCGGCGGCTCCGCAGCGAAAGTACCCGCGGAGACGTTCTGAACTGAACTGGCCCAGGTGGAGTACTTCACAGCGGCCCAGTAGACGGGCTACATCGCAAACATGGTATGCGCCGACGCGCCTCATACCATGAGCCGAGCTGACATGGTGTAGGCGGTCACAAAACGAGCGGGTCGAAAGAAGGACGCGGCGCAAGCACAACCTCAAGCCGGCGGCGGTCAACCGCAAATCCGAAAGGCAGCCTACGAGACAGGCAAGAAGAAAGAGGTGGGCGTGTCAGACCTGACGCTGATTAGCAAGATCAGCAACGAGGCGATCAACGACAATCTCAAGAAGCGCTTCGAGAATGGCGAGATATACACATACATCGGCCACGTGCTGGTGTCCGTCAACCCGTTCCGCGACTTGGGAATCTACACCGACCAGGTGCTGCACAGCTACCAAGGCAAAAACCGATTGGAAATGCCACCGCACGTATTTGCAATCGCCGAGAGCATGTACTACAACATGAAGGCCTACCACGAGAACCAGTGCGTAATCATTTCCGGTGAGTCCGGAGCAGGAAAAACGGAGGCAGCGAAGCGGATAATGCAGTACATTGCGAGCGTCTCGGGGAGCACCAACAGTCAGATCCAGGAGATCAAAGACATGGTGCTGGCGACCAATCCGCTCCTCGAATCTTTTGGCAACGCAAAGACGCTGCGAAACAACAACTCCTCGCGCTTTGGAAAGTACCTCGAAATCCAGTTTAATGCGCAGGGCGAGCCGGTCGGAGCCAACATCAACAATTACCTCCTAGAGAAGAGCAGAGTCGTAGGACAGATCAAGGACGAGCGTAATTTCCATATCTTCTATCAGTTCACAAAAGCGGCGAGCCAGGAGCACAGAACGAATTTCGGCGTGCAACAACCGCAGACATATTCCTACACCAGCAAGAGCAAGTGTTATGATGTGGCGGGGATTGATGACACAGCGGAGTTCAGAGACACAATCAATGCGATGAGCGTTATTGGTATGAGCAAAGAGGAGCAGGACGAGATCCTCAGAATGCTGGCGGCGATCCTCTGGATTGGTAACATTTCGTTTGGCGAGGACGATCAGGGTAACGCCGCAATTCGGGACCAGTCGGTTGTGGATTTCGTGGCGTACCTATTGGAGGTGGATAGCGCACACGTGAACAAAGCCATGACAACGCGTATCATCGAAACAAGCCGAGGAGGTCGAAGAGGATCGGTGTACGATTCTCCTATGAACATTGCACAGGCGACCGCGGTTCGGGACGCTCTCAGCAAGGCCATCTACACGAACATGTTTGACTGGATTGTGCAGCGCGTGAATCAGGCTTTGAGAGCGCGAGGCGCCATAACGCAGAGCATTGGTATTCTGGATATCTATGGATTCGAGATTTTCGAGAAGAACTCGTTCGAACAGCTTTGCATTAACTACGTGAACGAGAAGCTGCAGCAGATCTTCATCCAGTTGACTTTGAAAACGGAGCAAGAGGAGTACGCCCGAGAACAGATCCAATGGACGCCGATCAAATACTTCGACAACAAGGTCGTGTGCGAACTGATTGAAGAAAAGCGGCCACCTGGTGTTTTTGCCGCGTTGAACGATGCTTGCGCAACTGCTCACGCAGATCCGACAGCAGCCGACCAAACCTTCGTACAGAGACTGAATGCGCTGTCTGGAAATCCCAACTTTGCGCCGAGACAAGGGCAATTCGTTATCAAGCATTACGCAGGCGATGTCAGCTACGCTGTTGAGGGCATGACGGACAAGAACAAAGACCAACTATTGAAGGATCTGCTGAACTTGGTTGGTCAAAGCTCGAACAACTTCGTACACACTTTGTTCCCTCACCAGGTTGATCAAGACAACCGACGTAGGCCACCCACGGCTGGTGACAAGATCAAGGCCTCTGCCAACGATCTGGTTGCCACGCTCATGAAATGCACGCCCAGCTACATCCGAACGATCAAGCCCAACGAGAACAAGAGCCCTACCGAGTACAACTCGCCAAATGTTCTACACCAGATCAAGTATCTTGGTCTTCAGGAAAACGTTCGCATCCGACGAGCTGGATTTGCCTATCGACAAACCTTCGAGAAGTTCGTCGAGCGGTTCTACCTTCTTTCGCCAAAATGCAGTTACGCTGGAGAGTACACGTGGACGGGCGACGCGAAGTCCGGTGTAAAGCAGATTTTGAAGGATACGTCGATACCGGCTGAGGAATGGCAAATGGGTGTCACCAAGGCTTTCATCAAGACCCCGGAGACTCTCTTTGCACTGGAAACGATGCGCGACCGATACTGGCACAATATGGCCATCCGCATTCAACGAGCCTGGCGAAACTACCTTCGCTACAGGGCAGAGTGCGCTACTCGTATCCAACAGTTCTGGCGTCGCAAGACTGGCGGCCTGGAGTTCTTGCAGTTGCGTGATGAAGGGCATCGATGCTTACAAGGCCGAAAGGAGCGTAGGCGTTACTCGCTTGTCGGATATCGACGATTCATGGGCGACTATCTTGGCATTGACAACAAGGGAGGTACTGGAGAACTTCTCCGGAGCAACGCTGGCATCGGACCGGGAGAAAAGACCTACTTTTCGTGCCGAGCTGAAGTACTGGTTTCCAAGCTCGGTCGATCGAGTAAACCAGAGTCGCGCTTCCTTGTGCTCACCAACAAGGCTGTATATCTGATCAAGCAAGCGTTGGTCAACAAGCAGTTGCAAATCATGGCTGATCGCACGATTCCAGTTGGATCTATTAAGTTTGTTAGCACCAGCACACTCAAGGATGACTGGTTCGCTCTTGGCGTAGGAAGTCCAAACGAGCCGGACCCACTTGTCAACTGCGTCTTCAAGACCGAGTTCTTCACCCAGCTGAAGCAGGTCACACGAGGTGCATCGCAATTACAGATTGCCGAGAATCTTCAATACAACAAGAAGCCTGGCAAATTGGCGACAATCAAGGCTGTGAAAGATCCTCAAGTAGCTCGAGATGATGTCTACAAGAGTGGCCAAATTCACACTGGTCCAGGAGAGCCGCCCAGCTCTATGAGCAAGCCCACGCCAAAGGGCAAGAGTGTGCCTGGGAAGGCCATTACCAGCGGCAAGCTTCTGAAGAAGAGCACAGGTGGAAAACTTTCGCAACAAGCTGCCGCTTCCAAAGGTCGACCTGTCCCTCAGACACGACCACTACCCGGAGCGCACGCTCAACCAGCTGAAAGAATCGTTCCCCAGCCCCCTGCTCCTCAGCAGAGCCAACCAAGGGCTGTACCACAGCCTGTGACGGCCTTGTCCAACGGCGCAAGTCACGCCAGAAATACTTCGAACGGATCTGCAAGAGTCCCACCTCCTCCTCCACCGCCGCCGGCTGCTGCGCCGCCCAAGGACCAGTACAAGGCGTTGTATGACTTCCAAGGTCAAACTGGTGGTGAGCTAAGCCTGTCTCGCGGGGAGGTCATTGTGGTCACCAAAAAGGAGACGAATGGTGAGATTGCTTGCACAAATTATTTTGACTACATGCTAATGTCGACAGGTTGGTGGCTCGCCGAAAGATTAAACAAATCAGCATCTGGCTGGGCGCCTGAAGCATACCTCGAAGAAGTGAAGCAGGCTCCACCTCCGCCTCCTCCAACCCAATCACGACCTCCGCCTGCGCCCAAACTCAATGGTGTCAACTTTGCCGGCGCCGGCAAGGGTAAAGTCCCTCCAGCGCCGCCTACGAAACGGCCAGCCGGACGCAAACCCGCTCCAGCTCCAGGAACGCCACGAGACTCTGGATATTCGAATGGAGCTGCGGGCGACTCAGGAACGTCTACGCCACAGGGACAGCAACCCGGGATAGCAGGAGGTTTGGCTGCTGCTCTGAAGGCTCGCCAACAGGCCATGCACAAGGAGGATGACCGAGAAGACGACTGGTGAGGAGACAGGAAGAAGTCTGAGTTGTCTGAGGTGTCTTGGTTGACGCCCCTCTGTGGATCAGTGATATATAAGAGCTCGCTGTTCACCGTGCTTGCGATTTGCGCGATAATGAGTTGTTCTGGCGCACTTGGACGGGGCGGGCGGGTAAGGCCGATGGCTCATTTTTATCATTGGCTTGGGGATAAATGAGACTGTTTTTCTTTAGCGCGTATGAAAATGCGTAAAGCTGGTCACTGGCTCATCATTCTTCATATTCTATCCGAGCTCTTCACGGGCAGCTACTACATCAAAGGTCCCTTACAGCCCGGATTCGACAATACATGGGACCTGGCAATGAGGTTGGCAACCATTGACTAGAGCCTAAACAGAGATGAGTCCCCCTAGTGTCAGTATGAGCGGCCTTGCATCTCTAAATCTTGCCAATGGACGATAGGAGCAGTGAGAATGACCAGCAGTTTTCCACGGACGGGCAAGACACCAGCATGTCACAAGACATCTTGGGATACATGATGCCAGAAAACGTCCCCAAAGTCGACCTGCAACTGCTCGAGCTCATCTATGGCCTGCTTAGTAGAGAACGCTGTTCCAGGCGCAATGTACACCCACCCACCGAGTATAGACCGCTTTCATGAGGCTCTGCGAGGAGCTCTTTCGACAGTCGAAGCCATGACGCGGTGCGCCATCCATCGTCATAAAGTGCTTCTTCGTTATGGAGATGGCAAGAAAGTCAGTCACTTCATAGCTTGTGCCACGTATCAGCTTCTACGGGCTCGAGCGAAAGACAGGCCGGCCGTAGCCAAAGAGGGTGTTGAGAGGCTGATCAGACGTGCTGGGATGGGTTCCGCATGTCTCGCGATGCTGCGATAAGTTGTGGAGTCGTCGCGTCCTCCAGTCCCAGTTGGCGGAACGCTCGTCTGGGGGGTGGTTTTTTTTTTTTGAAAGGCTGGGGATGACTTATATGCGGATCTTGAGGCGGAACGGATGTGTCTGATTTACATGTGAACACTTCTATTCATACTTCAAGCCTTATGCTCGATACCTCAGAATCTTGGTCGAGGTCTTGGTAAACTAGAGGGGAGGGGCGCTAAATGCTGCTCCTGCCCAATGAGGTTAGTCTGGTGGTTTTAGCGGGCAAAACACTCTTTGTCAAACACAACCTCACAATAATCATCTTGTAATAAAATGTTCACCATGGAAATTTTCATCTCCAAATGATATTCGAAATGGCTCTTGCTGTGCGAATCACCGCGTCGGGCTCATTCAGACCGTATTCAATCTAAGCATGTCATCGATACGGTGGTCATCCCGAAGCAGCGGACACGTAAGAGCGCGAATTGCTTAGATTCCGCGTTTGAGCGCTGCGTGTCCAGGCTGCAGCCTACTCGCATTCAATATGAGCAGCGCCTCATGCTTGAGTTATACGGGTATTGCCTGGGCGCAAAACAGGACACAGATACAGCACCGGGGAAACGAGAGGATGGCGTAAATCGATGAAAATCATCCACGATTTGAGGTATCTGCATCGTGCTTACAGGCATATCAAATGCCCAACTTTGGTGTGTAGAAGTATACAGAGATCAACGATACCCGACGACTCAACCGACGACACCATTATCAATCGCCTCTTTCAGAAAATTCCCACCAACCAGGACGAGCTTGTTATCTTGCGTGTAATCATTCAAATCAAAGGGTGTCCTAGCTTGCAGAGTGAGGTCCGCATCCGGATTGAAACCTTGCGGCTCGCGGTATACCAGGAAGGTGTATCGGTGCTGGGTGGTGCTGGCCGGGGTCAACGGCTGGTAGGTCACGACGGTGTCTTGCTTCTGGTTTGGGACGCAGTTGGGCTGGGCGTGGGAGACCATCCAGTGCAGGAAATTGACCTGGACCATGCTTCCATCTTGTGGGACGTCTGGGTCGACGAGGAAGTAGGTGTAGTTGGTACTGTATGGATCGTACTTCTGCTCGGCCGTGAAATTGAGGGTTGGCATCGTTAATGTCTCTGTATATATCGTTAGTCTTTGTTCCGCAAATGAGAGTGTCAGTTGCGTGACTTACGCTCTGGCGTGAAGTAGGTTCCCAGTTGGACGGCCTTCGAGCCTTGATCCGCGGTGTTGTACGCAACGTTGACTCCGACGGTGGGGTTAATGCGCTCGATCAAGTCCGGAACAATCATGTCGGTTTGGAATTGATTCTGCACGGCTGCCGCATAGGCCGGCGATATTGAAGGACAGTATTGCTGCGATCCACCATTGGCCGCTGGAGCTGCATTGCTGGCCACCACGCACAACAAAGCTGATACGACCGCGGGAGCATGCATATTGTACGATAGATCCAAAAGACAAGGGAATCGTTGTTGCTAAGTGTTCGAGGGCGCGACCGCTCTAAGATACGGTCGCCGTTCTACTTGTTTATATGGCAACGCTGAGCTTCGGACACACGCAACAAAGCGATGGCCGAACTAGAGGGGAAGTCCAGGATTAGACACCAGTATGCGCTGCATGCTGCTGATCAACTTTTTCATCGTGAGAAGGTGGCTTGTTCAAGCCGTGTCCAGCCAGGTCGTAGTTGGCTTCTACCTAGATTGACTCTTCTAAAAGCAAAGACGACTCCATACGTAGCGTCGCTTCGTCTGCCTGATGCTCACATGCAGTGCAACACCAAGAATCTTACCCGAATCACTTGCAAATCGTGTTCTCAGCAAGCTGAATACCTCACGGGTAAACCATGCCTCGGCGCCTGTTCGTCTGTTCAAGCTCGAGCTGAGCCAAGATCTACATCCGATCGACGCTGAGAAGTGTGTAAAGATCGTCGGCTTGCGGCTTGCGATCGAACGCACCCCAGAAAACGGGCCATATAAGCAAGGAACAAGGTACAATCCAAGCATTGTGCTTGAGTACGTTCTCGTGGATTACAGTCATAGAAATTTGTTGGTCGCCTATGAGGGAGGGATCGACCAGAGTACCAAGTCATTGCCCCGCTTGCAGGTCACTGTTGTGTTGATCGAAATCCGCGCCCACGGTATTCTCTTCGGATTGCTTTCGCCGGATGGAAGGCAGACCATGTCACTCGTTCGCCTCATTCGCAGCTACCTGCTGCTGAGATGCTGTCGAAGCACGTTGCTTCCTGTTCAGCGAGCTCGACCTTCGGCCAGTGCACCCGCTGACCCTGTCCACGTATATGCATTTGTCTCTAGCTCCAGTCCATCCAGAGATCCATTGGCACCTTAGACATCGAAAAGGTCATGCTTAGATCCGTCCAGGTTGAGCATTTACCTCTAAGGCGAAATCTCTCCAGTCTGGAGCAAAACCAGCGCGAATGCAATCTGATGTTTGACCGGACGTCAAGACATGAAAATGTCACGACCAGGGCGTCTGATAGAGTCGTAGCATGTTTGGCGGAGTTAGACGCTGCGGGTAGTAAGGGATAGAGGATATATGTCGGGCCCTACTCAAGAGAAAGTCACTGGAGGCTCGATAAGTCGTGCATAAGATTCTGGGATCTAAGCCCAAACGCCAGTTAATGCCATCAGCAGCGCGCCGGCTACCACCGCAGCGCAAGCCTGTAATCGCCGCTTGCCCCGTAACTCCTGATAGCTTTGGTCTGACAGGAAGTCTTCGGCCAAGAGCTGTACCAGCCCAGCATAAAGTAACAATCCGCTAGAAATGGCATTCATGATGCCTACCATCAATAGTCCGAACTGGCTCTCTGGATCGTAAAGTCCTTGCACACCTAGACCAATGGCTTGCCCAATGGGCGTTGTAATGCCGTACATCAAGCACATCAACCAAGGACGGACTGAGCCTGCATTGGCGAAGGTAGATATTGAAGCAATTCTCGATCCGAGCGCCAAGCCCTCGAATGTCTGGTGGAACGAGATGGCTATGAGAAGTACAACGAAAGCGCTTCCGGTGCTGACTGAGACGGCCAAGCCGATGAAGACGGAGTGAAAGAGGATGCCGGCTTCGAGCATCAGGCATTGCAAAATCAAACGCTGTTCCATAGCAGCGGAATGAGTTTGATCGGTTTCTTGGCCCTGATCGGCCCAGGAAACCTTGCGCGTATGCTTTGCGAGCCGAGTGTGGCCGTTCAATTGCCCATCTGCTTCTTCTTCCTCATCTTCGTCGTGTGAGGGTGTGTAGCGAGTCAAAGGCTGCGTATCATCCGCGGCAGGATCTAGCTCATCCAGCTCTAGATCAGAATCATCTCCATCCGGCTCCGGTGGCAGAGGCTTGTTAAGCGAACTGCTCGGACTGGCTGGTGAGTCTTGATATGGACTCTTCTGGTTTCCAATGGCAACATCACCTTCATCTTCTGTTTGAACGGGCACCTGTCGGAACGAATTGAAACTCTCACTCCTCCTTGGCGCTGCCGGTCTTGAGCTCTCTCCAGCCTCACCATCTCCTCTCAACTGCGTGAAATCTACATGATGACTGTGTCCTGCTCCTTTTGTCGCGAAAAACATCTCGATCCCCACTGTGACCATGACACTGATCATCGCAATGAAGCCCGGCATTGCCGGATACACATCTGTCCAAAATCGAGGCAGACATGGGTCCAGCAGGTTCGTATATGCGGTCGGGAAGAGGTGGACGAATGCGGTCGCGATGAGCACGCCTGTCCCGAAATGGCGACTGAGGAAGAGTGCATGGTTCGGCACATGCAGTTTAGGAAATCGGCGTACGATCAGAGGAAAGGAGCAGGCGAGAGTGGAGAGAGTGAGGATCAAGATGAGGGCGAAGACGTGGATGCCGACATTGTAGTTCCGGCTCTTCGCACCAGAGCCGCACGCCGGTCGTTCAGTCGGCTCTGCAGCTTGTCGTCGCTCGAGTTCGGCGCGGAGAATAGAGAGTGGGATATGCTCCCATCGAGGTGCTACTGCATCCGCGCATTCAGTTAGTGAGCCGTCGCAGGTAGAGTGAAGATGTAAGGGTTGCATACGATGCTCCGACGGGCCATCTCGTGTCATCTTCTGAGGATTATTAGTAGTACTGTAGACACCATTGTCGTGTGTGTGAGAGTGTCAAGTTGGAGGTACAATTAACGTGCTGGTCCACGTACCTGGTAGCCAAGAGCAACGAATCGTGCGGGAGTCTCCGGCCGACTCCGTCGATCTGAGGTGGATCCGCGTCACTCGGCAGCTCCAGCTGTTTCCAATATAACATCTGAATCCACTTTTACTATCCAGATCTAGCTGACTTGCTGAATCGATTAGGGAACAGATTAAATCCGAAATCGGAATCGATGGCTCAGATTATATCTTCATCTACTGATATAAGAATAGTCACATGCCCAGCGCCGTGGACGTCGCAAACCAAGGGCGAGAATTGGAAGCATTGTTGGAATAGCTGATAAGCTGGATGGAATGCATGATCCGAATGCTTTCATGAAGCAGCTTAGCTTCTCGTGGGAGTTGATTCTGAGTAAAAGTGTTCATCGTTATGGACTTGAATCGCAAGGAGATATTCTCGAGAGGGCTGCTGAGCTTCACGATGCTGGTGTTTGGGGAGTCTGGAGACTGAAGGGGATGTGTCAAGTGTAAAGGGCTTGGCGAAGGCGTATGAGAAATCGGAGAGCGGAAAGGCAATTGGGAAGAGTGGGCTAAGAGTTGGTGATGATATTCGAAGTCCAATGCTATGATCGTGATCTCTGGATGCAACCAGCCATAGCTTGAAGAATCAACCTCCTCGAGCGCAGAGTCCGGTGATATTGAAGCAATCTGGCCAGCTGTAGGATAAACCGCTTCCAGGCTCGAAGATGTTCGAGCATCTATCCCGCGCTATCCATAACCAGACTGCCATCGGACCCATCCCGTCAACACCACAAAGCGCCTCGCTAAGCAACAATCTCCCAATCCCTCCAAGCCCCTCACCCGGGCCTCCTGTCCGCAAACTTATGCAAATCCTCCTTCGTAGCAACACCAAGCACAAATCTCCTCCCAGGATCCGTCACAACAGCAAAATCCTGCTTCTGCCCCGTCCCATCTCCCTCAAAGAAAGCTTCCAACGCAAGCAACGTGGTATCCATCGTAATGAGCTGATACTTCTTTCCTTTCCGTTTGAACTTGATCATGGCCTGTTCGACGTTGTCGGTTTCTTTCACTTTTTGCGATTTGAGGAGTTGCTGCAGGTGGGGGATGGAGATGTAGCCGAGGAGGGATTTGTCGGAGGGAGAGATGACGGTGAGGTGGGTGTAATCGCGTTCGTAGGCTGCTATCAGGGCGGAGGAGATGGGGGATTGGGGGGAGGTGGAGAGGGCTAGCGGAGGGTCGAGGTCTTCCACTGTCGCCTATAAAAAAGACTGTTAGAATTGGGGGACGTGAGGTGGAGGTGCACCTCGTACTCCACGGTATTTGCTTGCCCAGGGCGATGTGCTTGGTCGTGCTGTGGATGCCATCATTCGATGTTGTACTCCAAGGCGAAAAAGTGTCTCTGAGTATGTATGTACGCTGTTTCCAGCAAGGTGATCGCAAACGGCAGGGGTTAACTTTTAGCCGGTCATACCCCAGTCGCAGGTGACATCAGACTGCAGCTGGCAGGAAGGTGAGCTCGGCAACCGGCTGACACTCTTCGCGATTCCTTTGTTTTGTCTCTTCCTCATTACTCCTTCTTACTCTTGGTTGAGGTGCGGAACTCAGCATTGAAGGGTGAGTGACTACCACATCACTTGACAATTTCGTGAGGTCCCGAACCGCGGCCCTCCGACCAAGCCATCCGGGAGGAATCCACAGCAGCATTGAGCACAGCTCCCACGGAGATAACGGCAACTGACACTCGCAGTCAGACACGTTGTTCGCCCGACATGTCGCTCTTCCCATCCATGAGCGCTCTGAGCGCTGCGTTCGGCAATGCGACACCCTACGCGAAGCAGCAGGCTGCTCCCCAGAAGAGATCAATTGCCCACCTCTACCAATCCTGGGACGTGACGGAGGATGCGCAGAAGAAGGCCAGCCAGCTGAGCGAAGCTGCGGCCGCGGAGATCAACAAGGCCTCAAATGCCGCACAGAAGCAGGTGGGACAGATTGAGCTCTACAGCCCCAAATATTATGCGACTTGGTAAGATGATGCCAATGCGACGGGCAATGCTTGGAAGCCCTGGCTGATGAAGCCACAGCACTTTTGGTGGATTGATGGCTTGTGGTGCCACTCACTGGGGCGTCACACCACTCGATCTCGTCAAATGCCGTCGGCAAGTCGACAGCAAACTCTACAAGGGCAACGTCGATGGCTGGAGAACTATCGTTAGACAAGAAGGTTTCTCCGGGGTCTACACCGGTGGCAGTCCAACATTCTTCGGATACTCTGTACAGGGCGCGTTGAAATACGGATGCTATGAGTTCTTCAAGAAGTTCTATTCCGACATGGCTGGAGAGGAGAATGCGGTTCGCTATAAGACTTGGATCTACCTTGCTGGATCTGCCTCCGCGGAGTTCTTTGCCGATATTGGACTGTGTCCGTTTGAGGCTGTCAAGGTTCGCATGCAGACTACTATGCCACCATTTGCGAAAGGAACGTTCGACGGTATTAGCAAGATTGTCTCGGCCGAGGGTGTCTCGGGGTAAGTTTTGCAACGTTCTCGGATTGGAGGGTACTAACGCCGTCGAGTCTCTACAAGGGCATCGCTCCTCTCTGGGGCCGCCAAATCCCATACACCATGATGAAGTTCGCCTCCTTCGAAACGATTGTCGAGATGATCTACCATCGTCTGCCTGGCCAAAAATCTGATTACTCCAAGGGTGCTCAGACTGGTGTTGCTTTCACTGGTGGTTACATCGCTGGTATTCTCTGTGCTATTATCTCCCACCCGGCAGACGTCATGGTCAGCAAGCTCAATGCTAACCGTGCTCCTGGCGAGTCTTTCGGTGCTGCTACTTCGAGAATCTACAAGGACATTGGCTTTGGTGGTTTGTGGAATGGCCTGCCCGTTCGGTGAGTATCTGCAGTCAAGGTGGAAATGCGAGAAGGGTGCTGACGATTTTCTAGTATTGTCATGATTGGTACCCTCACGGGTCTGCAATGGATGATCTACGACTCGTTCAAGATCTTCATGGGTCTGCCAACGACTGGTGGCGGTGGCGAGCAGAAGAAGGAGCAGAAGTAAACGGTCTGGAAAACGACTGTATATGAAGACATCAACGGGACCTTGCGTATTGAATTTACCGCAGACTTGGGCCGGGGAGACCACAGCTAATTACGATTATGACTTTACGAAGCACTGGCCAGGAGCTGGGAAATGTATGTATTGTATTTGATGATTTGACGAGATGACCTCCTCGGCCCTCATTAAGGTTGGTCATGGAGCCATACTCCGTGCCTGAGCACGTGAAAAATGCCTGATCAAGCCAATCCCTACGCCGGCGGCGAAATTGCGCGATTCATCTTCACATGATCGCCGACGGGCCAATAGCGCGCGGGGATGTTATCGCATCTCGATTTCTTGGCACATGTCATGGGCTCCAAACTCTTCGACCTCACGTCCTTCTCCAAGCGATGAGAGCATGCGGGAAGCGTTGGTGGAAGACCAAGTGAAAGACTTCCTCTCTACGCCATTTGGTCGGCTGCATGCTCCTAAAGTGACAGCTGATGGAATCCTCTTGCGTCACCTTTGCCGCGCGCGGCAAGCAGCACCAGGTTTGCTTGACTACCCAGGTACTTCCTTTGTGGTTCTTTTCTACCTTTACCTCCGTTCTATCCCGACTACATACCTTAAATTGGATCTGTTACTGAGAAAACAGCTTCATTGAAGAGAAGAAAGACCGATCCATCATGTCTCACGGCGCGGATATTCATTCTACTGGTCGCGGTGGTAAGTTCGCCTCCCACTCCCAGTCCAATGGAAGCAGCACGCCTGAGAAGACCGAGGACATTGAAAGCTTCGTCGCATCTTCGTGCCCTTTGGAGTCGATCGACCGATCGATCAATTCCACTCTTCCACTGACGAACACGCTTGCGAACAGGCGCCGGCAACATCGGCAAAGACGACAATGTCTACGTCGACGGCGACATCGTCCGCGAAGGCCACCCAGGCGAATCCTCAGCACCAGAATACTCCGCCGGACGCGGCGGAGTCGGCAACATGATCCACGCCGACCAAACGGGAGCTCCCAGCGAAGAAGTCGTCCCCGAATCAGCTACGCGTGTCCCGGGGAAGGAATATGAGAATTTCCACACGGGTCGCGGTGGCGAGGGGAATGTACACCGGGAGAAGCATGGTGGGCATTCGTCGCCGCAGAAAGAGCATGCTGGGGTGCAGGGACTCGTGGAGAAGGCGAAGCATGCTGTGGGGTTGGATAAGAAGGAGAAGACGCCTACGCCGGAGCCGGAGGCGAGGCACTAAAGCAGAGCCATCCTCAGAAGACGTGCCACGGAGGGATTTTCATCATGTGATACCACGAGAGAGAGGCATTTTGATTTTCCGTTCGTAAGAAACGAAGGGAACAGCAGTCCTGAATCCTACCATCCAAAGAAACGACTGACCAGCTCCCGCCAGCCCAGTCCGCATCACCCGCTTATATTCCCCTCACACCGTTCCTCTCTATCTAACTCGCAATGTCTCCTTTCCAATTTCCCCGATAATCGATCTGCTCCGCAATCACCAATCCCAATTCCGTCCCATCACTCTGGAAAAAAAAGGCAGCCCCGGCCGCCCGGATCAATACAAAGATCAAGATTTACATTCGCGCCCAAAGAGTTATATGGGGTGATCGGGATAGTTGAGAGTCTTGGGAGAATGGAGCGGATGGACTGACAACGACCATTCGCTCAGCCGGCGTTCTGAAGTACGCAGTGCGCGCGATGGAATTCGCCCTTGGAGTTGTGTCCAGCACCAGTACCTGGCAAGAAGGGCGTACCCATATATCGTGTCGTTGATCTCGACTCCGCTGGGGTATCAGACATGTGTAACGGTGCATAGCACATTTTCCGCCTCGGAATGGACGACTTCGATGGGGTTTGCCACTCGTCTGAGACAAGTCACACCGACAGTAGTCTCCTACGATTGCATTGGTGATCCCTTCGTCCTCTTTAATCCATCCTTCGCCGCTCCTCTGAAACGGGTTTCCTCGAGTGACTTTCCCCCGTGGCGCTACAATTTGCAAGAGCCGAGGAATAAGAGATCGATCGAAGCGAAGAGATCGATTGAAGGGAAGAGAAGAGTCGTCGTCTTGGAACTTGGCCCTAGTTTCGCATACGGAAAAGGAATCACATCCTTCCATATTACCCGAACACGGGCTGGACCCATATTTTTTTCGAACAAGGAAGATTTCGGAATTGCTTGAATAATTGCCAATATCGGGCCGGAGGCCACTCGTATCACCGTATACTAAATGAAATTATTGCGGTCGTGAAGGGCTATTGTTCACCTTCGAGGAAAAGTATACGAGTCGTTTCTTTGCCCTTCTGGGTTAGCTTCTCATTAGAGTAACTATGAAGGTCCCTATCCTATTCCTCATGACCCTCGCCTCTACAGCGACAGTATTCCACTATAACGCCATCTAATGCTACGCGGATGGCCTGAAGGCGTGTAAAAGGCCCAGGGCTCTTACGGCTGCGTTAGAGATGTGATCAACGATGCTACAGCGCGCTCGAACTGCGTTCACCCAAGCCCGCAGTATCAATCGGCGTACAAGGAAGTTACCTGCCAAGTTTGCCAAGTCAGATCCGGTGATCGAGGATGTTAGTTGGCGGAGCCGAATCCTCGTTTGTTGTGGAGCATCTCCTCCAGAGAAATAGTTGCTCCGGCGCCGCGTCTGAATAGGAGGTAGCAAGGAAGCTGACGCTTACCGGAAGTATTGCGCAAGTACTTGTGTATAGTAAGCATGAACTAGATACTAAAAATTTGTTTATAGAAGCGACGATACTACTTGCATCTGTACCGGTCAAGCAGCTGGCAGGCACTTTGGCACGAGGTATGGAAACGACAACAAGATGCTAGTAGGTCCTCTAGCTTAGGGTAAACGATAGACGATGTTGTTAGGGGCGGTGCGGTAGAGGAGAATGAGGAGCGATAGTAATTCTGGCAGCTTTGATAGTACCCTCCCTTTACGGCTCTGGAAAGGTCCCTTATACAGGAATATAGTAAGACCTTTCTCGACTCGGACTTTGCCGAATTCTGTCTAGTTGTAAGACTAGTTTACTTGGACCTCAGATTTTGCCTTGAACTGCCAATATCGGGCCGGAGCACTCGTATTGTAGAATTCTTGCGATCGCGAAGGGCTTTTTAACTGTCAAAGGAAGCATAAAAGCCGTTCCTCTTCGCCCTCCTCGGTCAGCCTACTCGAATATAATCATAGCAACCATGCAGATCTCTATCTTATCCATCATTACCCTCGCAAGCTCGGACGGCAAGCCGAGCTGGAGGTGGTCTGTGCGGAGATAGATGGTCTCGCGGCGTGTAAGGCCCAGGGCTCTTGGGGTTGCGTTAGAGATTTGGGCAACGGTAATATAGCCGGCTCGAACTGCGTTAAGCAGACTTCGGAGTGTGTGAAGGTCTGCCCTAGCAACAGTTTCGTTTACCAGAAGGATTTGTAAGTACTAGTGTGTTGTAAACATGGACTAGATACTAATTTGTTCTTAGGAGCGATGATAAAACTTGCATTTGTACCTTGTTTGCCGATGCCAGCAAGCCTTTCGACCCGTAGTGGACGATGGACGATGGACGATGGACGATGGACGATGGACGATGGACGGTGGACGATGGACGATGGTCGATGGTCGATGGTCGATGTTCTCAGGGGCGATGCGGTAGAGGAGGATCAGGAGCGACAGTATCCGGCAGCTTGATGGTTCTCAGGCCAGATAACCTCGTTCATATACTCTTCTTGCGACAAAGGCGATGACATGTTCGCGGTACCGAATCGCATTATTCAGCTCCTGCTCGTTCGCGCGAGTGGAGGTCAAAGTGTCGATTTTCTTGTTACGAAATCATCCCATCTGTATCGCATCCAGTCCGGTTGCCCTTAGAAGCAGTTACCGCTCCCCGTCCACGTACCTAGTCCACTACTCGGCTATAGCAGCCTCCCCCATGGCTCCATTATGAAGATCCCTCACCCGGGAATAGAAAGAGACATCTCGCAATAGTCGCCTCCAATCGACCAATGTCCCACTCTTTTCTCTTCGTTTGCACTAAGAACGAAAACATGAGCATTAATAACATCCAGCCACACGTCCGGGTTCGCTTTCAGATACTCGCGCCATACCAAGCCAGCTTTCGCCTTCGCGCCCATGGCAATCCACAAGGAAGCTCTTCTCTTTACAACCGGGCCATTCCAAGCAGCGAAGTATGTTCTGCTCTTCTGGGTTCGAATTGTCTTTGAGAGCCGCAGCGTATTCGTCTAAACAATGTTCGGAGAAGTCTCATCGCTTCGGGGCTGCTACGAGTGATACTAATTGCAACTTCGTGGGACGTCGATCGCCAGTGAGTTCCGGAGTACTCTGGTTAATGTCCACAACTCGTCTGAGGAAAAGTCGTTGCCGATGATGAAAGTGGAAGTTTGACATTGCCGCGTTACTTGTGCAGGCCTCCCGCTGTTGCATCGATCTCCAACCACTCAGCTGAGCTAGGGAAGTAGAGATTCTTAAGAAGTAGCGATGGGCAGGAATATAACAAAGCCAGCCTTGAACAGCTTCGCCATTTCCGGTACGATTGAGATTGCAGCTCACTTTCTGAAGTCGTCTGCGGCCGGGATCAAACTCTCGAGCATAGGTTTAAAACGGATAGGTGCTCCCAGCTGAGAGAATCTTCTCCAAGAGTCTCAAGAAAGCACCGAGAAATAAAAGTTGTCTCAAGTCAAATCTATCACATCCTTGGGCTGGCTGACACTCGGTGGAAACCTGGAACTGATTGACGACTTGGTCGCTGGTGCCGACGGGTTCGGCACTGACATCGACCGGTTGCTGTTGGAAGCGTTGGTACCAGCGACGAGAGGCTGGCGCACGGGATCACTCTTTTGCTTCTTCGAGGCCTTCTCGTTTGATGTAGCAGAAGACTTCCGTTTCTTGCTTGCAGAAGCGTTGCATGAGGTCTCCAGGGCCGATGGCGCTCCCCATCGGACAAGAAACTCAGGAAGCTCCGTCGTGTACGGCTTATGCGGATCCTGATTATTCTTGACGTCGTACCAGCCTTGTGGATCGAAGATTTCATTGTCATAATCGATCGGCACAACGTCTAGGGCGTTGAACTGTACCTTGATGTATGACGCCGAACCGGCCTTTTGCTTCTTGGGCTTGGCTTCTTGAATTAGATCAGATCTGTCCATGCTCTGGTGCCCGTATAATAGCAGGTCCCGAGCAAGGCAAGCGGGTGCAAAGTTGCGGAGAAACTGCCGAGCGCGATCTTGGTTGTACCAAGTGAAATGCTCAGCAGTCGCCTGCCGAAGGACAGGGTAGTCGATCGCCTTTGCTTTCCAGAATGTCCTTTTCATCTCGTCTAGAGTCGCGATAGAGGATACGAGAGGGCGAACATAGTATCCTAGAATCTTTGCGCTTGGGAAATCGGTTTCACGTTTGCCGCCGGCACCTTTACAAGTGCTCAAGATGGCATCAGTGAGGCTATTTCGTAATCCTTTCATCATGCCGTCGATTTGAGCATGTTCTTTCGTCGAAGTTGCAATACCGAGGAGCATTGGACAGAGTTGTGGTCTCGCTGCCTTAATCTCTTTGGCGATAACAAGTGCTGTCTTTGCGCCGCATCCGGCGAGGCCATCAGTGTAGTCGCCTTTAGAGAGCCATCCAAGCAGTATCCAGTCCATAACATTACGCTCCAAGTCTTCCAATTGGTGGGCGTCCACCTTGCGCAAGTCTTTGTCGCCGACCTTGCCTCTGTACCGCAAAACGATGCGGCCTCCAAAAGCGAGCGCATCGCCGTCGGTTGTAAGGACCCCATCAACGATACCAGCCCTCTCCAAAGCCACGCATTCCGCTTCAGCTTCGCCAGGCGCATCGTGAATAGGAATCTCCATGATATTGAGGAGACGTCTTCCCAAAGCAATCACATGGCCGATCTCGAATGACTTCTCGATGTCGTTGCGGGTGACAGGCGTGGAGAAGGGAAGCATCTTCGCTTCCCGAGTCACGGTTCGATGGCCGCGCTTGATCGGAGGTCGTCCGGGGCCGTCAAATACATAGACGGGCTCAACGCCTTCGAGCATAATGTCCTTCGCATTGTTGATGAAGGCCTTCGCTGCGTGGTTCATACCATCTATTGAAGTGTCAGTGCTTCACCAAACCATCCTGCGGCCGAGCATACCAAAGTGCGAAGTTCTCCATGCCGCCTCCGTGGCATGTTTCACCTTGAACAGCAGTATCGAGGCATCTACGGCGAGTCGCAGTGGGCGTCCATTCTCAATCATGCATTTGGCGCTCTCTTGCGCGAGTGTGGTCCTGGCAGAAGTCGTGATACGGTCCACTTCGTCCCATAAACTGAGGTTCGTTAGAGACGCCTTCTCCATTGAACTCTCAAGTACGACGTACCCGATGATGCCCATGATGGCCTGGACTCGCCCGTCCGTCCTCTCAATCGGTCACGTCGGCGGTCGTCTGGAGATCAGCAATGGCACCTCGGTGTTTTGCGGATAAGTACTGAAGTTATTCACGGCGGGAATGGGAAGGGAGAAACGGAAGTCGCGCCTCGCGTAATGAACATTACATGTAGGCAGACGCGAAAGTTAGTATGACCTACCCCTGCCACATCACGGTACGATAGCTGTAGTTAGAGCAAGCATTCAAACTGTCCTCGGAAGAATGCTCGCTGGATGGGGCGACCGGAAAGTAATTGGACGTTGCAAAGGTCACAGGAGGCAAGAATCCGAGTTGCTCCCTTCTCGTCAGCAAGCAAGAAGAAAAAGTCGGAGGCGAAGCGAAGTCGTAGGTTGAGGGATGCTTTATTTGCGTAATGCACGCTGAGTCATCACCTTATAGCATTATCGCGGTAATCTGCTACTCTGTATCTGAGTCTTGTCCTCTATTACACCAACGACGCCCAGATTCTGGCGAGGCTATCGAAGCCCGTATCAGAGAACAAGTCGTACACCTCTCAGACATGATGAACGGTCGAGCGGTTCACATGCATCTCTCCGAAAATGTGACTGGAATGCTCGATATTGGTTGCGGTACTTGTATCGTAACAGCCTTTCTCGGACGATGGCGTTTACGCGGCTTGCGGGAGTAGGAATACGGTGAGCAATGGTCTTACGAAGAGATGGTTCGTTGGCGTGGGCCCTTACCGCACAGTGATTTGCAGACTCGGATTTGCAAACTTGATCGCCGTGACAGATCTGAACTGCTTTGGAGTCTTGACCGTTTCAACGATACAGTCGATTCCGTCTTGTCATTTCATCACGACTGCGAGGTAGGCTGTTGATCAGACCTTGAAAGCGCAGCGATACCCACAACGCATCATTTCAACCCATTTGAAGTTGACCAGGCACCTAGAATCCTCTGGCTTACGATAGAGCCACTTGATCTCCGTTGTCAACCACCGAAATTTCAAACAGCCCCCGTCTCTTGTGTTTCTCGCTTGTCAGGTCGAAGGCCGTCTCTTCGTCATTGTAGCCATGTATCACATGTCCGTAGTGGTTCCCGAAGTGCATTTCCACGCTCCTACTTGATTGAGTATCTTAGGAGTGACGTTGGTAGGGGTCAAAGTTGGCTTTAGTATCGACGGTGCTGCCAGCGACGCTCGAGGACTTGTGCGACTTGCGTGAAGTCTCTATGCCTCCCTACAGGCGGGCCGCCGATGATCGGAGGAAAGCCGTGAATAAGGTACAATCGCAGGAGAGATGGCGAAGGCGAACGGATATCGTTCAGTCGACAAATATCATGACTACGCGCAGCTGCTAAAAAGGCAGGGCGTGAGATGAAGAGGCAACAGGACACAAAAGGGGGGCCTCACCGCCGGAATCCCACTGCCAAAGCAGTAGCAGCAGGTCTTCGCATGCGTTTCGAAAGGCATCAATGTGGCCTAAATAACATTGACAGCCACCGTTATCCTTTCCCAGCCAAAAGCGAAGCGAATAGGCGCAGCACAACAACTGCGAATGGAGATCGATTCGTGAGGCTGACTTTTCAGCCAGAGAAATCATTGCAGGGTGTATTGTCCGGAGCTGAGGCAATTGAGGCTGAGATGGCCCTAATACTGTTCCTTAACTTGGCAACATGAACTAGCCGAGAAAGTTGCAGTCTCGCTTCTGCAGAGCTGCGGCTGAGCGGCAGGTCTCGTGCACCAATCCCCGTCATATGTAGCCGCTGGATTTTACCTGGGGTGTCCGGCGCTCAGCTGCGGTATATTTGTACACAGAAGCGTTCAGTCGATTGAGCTCAGGTACGCAATGCTTCGATGGGTCGGCGACTGAATATGTTGGGTTTTTCTATCCTCTCCAGCGTAACATCCTTCTTGTTAACCTTTCTCGCATGAGCCTGTTCGCTTCTGCGTTGGCAGCAGTAGTGGATGCACTCCTGGGCGTCTTCTTCCAAGCAACAAACTCGTCTCTGACCGTCTTCCAAAGATCGAGATCCGCGATGAGAATTTGTCCAGAATTGAAAGCATCGAAGATGTATGCATCAGTCCGGGTGGGCATTGACGTCGATGCCATCAGAGATTCTCGCTCTGAAGATTCGGGCTCTACTGCATCTGATGCTAGCCCACCAGCACTCAGGTTCTGCATTTCAATATCCTGTCCCTGCGTCACTTCCACTGACCGTCTAACTCCGCGTTCTTCATCGTCCAAGCTCTGTCCAGCTGATACGGGCTGAGCACTGTACGTGTCTCCATCACTCGTTGTGACAGCCACGGGGGTTGCTTCTGCAGTCGATGATCCGTCTTTCAACTTCATTTTTAAGACATGCACACTCAATTGCACAACTTGCATCACTAGTACAAGAATGTCCAATACCAAAAGGTGCACTTTCGATGTCGGCCCTTTCTGCCCAATGAAGTCCATTGCGAGGCCGCCATGTAGGTATCCCCTGGTCTGTTCGCCTGCAGAAGGCGCAGCGAAAATGGCATGTAGCAGGAAGCAGAGTATGTTACTTCCAAATATTCCTCCAATGTACGGACGATTCGGAGGTGGTTCGGGGAAGAGCGCAGGCTTCGGTGTGAGGAACATGAGCTGGACGATGGCGCGTAGCAAGAAGCGCGTGAATGAGCAACTAAAAGATTCGTCAGCGTGCGTATATGTTGTATTGCCTGAACACATACTCCATGTAGTAGATTGCGCTCAGCTCAGCGTAGACGAGGATATCCAGATTTCGCAATAAATCATCCAGCAGCTCTCCTCTTCGTTTGTTGAAGTTTTCGCGATTTCTCTTTCTTCTCTTTGCGACCTCCGCCGCCGTGATAGGCACTTCCTGTTCGGCCTCTTCATCTTGAGAGATTGGCTCGGGATAGTCGGCTGCTGCGGCGGAGGACGAGGGCTCATCGTTCATATCTCGTCGTGATTGTCGGCTGAAGATGAGCGCATGACTCGTCGCTCATTTGATGATGTTGTTAGGTCAACATAAGGTGGAAATGTCGTCCGTTGATGGCATGTACCTAGTGTCGGAAAGTGGCAGTGAGGTCAAGCACGTGAGAGCCAGACAGGGTTCGGCCCGGTAAAATCTCGGAATTGATCTCCGCAGTCGCGTCTCTCGACGCGTGAGCATTTCCATCTCAACTTCAACTTCACGTCAACTTTCCTTGACTGGAAGACTCACCAAACTATGAACGCCTTCTTCGACAATCGCGCGCGAGCTGCCGCTGCAGCAGCCAAGGCGAGCTCTTCCAAGGACACAGCACCGGCACAAGACAATCGCCTGCAGCCGTGGGTGGAGAAATAGTATGTATTGAGAAGAGAAACATACCACCGCTTCTCCTTGCTAAAGAGACACAGCCGTCCCAAGTCCCTCGACGACGTCGCCGCGCAAGATCACACTGTCACCGTACTCCGACGAACGCTCCAGTCTGCCAATCTTCCGCATATGCTGTTTTATGGTCCACCAGGTACCGGCAAGACAAGCACCGTCCTCGCCCTTGCGAAACAGCTCTACGGCCCAGAGCTGATCAAATCACGTGTTCTCGAGCTCAATGCATCAGACGAGAGAGGGATCAGTATAGTGCGAGAGAAGGTCAAAAACTTCGCGCGAATGCAGCTGTCGAATCCACCTTCCGGCCCAGCAGGAGAGGAATACAAGAAGAGATACCCATGTCCGCCGTACAAGATCATCGTGTTGGATGAGGCGGACAGCATGACCCAAGACGCGCAATCGGCTCTACGAAGAACGATGGAGACGTATAGCAAAATCACCCGCTTCTGTCTTGTCTGCAACTACGTCACCCGGATCATCGACCCTCTGGCTTCCAGATGCAGCAAGTTCCGCTTCAAGTCCTTGGACGAGAGCAACGCTGGAAAGCGAATCGAGGATATTGCGCGACTCGAGAATGTGAAGCTGGAGTCTGGCGTGGTAGACACGCTCCTCCGATGCAGCGAGGGAGACTTGCGGAAAGCCATTACCTTTCTACAGTCCGCTGCGAGACTCGTGGGTGCAGTGCAGGTCGCGACGGACAAACCTGATAAGAAGCGAAAGCGCAAGACGGTTGCCGAAGACGATGAAGATGACGATGCCATGGACGTCGATTCTACATCCCCCGCAGATTCGAAGCCTGTCACTGTCAAATCAATCGAAGAGATTGCTGGAGTTATCCCCGACAACACCATGGACCAGCTCCTAAATGCCATGACCCCCAAATCCAAGTCTGGCGCGCCGTATGGTCCGATCGCACAAGCGGTAGAGGATCTGGTTGCCGAAGGTTGGTCTGCTTCGCAAATCGTGACGCAGCTGTATGATAAGATCGTACTGGAGAATGAGACCATCGGCGACGGGGCAAAGAACAGTATAATGCTTTGCTTCTCGGAGACTGATAAGCGGCTGGTGGATGGTAGCGACGAACACCTCACGATTCTGAATCTTTGTTTGCAAATCGCTGGTATCATTGGCGGTGATAGGTGAATGTGAAGGGTCGTTACAGATGGTGAAGGCAATCTCCCGGCCAGCTACCCGAGCATGTTTTAATTGACGATTAGCGTTGGCGTTGAGGGGCTATATCTACGACGTCAAAGCACGATGTCCTTCGAAGGGATCACTCGCGTCCAGAAAAAGATTCTGAAGAACACTTCTTGACAGCAATTCCTGTGACTGCGACGCATCTAATCTGCAAGGCCAACATGTGGTAGTCGCTAAGTGGTCCCTAGACCTCATTCTACAGCCAATCATCGGTGGCTTCGAAAGTGTACTTGCCATTTTTGGTACTGATGCTCACCACATGAAGTCAGCCTAAACGGGAAGTATCGCGAAGTGTAGCATGGAGGATGATCGCTCAACATTGGCGCGGTCAGGCATCGTCATCGAACCGGTGGCAGCTTTATTATTACATTTGTTGAGCACCTACCGTGTATTTGATGTGCGTGCAGATCTCGAAGAAAATACCTCATGACCCTCTTCCAGCCCGATTTTAATGAACCCAAAATCTTTCAATCCTTGCCTTCGCCGTTACCACGATCCGCTATCAAGATGCCGGCGGACAAGGAATACGAAACCACGGACTTCGTCGCAGATGAACCATATTCTTCCTCGACCTCCCTCGAAGGGGAAGACCCCAAAACTCTAGAACGACGGATTCTCCGCAAAGTGGATATTCGGCTCCTCCCCACGCTCGCGGCCCTCTACTGCATCGCACTCGTCGACAGGACCAACATCTCCGTTGCCAGAATTTCCGGCCTCGACGAGGATCTGAGACTCGATGTCGGCGATCGCGCGAGTATCGTCCTCCTCGTCTTCTTCGTTGGATACGTGATTTTCGAGATTCCCAGTAATATTTTGATTCGCAAGATTGGGCCGGCGATATGGCTGGGGGCTATTGGGGTTGCGTGGGGGGCTGTGAGTTTGGGGATTGGATTTCTGAACAATTGGATTTCGTTGGCTGTCTTGAGGGCTATTTTGGGGTGTTTTGAGGCGGTTCGTTGAAAATACGTGTGTGTCGATGGGGAGACTGAGCTGATTGTTGTTGCTGCTGTTAGGGTTATTATCCCGGATGCGTATACCTGATCGCTTCCTGGTATAAGCGCTACGAAGTTCAAAAGAGGTTTTCCTTCTTCTTTGTTCTAGCCACGGCAATCTCTGGATTCGCAAATATCTTTGCCCTTGGACTGATTCAGATTTCGAAAGTCACAAGCTATAAAGGCTGGAGATGGATTTATATTATCGAAGGAGCCATGACGATCCTGGTAGCGATTGCGGCTTATTTTATTGTTGTGGATTTCCCGCAATCGCATCGAAATAAGTTCCTTACGCCAAAAGAGAAGAGTTATGTGGTGGAAAGGCTGGCTCACGACCGTGGACGGGAATCCGATGGTGACAGAGTTACGTGGCGAGCGATCTGGAACACGGCAAAGGACTGGAAGGTCTGGACTTGCAGTGTGATGTATTTCGGCGGAGCAGTGGGATCGTATGCCTTTACGCTCTTCCTTCCGATCATCCTGCAGGATGGCCTGGGATTCAGTCGGGAATTGTCGTTCTTACTTTCCGCTTTTCCGCCTGTGTTTGCCGCGCTGGAAGTCATGGCTCTCTCTTGGGTATCCGACAAAATTCACCAACGAGGCATCTTCGTTATCGGCCAAAGCGTGCTTGGCATTGTTGGTCTGGTCATGGTCGGCTTCCTCCGTAACCAGGTGGCCAGGTATGTCGGGGCGTTCCTAGGATACGCTGGAGCCACGGGTCTAGTGGTCAGCTCCATGGCCTGGCTCACAAACAACGTACGCGGCGATTCGAAGAGATCCGTAGCGACGGCTATTGCAATAATGTTATCAGGCATCTCAGGAATTTATTCGTCCCTCGTGTTCCGACAACAGGTATGTCTTGTATTTAACTATACTTGTGGGTCTCGCGCGAGTACGAGTGGCTGATCTGAAGTTAGGATGCTCCTGGATATGTGCCTGGTATCTATGCTGTTATTGCTGTTGATTTACTGGCGATTTTTTTGGCAGTCGTTACGGTTCTAGGGTTGAGAAGAGCTAACAAGAGGGCGGAACAAGGGAGATTGGTGATTGAGGGCCTGGAAGGGTTTAGATATACGTTGTAATGAGCTTGAAGACTGTATGGCTGTATTGTTAGCGCTCTGTATCTCAGAGCGATTCATGTGATCAAATCCAAATGTGTTGCCCGATTTTGTGGTTCTTTCCTCGGATTATGATTCACATGCGCTTAATCCCTCGTTTATTCTTGCTCTGACATGACATGGGATAATTACGTGCCCAGGCAACAGCCGTTAATCCGTAAATGCCGCATCATTGATTGATGTTCGCGACGAGATCTGGCGTTTGCATGGATGAAGCTGAAAAGGTCGTCGCGGACGACACTGTAGCATTGCTTGTCAACGAGCGCCACATTCCGAATTGTGTCGAAGTCCAGGCACTGCGTCATTAACAACAGGATATCGACAGGCAAATCTTTTAGGCGTAGAGATGCCATATCTTGAAGTGAGATGAGTGGGAGAATGTAAGAAGAGAGCGTTGGAAGGAGGAGAGAAGGAAGGAGGAAAGAGGAAGAGGTGAAGTCTCTAACTCCCCGCCTCAGCCAAGACCTTCCCGATGTGGTCTGGCGTAGGTTGCACTGGGGTCTTGCGCAAGGAACCACAGTTTGATTTAGTCGCTTCCGTAAGAGACCATTATCAGCCGCGTGCCGCCGTCACCCTTACAGTTTAGAAAGAGCTGTCCCTGCAGTAGCTCGGCCAGCCCGCGCAAAAGCACTGATAGGCCAGCTTTCTCATATCTAACCCCTCAGATCTGCTGCATCTACTAGCTCTCTCTCTGTCTCGGTCGACTGCAATAGGCGAGACAGCCATAGATGAACCTGCTCGACCCATTGTCCCTCCCTTCATCTTTCTGTCAGATTTCTGACCTTTAAGCAGCCATATGCTAACGGGATTCCATAATGCCTACAGTATACGCTGCCCATCCTGAATACCACTACGACCGTGACTTTCGCGGCTACGGCGAGCAAGGTCTCCAAGGCCTCAATTGGCCCAACGATGCCAAAATAGCGGTTTCCTTCGTGATAAACTATGAAGAAGTACTCCGATGTTCCCTCCTTAAGAGCACCTTCCTCTGGTCTCAAGACTAACATGTCTTCTTCAGGGTGGCGAACGCTCCATCATGTCCGGCGACGGCGAGTCCGAATCCAACCTCGTCGAGAACCCCGGCCGCCCTCCGCGAGTAAACGAACGCAACGCCAACGTAGAATCAGAATACGAATATGGCTCCCGAGCCGGCTTCTGGCGTCTTTTCCGTCTCTTCGACAAACATAACATGCATTTCACGCTCTATGCTGTAGCGCAAGCAGTCGAAGAGAATCCCGAGGTAGTGAGCAGATGTGTCGACAAAGGGCATGACATTGCGTCTCATGCTTACAGGTGGATTGATTATCAGGGGATGAGTATAGAGAAAGAGACGGAACTCGTGAGAAAAGCGATTGAGAGTCTGAAGAAGTTAGCGGGATATGCGCCGAAAGGATGGTATTATGGACGGGGATCGCCGCAGAGTCGGACGTTGGTGCCAAGGGTTTATGAGGAGATGGGAGAGGAGTTGGTTTGGATGTCGGATACTTATGCGGATGATGTGAGTTTGCTGGTGATGCTGTAGTCAATGATTGTTACTGATAGTCTTCCACAGGTTCCGTACTGGACTGACAGAGCGGACGAAAAAGACAAGCCAGACCCGAAAGGACTTCTCATGGTGTAGGTGACGATTTGATTCTCTTTTGAGCCTGCGGCTGACAAGTATGCAGCCCATACTCGTACGACTGTAATGATTTCAAGTTCCACACAGCCGGCTCTGGTTTCCGCGATCCAAATGGCTTCTACACCCATATGAAGAATGCTTTTGACGTGCTGTACGAGGAGGGCGAAGAGGGCAGTCCTAAGATGATGACGATCGGCCTGCATTGCCGCATCGTGGGTCGTCCCGGACGATGCAAGGCCCTCAAGGATTTCGTGGAGTATATCAGCCAGAAGGAAGGCGTTTGGGTGGCAACTCGGACCGAAATTGCAAATGCTTTCGCAGAGCAATTTCCGTATCAGAAAGGAGAGCTGGCTAAAGCTAAGAGCGTCTAGTACTTGTTGATCTGATGCTGGCAAGGACCAATAGCCTCGGAGGCGAATTCATCTCTACTCAGCCCACACCTTGCTCACCTCCTTTGCAACGTTCAGTAGCGCCATATCGTTGTATCGGGCCAAAGTCAAGCTGAGCCCGACTGGCATTCCATTGTCTCCTTTGAATCCGGGTATGTTGATCACGGGCACGTGTAGAGCCGTCCACATAGAATTGAAGACGGCACTGCCTGTACTCTCCAGCCCTGAGGGTGCCTCATCTGGTACAGACGGTACCACGACCGCGGCATACTTTTCAGCGATGGCGTCCCACTTCGGCCGAAGGGCTGCAATACCATCGAATGCTTGAAGGAAGTCCTTGCGGCTGTACCCATGTGCTTCCTCAACATGGCTTTGCAAGAACCGCCCCAGTTTGTCCTTTGCTTTCAAATAATCTGGTCGGAACATCACCCGGCCTTCAGAATATAGAACGCAAGTATGCCACTCTGGTAGCTTGGTGAAATCCGGTGGAAATTCAATCTCTTCGACTTCGGCTCCAGCTGTCTCCAGTTGCTGCTTGCCTTTTTCGAATGCCCGACGGGTGCCTGATCCCGCGTGATCCCACAACATCGTCTTCAAGAACGCAAATTTTAGGCCCTTGACTCCGGCGGTAATTGGTGCTGGTATCTCATCATCTTTGAGGCCAAAGACGCCCCCCAAGAGCTCCAGATCTTCCACGGAGCGGGCATACAATCCAATCGTGTCAAAGTCCAGGCTATAGATCTTCTGACCTTCTCGTGAAATTGCATTCCATGTCGGCTTCAAGGCATAGATTCCATTAAAACTGCCAGGGCGGATGGTGGAGCCTCCAGTTTGTGTGCCAAGAGCCAAGGGTGCTTGGAAATCACCAACTGCGGCACCAGATCCGGAAGACGAGCCCCCGGGTGTTCGTGTTGGATCGTGAGGGTTTGTCGTCTTCGTGCCGACAGTATTGGCGGCGAATTCCGTTGTAGTGGTCTTGCCCAGAATCAAGGCGCCAGCCTGACGGAGCATGATGACGCTGGCAGCATCCACTTCCGGCTGGTCATTCTCATAGATCGGCGAGTTGAATTGGGTCGGCATGCCTTTCCATCATCAGATCGTAGCAGGGGCGTGTTGCAAATGATTCACCAGACTGTACCTTTTGTGTAGATGACATCTTTGACCGCAACGGCGATGCCGTGAAGTGGGCCACGCTGGTCTTTGGGCACTTTGTCCAGTGTTTTCGCCTGCTCCAGGACTTGGTCCGGATCCAGATATGCCCACGCCTTCACGACATTATCGCGAGCGCCAATGTGTCTAAGCAGAGACTCGGCGTATTGCGCGACGGTGAGATCGCCGGACTTGTACTTGCCCAAGACTTCTGTTGCGGTCAGCTGGTACGGCTCGGTTGACATCTTGGAAGACACGATGCTGCCTGCAAACATGAGATGCGATTCAATGTCTGTCCACTTTCATGGCTTGCCATGCTTTCATATCGATGACATCCGTTATCGGCGATGTGATAGGCCGTGTTGGCCGCAGACGACATGATGTTGCCCAGCAGCGGCCGGCGATGATGGGCCTTCAGCGATGTCTGTCCTGTAGAGTGCACGAGTCGTTGAATTATTCAAGACGCGTTGTCAATGGCAGAAAAAGTGCTGAGTCGCGTTGGAGACAAGGAGGCAAGAAAGAGGAACGTGCTTTCGTGTAAATTTCGCGTTCCACCAATTCCCGGATCTGGCGTCTTCTCTTCTCTTCTCTTTCTGAATCTCACCTGCTACAGTATTCTCCGAAGACGAGGGACTTGTGTTGCGCTCACGAACGCTCCAAGCCTTCGACATTTGATGGCAGAAGCTGCCTGACACCCTCACAATTCTGCCGCCGGACCTTGCACCGTCGATGACGACTGCTGACGAGGCCCGAAATCTCAATGTCTCTTGTTTTGGTAATATAGGCGGAACGACGTCCGCCGAATACGCCGGGTAGACACCTCACCACAATACTGTTCATAGCTCGGCACAGATATGCTCAAGCGCCAAGCTTCTATCGCTCAACGACCACTTCTTGGGATACTGTGTACATGCTGTGCGTGGACATGGAAGCCATACTCACATTCTACGTCACTGGAGATGAAGGCTTCATGGCTCCGCGCCTTCCTGGCTTGAGTCAATGACGTTTACCCGGTTACCGTGCATGCGCCGTGTCATTCACAAACCCTACGGGCAGCTCCCCAAATACGCGCAGCTCCCCAGCATAACGCTTAATAATGTTATCACCGATTGGCCCCGACAGATGCACAGATGGCATCACGTTTGACAGCTGCAAGCAAAGCCTGAGCACAGAGCAGCATTCTATAAATCCACCCTTGCCACCTGAGAGGTACAGCGTCACGTCGCAAAAGGACATTTCGAAAATTAGCAGACACCCCAAGATTCCACCTTCCTACAGCCAAAATGACAACCAACCAAGCCGCGTGGATTGATGGCCCGGGCAAGGAGTTCAGGGTATGATCCCATGATAGCCCACGGTCACAGATCCGACTCTACAATGCTAATTTCGTCCAGGTTGGCGAGAGCAAGATCCCAACTCCTGGTGCCGATGATGTAGTTGTGAAAAATCACGCTGTGGCAGTGAACCCAGTCGACTGGAAGATCCAAGACCACGGTCTGTTCATCAAGGAATGGCCAACCGTTCTCGGCTGCGATATTGCTGGAGAGGTGCATGAAGTTGGCTCCAACGTCAAGCAATTCAAGAAAGGCGACCGCGTCTTTTCGTGAGTCTAACGGGTCCCGCATCTGTTCTTGCCATACTGACATACTGTGTAAAAGCCATGCGATTTCACTCGCCACCGGGGATCCTGCAGATGGCGCCTTCCAGCTGTACACCAAGACGCAAGCCGTGCTCGCGGCCAAGATTCCAGACTCAATCTCGTACAACCATGCCTCCGTCCTGCCACTGGCTGTCGATACTGCAGGTCACGGGCTCTACGACTCGAGGGAAAAGGGCTTCATGGGCCTTCCTCACCCATCCCTCGAGCCAAAGCCTTCTGGCAAGACGATCCTCATCTGGGGTGCCTCTGGCTCCGTCGGTGCCCTCGCAACTCAGCTCGCCACCGCTTCGGGTGCCAAGGTCATTGCTGTAGCCAGTGCACGCAATCACAACTTCGTCAAGCAGCTTGGCGCTGCTGAGGCCTTCGACTACAACACCAGCTCTGTCGTCGATGATGTCGTCAAAGCAATCAAAGCAGCTGGTGGAGACTTCGCTGGTATCTACGACACGATCTCCACCCCAGATGCTAACAAGTACGTTTTCGAAATCGCGGAGAAGATCGGCGGCACCAACGTTTGCATCACTCTTCCGCCACCAGAGAAAGTCCCCTCTTCTGTGAAGCTCGGACAAGTCTTCGCTATCAACAACGCAATCAACGGCCCTCTTTGGGAGAAATACCTCACTCCAGCGCTAGAGCAGGGTAAGCTGAAGGCCGTGCCGGAGCCATTGGTTGTTGGAAAGGGTCTCGAGAGTGTGCAGAAGGGCCTCGCCAAAAATAAGGAGGGTGTCAGTGCTAAGAAGGTCGTGATCGAGCTCTAAGCAAAGGAGAGCTGGAATCCTACAGTAGTCAAGTTGCTTGGTCAGCTCGGAGCCTGAGACAAAGCCCATACAACGAAATATCACCCATAATATCTTGACCATTTCATCTATCCTCTGATCTTATTGGACCCTTGGGATGCTCTGCGGTCGTTTGCGCTTGCTCTCCTTGTGCTGACGAAGCCCTTGCCGCTCCGGGAAGCTCGGTGACGCCAGATCAGGCTATATACATGTAAAAAGTTGTCACTGGCCCACGTTGCGCTCGCCAATTAGATGAGCGCGCTAGATTCCAGGGATCATACCCCCGGCATCGAGGTTGCTTGGCTCAATGGTAGAGCGTCCGCCTCCTAAGCGGAAGGTTGTGGGTGCGTTTTCCCGATAGCTTGAGTTATGTGGATCGGTAGGCTTACTGTTGAATAGGTTCGAGTCCCATGGTGATCGACTTCTATCGAGCGCTCTTAGCGCTTGTTTTTTCTTTTTGGACTCTGCCTTTCTTGTCGCGCATCTCTCTCACTTGTAGAGCAAGCACAGCAAATGTCCGTGAAAGTCGGGCACAGGCAAGCGAAGGAATTCCGGCGGTGTGGATGGCTGCGGACGAAAATGCGTCGCTTGAATTTCCAGCGAGATCCTTAAGCAATTGCGGACTTTAGTATCAATCTCCATTTAACATACAACGATTTGACAAGCTTCGAATCAATTTTTGCCTAGCCACTTGACACCTGTGATATCGATTTTACCCCGCCACAGTCTGATGTGCCCTATGATAGGCTTGGCAGACGACATCGGCGTTGTCGGCGAGGTATTTCTCCGATGGGCACGTGCATAGCCACGTCGGCGATGACTTCTAGAACAACGGCAGGCGGCACTGAGACGACTGTGAGCAACATACTGGACATTTCTAACCACCTCCTAATAGACCTACTACCGGCCCACCCTTGCAATTGGCAGACCTTCTTTCATACGCGTGTGACCCCAGCAAACCGCAAGCATCCGCAGCGACCGTCCTCTTTAGCGCCTCCAACTCTCCGTCTCCGGCGACTCACAGTACCAACACACCGTCTCTAAGGGCAACTCCGCTCCACAGCAGCGTTCTTCACAGCGACAGAATCTACCTCCAAAATGGCGCAAGAAGGCCAGACATCCATCAATATTCCTCAGATTATCGCAGTCGCAGTCGTCGGCTTCCTCGCGTTTCGATGGTTCATGAGCAAACCCTCAACACTCGCCGGCGGTTCCTCTTCACGGCGCAACAACACCATAGACATCAACAAGATCGAACAAGTGGCCTCTGTCTTCCCCCAACTAGACCGACGGAGTATAGCATGGGACCTGCAGCGCAATGGCGGAAACGTCGAAGCGACGACGGAGCGGGTATTAGGCGGTAGAGGTCTGGAGGTACCACCTCCCTCTTTCCAGCCGAATATACCTCAAGCCGCAGCACCCGCGACGGCACAGAGCACGGCAACGGAGGGCAGGGGCAAGGCGACAACACAGCAGGATCTGATCACGAGGTATGGATTGCAGGCGAGGGTTGGAGGGAAAGGAAAAGAGCCTGTGCCCAGTGATGAGCAGAAGAGAAACACATGGAGCGCGGACAAGACGTCGAGGGCTGCGGCTTTGAAGAAGCAGAAAGAGGACATGATATTGGCTGCGAGGAGGAAGATGGCGGAGAAGGAGGCTCAGCTGTAGAGGTGGAGAGGGATGGGCTCTTGCATGGGCTTCTTACACGGGTTGGATTGCGTTGAGCGAGCGGGATACTGTGGATAAGATGTGCATATTGAATGTTCCTTGTTAGCATACAAGAGAATGGATGCTCAGAGTCCGCTCGTGTGACAGCTGTTACCCATGTCTGGCGCTGCTTCGAGAGGGCACACTGGTCGCAAGCATTATGTCATCGCTATGAATTGATGCTGTCTCCAGCCATGCCGAGAAGCAGGAAAGGAAGTGTTAAGGTAGCAAACCTTGTCAAAGTGTGGACCAGTACGTATGCTACTAGTCACGTGACATTATATCTCCGCTCCAGTACGCCTGTCCCTGATAGCCTCGCACTCTTTGAGCCACAGAACCTCGAAAACCTCTCGACGCGTCCCAAAGCCATTTATTCCAGCATCGCATGCGAGCGACCCAGCATGCGCATGCCGGGGTCCGTGCGCTGCAAGGGTGCTCTGTGCGCCTAAACTCTAATCTTGTCGATCCGCCAAGCTATCTCGACAAACCTCAGGCGCCTCGCGTACCGCAAATACTGAGAGCTCCATTGTCTACTTAGCTATCCAACACAACTCATTGTCTGCGGTACCCGCGCGCATTTCGACCGACAGAGCCCTACGACGACGAACTACGATTACGCGCGCAAGAGAAGGTGTACAACAGCGTTGGAGAGGCCAACGCAGGAGCGCATGTGAACAAGAGATCGAGGGAAGTGAGATCGATCCAGCCAGTGAGTCTGGAAAGAGCAGAAGATGAATACAAGATCTGGTAGGTCAGCTTTTTGATTCCCACGCAGCACTCGTGTTTGCTGCATTTCCTCCGACGACTGCACCCGCACACCCGCTCCTACACCCCATCGCGTCGCAGCTTGAGCCTTGCGAAACTTCCTCGCACACACACGGACATGCAGTCGCGCAGGAGGAAACGCGGCAACAAGAAGGATCGCGTCGCGTTGGGTCCTGCGGCTACCTCTCATCCAGACGTCGATGTTCCATCTGTGAAGAATGCGGCTGACAGTGACTTCCCTGAAGCAGGGAGCAATCCTCCCATCCGATCCATGAATATGAATACATACGGCCCTCAGCAAGCGTCACGCCAGACACCGCGATTACAAAACACACAAAAGCCGGGCTTGGGCGGCAACAACGCAGGAGGATGGGCATTCGGGCCCCCTTCATCGGGAGGCTTCGGAGGACTAGGCGCCGCACCGGGACTGGGACAAGCACGGCCAGGACAGCTATCGGGCTTCGCGCAGGTCATGGGAGGAGGTAGTGGGCAGGGTCCCATCGACATGAGGTAAGTCTTCACTTTCGTTTTCCACTTCGTCCATCTTGGAGCAGGCAGCAGCGGCGGCGGCAGCACGTGGACAGATACAACAAACGGCGGGCTCTTGGGGCGGTGCAGAAGTGAGGTTTCTGTGGAAGGAGCGACCCTCGTTTCTGGCGTAGAAGCAGCGGGTTGCATCATCGCCGCCGCTTCACTGCGGTGCAAACGGCGGCCAGAACTTCAAAACATAAGAAGCCCGCTGCCCCTCGACAAAATTTCTTCCACGCCGACACGCATTCGCACGGAACATCAACTTCGAACACTTCTTACTTCCACACACATACTTCTCTCGCTATTTTGGCGCTATTCGCTACCGGTCACTGGGGAACCTGGATCTCTGGACTCTGGACTGCTGGAAACCCCTGGATTCTGGACTGCTGGATCTCTGGACTTTGGGCCGCCACGCCCGCATCGCACCAGTACTTCTATCGAAATCTGCGGACTGCCAAAGCCGTCACCAGCTGTCTTCTGCCAATTGCCAATTGCCAGCCTGCCAGCCAGTAGCCGCCGCGACTGCGGGCATCATGAATCGTGGTGTCAAAGTAGTCAAATGGAACGAGCTTGACTACGAGTCTGACTCTGGTTCCGACTCCGAGATCTCTTCAATGCATGCTGACATTGATTCTTCTAGCGACTTCCCGTCTCTCGGCGGCCAGCAGCCACGCGCTCAGCAGTCCACCAGTGGTTGGAACAGCAGCGCCATCCGCCAGCAACAGCAAGCCCAGGCCCAAGCCGCTCTACCACAAGCTAGTGCTCCACAGCCGCAACAGCAGCGCGCTCCGTCTGCTACGCCCCTTGATCAGTACGATGGCCAGAGCGCCCCGCAGCCCCCTGCCGACCACAGCGGTAGCGGTAAGACATTCCTCGACTCAAGCCATGTCCATCAGCTGACAAGTCCATGACTACAGGCGAGGAGTTTCCGCCACTCAGTGGTCAGCCGGGCGGCGAGCCTGTGAGGTCCGCCAACGGCTATGCTGGTACCATCGAGTCTCCAGATCAGTCGAGTCCACAACCCAGTGGCCCATCGGCGCAATTGCCTATCCGCGAGGCAGCCTCCAGCGGCACAAACCAGCAGGCGCCAATTGGCTCCAATCATGCTTCGTCGGCCTCTCCCGCTCAATCTGTCTCGCAACAGTCGCATCAGACCCAGAGTGGTCACGGCAGCTATCCAGGAGTCTCCAAGCCCTGGGCTGAGATGACCGAGCAGGAGAAATACGGCATGATGGGACTCCAGAAGCGGTTCGAGACTATTGAGGCGTACAAGACTGGCCGTCCTGGCGACCCCACGTTACCGCCTGAAGTTAAGAACCCCTGGATCTGCGTGGGACATGACATGAGCGGTATCGACGTAGAGCTTGAACAGCCCGGCCACTCGCTCCACAAGACCTTCCACCCTTTCCCAGACCTCGGTCAACTGAATGCTTCGCCTTTCAACAGCAGAGCACGACAGCCGGTTCCGACTTTCGAGCTGCCACCTGCCTATTCGGTCAATAATGTTCCGGATTCTACTGTTAGAATGCCGGCTTTCGGCGATGGTAAGTGGCCAGTCCGTACGTGGGTCATGTATCACGCATATTGATTTTTTCTGCAGAGACGCTGTTGGTGATCTTCTACGAATCTCCGCACTCCGCCAATCAAGACTTGGCTGCCATGGAGCTCACCGCTCGCGGTTGGCGCTACCACAAGGTCCTTCGTGAATGGCTGCGACAGGAGGGCCGCGAGGGCAACAGCTCTGGAAACCCACCGCTAGTCGACCTTGCGCAGGACTATCCACCCGGCACTCCCGCCGTTCCAGACCCAATGACGAGGATCGAGAAGGGCATCTACATCTTCTTCAATCCTCCAAAGTGGCAGCGTGAGCGCCGCTTCCATTTCCTCAACTACGACGAGCTCTGCGATCGTCACGTCTGGAGCGGCACGGAATTCGTCAGCCCATTTCCTCCGGTCGGTGGCCAACCGATGCCGAATGCGATGGCTACTGGTATGGGCGCAAGCAGAATGGCAAGCAGCCAAATGGGAGGCGCGGATCCACAGGGTTCTGTCATGTCTGGCGCCTAGGAGGCAATAGCTTCACAGGGTCTTGATGCGTCTAAGTCTCAGTCTCGGCTTCAGTCTGAGCTGCAGTCTCTGCTTCAATCTCAGCAGCAGTCTCAGCAGAGAGACTTCGACCGAGAGCGTGCTTCGAGACAGAGTCAAACTGCCGTGCCGCCGACTGCTTCCGGTTCCGGACCGACCCGTTCTGCGTACAGCCAGCCCTACTCTGCCAGCGCAGGCCCATCTGGCACGCAGCCATCCTCCAACCGCGCAGCTCCAGTCAACACCACTGATGTCACCGAATCCGACTGGCTCCCAGGTTTGGGTACGGTCCGTCCCTCATCCCGCAACATCACGATGAACCATCCAGTCGTTCCTCCAGGCTTCGGCAACCCCGCTCATGGCCGGATGAATTTGGCGGGCGGCGGAGGGTTCTACTTCGTGAAGAATGTCTGGGATTCGAGCATCAACAAGGACACTCCTCTCCCAGAGGAATACAAGGGCAAGGGAAAGGGCAAGGCTAAGGAGAAGAAGTGAGGAGTGAAAGGAGAAGGAGGTGACCCTCACGACAGGAGGAAGGGCACTGAGCCACTGGATGCATTTTGGTTTTGCTTTGAACTACCACTACTGCGGCTTTTGGGTTGGTTTGAGGTCTGAGGATAGGCTCGAGATTCCTTTCTTGAGTACACTGTCGCCTTCTACTACCCGATGATGCGATGCGATGCGATGCGATGCGATACGAGGAAAGGGAGGGAGGGAGCACACAGCGTAATGGCTAGAAGGAATCACCGGGGACTCTGAGAGGAGACACTGGTTTTTTTCTTCTTCTCTTGGCCGTTAGTTACTATGCGTTGCTGCTGCTGTACATTAGCCTCTCGGAGACCTCGAATGAGACAAAGAAAAATGGATGTTTGAAACCCCCCAAAAAACTTGTTCGTTAAGGTACTTTTGCTCGATTTCCCTCTGTCTCTCTCTCTCTCTCTCTCTCTCTCTCTCTCTCCCTCTCTCCCTCAGACGGCTATCGAATGCTAATTTGATTGATTGATTGATGAAAAGTCCCGCGGGTGATTCCAGACGCTTTTCCGACAGACACAGCCAGCGGGCTGCTGCTAATCTTTTGTTTTTCAACAACAACAAATCAAACCTCGTAGTAATAATATATTAATAATAATACTCTGACCCTCTCCAATCTCCATCGCGCTTTCCTCCCCCCCGTTTGCTCTTGCTCTTGCTCTTGCTCGAAGATCTTCTCATGTCTTCTGCATCGACGACGGCTTCTTCCTCTTCTGCGTCCTCCAATTCCAACCCGGCCATGCAGTGGTCTTCCAGTCTCTGCGCCGCGGCGGCGGCTCTTCTTCTGGCGCGTTGTGCGGCAATCACTGCGTCGCCGCGCTCTAGGAGGAGGAGAGTCTTATTTCGCGGAGAGGGAGGGGAAGAAGGCGGGGAGGGAGAGTTGTGATGATGTACGATGGGAGGAGGAGGAGGGGGAGGGGCGGATTTTCGAGTTGAGAGGACGGGATGGCGGGGGAAAGGGGAAGGAGGAGGAGAAGGGGAAGAAGGAGGCTGAGAAGAAGCTCTTCGCCTGGCATCTGCCTGTGCGCGCTCACGGGCCATCTGGGCTTTTTCGGCTTCCATTTTGCGTTGGAGTTCTGTTTCTCGTCGGCGTCCGAAAGAGGGAGAGGGTCGTCGGGTGGTGGTGCCCTCGAGTGCGTCTGGTGGATCGCGATAAGCTTCAAGTGGACGGGTTCGTTGTCGGCGGTGTTGGTGGAGAAGAGCGGCTTCTTCGAGACGTTCTTGTTCCCAGCGGGCTTCTTGTTCGGCTTCGTCTGGTTGGTTTGGGGTTTCAAGGGCAGGATCTGCTCGGTCGCGCGATGGTCTCTTGCCTTTGGAGTCTCTCCTCCGGGTGCTTTGGATCGCGGGAAGATTGCTCAGGCCGGGAAGTGAAGGGCTTCCAGAGGAGGGCTCAAAAGCTGGAGAGCTAGATCCAGCATCGATGATGACCACCCTGCTCGGTCTACGTTTGCGGTTTGAGGGAGCTCGTAGCGGTGGCTCGGGCTCGGGCTCATCTACGGCGGCTGACGAGGATCCACGTCGTGGTAGAGAAGCACGCTCGTTGATAGGGGCACGGGGTATTTCCAGAGACGGAGGACGAGAGTAGATCGCGGTTCCATCTGGTCCGACCGTCCTGGTTGGGTCCGGAGGCGAGGTGGGCGATATCAGGCCCGGCCGCCGAGCTGATGGCAGCGTCGTCGATATTGTTGGCGGCATAGGTGTTGATGGGCTGACCTCTCTGTATTTTGGTTGCAGAGGAGAGGGATGACCCAAGACGCTATCGACTGGCGATCGTTCGTTGTCTGGAGGTATGTTGGAGTATCGACGAGTAGACTCCCTCTTGCTAGTTGTTCTAAAGAGCGGATGGTAGGTTCTTTCACGGCCGCCTCTGTCAGTCGTGACAACTTGTCCAAGTGGGGAGCTTTTGCTTGAGGATGGCCTGGCCTCTATCACTCTGGCGATCTCGACGTCTTTGTAGTCGATGTAGCGGCAAAGCCGGTTTCCAGAAGCGTGGTGACAGGTGCGGGCTCTCTCGACGACGTCTCGACGGCCGTCAGAGTGGACATATGTCCTTCTTTCGACGACGCACATGGTCACGATAGTACAACAAGTGTATGGATGCAAGGGCGAGGACAATGTTGGATGTAGCCTGCAGGTACTTAAAGTGCGGGTGGCAGCTGGTGCCTATTGGAGCGTCACAAGATAGTGTTGGCTTGGCGTGGCTGATGAATGTCCGCAAGAAAAAGTCGGGTAATGTTCGCCAACCGATTGACTCATTCATGTTCCTGCCGTGACAGGTCTGGTTACGTAGTACGCACGTTCTCCTGGTTAGGGATGTGGCGAGGCTAATCCGGGTGGGTCGTTCCAAAGAGCCGGTGTTTGTGTGTTGCCCATCCAGCACAATGGCCAAGCCGGCTGTTAACGAAGGTGCGATTGTTCTTCACGGCAATGCAGTAGACAATGTACCTGTAGGTCTAGCAATCAGCTGAGGCTCAGGCTTGATGCCGCAAAGGCCACTTTCATTCCTTTCATTCATGTGGGCAGGGGTCGTTGGTCTATTTGTACTCTGGCAGTCTCTTGCCTCAAGGACGCCCATCGAGTGCGCGCATGTTTCCGTACATGATGGTCTCTCTCAGCGAGCAAACGGTGGTCGCTGCACGGAGATGGGATACTGCACCGCCTCTGCACGCGTCCTTGGTGCGGAGGAAGAGGACAGAGAACAAGAGGCGACGGGTAACCGAGGACCGGGGGCTTTCTTTCCTGCATAGCGGTGGCTATTTTGAACACAATCCACCGTTTCTTGATGGTTGTCTGCGCCTCAGGCACGGAAGCGAAGGGCGTCCTCAGGAAAGAGGACGGCCCCCATTGTCGTCGTCATCTTCGAGCGCGTAGGCTCACTATCTCCGCTCCCTCACACATGTCTCGCGATGTTTTGTGTGTCATGATCTAGCGATTTTGCTGCATGACTCTGCCTGTGATGCTTCGAAAGGGTTGCAAGTTTGCGCTTTGGGGTGCTTTCAGGTGCGGAGGCTGAGTGAGGGCTGAGTGATGAAGCCCCAATGCACGGGCCGCTATACCAAAGTCCTCCAGCCCCTGCCATTTGCATGTCACTCTGCAATCACGGCGTCGCAATGCCAGCTGCAACTGTCGCTCACAAACACAGTGTCGTCATCCTCGGTCGAGATCCACGCACCCCCATTGCCAAGTTCGTGCTTCGCTCTGAGGACATCGAAGCAAACTCGCCAATCATCAGCAAGGCAACTCTAGCAAACAATTAAATCTCAACCGTGCCTGTTCCGCAATCCTCCATCATGCAGACCCATGCCAGCTGAAAGCATTGGCGCCACCATGTCGCATTCGACGCTCTCGTTTAGCAGGCGGTGATGATGTAGAAAGAGAAAAGATGGTGCTCTGCTCTGCTCTGTCAAAGAAGCATCGTGTGTGCATTATATCATTACGTTCCTTCGTCTCGATCGACCTGTCCAAATCTTGTCAACTTGGTACCTCTTTATACATCTCGACAATATTTCATAATCGTCGTCATGAACGACAGTGAGCTAGGTAGGGTGCAACAACAGCCAAAGTCATGGAAACGCTGGTGGGTATCCTGTGCGAACGCTCTCTCATGTCAAACCGGAACTCCGATCCCCTGTCTCGCCGTGCGGTCACATACGCGAAATACCTTCTTCACATCAATCGTGGTTCTCATTCGTACGTCTTCACGCCTGGGCTGCCTTGATCCTACTCGGTGGAAGCTTGAGCTGAGACTGGTCACTCAGCCTGCCCTTCGCCGCGGTCCTATGCCTCGCGGCCTGCTGTAGCAAGAACATCCTCCTCGCCATGATACCCTCGTCGACGAACAGTTCAAAGTCCAGCAAGAAGCAAAGCGCGACCTCCAGATTCATGAGTTGATGGTTGCTGATGCCTCCCACTTTCGCAACGCGCTCTTGTGCCCACTTGTTATCCTCCACGGCTTTTGCAGCGATTCGGATTGCAGCGAGTGACAGGCGATGGATCGTACGAGTCGTGATGGGGAGGATGTTGGAGGAGATGCAGAGAGCGTGGATGTATGCGACGGCAGTGAGGTAGACTCCACTCGAGTGCGGGCAGAACTTGTGGAGGCGCAGGAGGTACTCGATCAAGGTGAATGGAGGGGCGACTTTGGAGAAGAAGCGCCTGGCGATGGCAGCCTGCTGAACCGCGAGATCCTCCGCACGTGAGCCGACTTGGACGGTGATGGGCTCATGGGGGTGTGCTTCAGGACTGGTCATCTCTGGCATGGAGGGAAGCCCCTCCGCTCCCACGGCCAGTGTGCGAGAGGAGGAGACTCGGCGCATGTGGCCCTTGCAGGCGTCCAACTTCTGATGAGGGGTGGAAGGACGGGAGACGGGTGGGGTGGGAGGGACGTCGCCGGTAGCTTCCGAGAGCTTCTGGAGCGTTTCGGCGAGCATGCGCAATGCGCCGTGGGCAGAGACGGAGGTGACATCCCAGCGCTCGTTGTCGAGGACGAGCGGGTCGTCTGTCTTGGCTGGGGGAGTGGCATCAAGCGGTACGGCGGCCGTCGCATCGTCTACGTTCGGATCGGGAGGCGGAGGCGGCGATGCAGCGGACGCTGTCACGTGGACAGCGACGGTGTCGGAGGCACCATCTTCCATGCCTCATCAGATCAGTGCACAGCGTGCGTGGGTGAGGATGGGATGGCGAGGTGTGGGCGAGGGCGAGATGGGCGTCGTGGGCGTCATATGAGCTGGAGGCCTCTTCTCCTCCGATCTTCCACTGAATGGAATCGCTCTTGCCTGCGGAGCTCGCTCCCCACCGCACAGTCCAGTTGTGAGTCCATGCAAGACATCACACTCTCACCTGACCTTCTGCCACCTTCAACTTCTCTCCACCTTTCAACATCGACGACGAGGCCCACGAGTCCAGGCTCCGTCTACCGCTCGGTTTGGCCCTCGGCATGTCTCTGTCACACCCCAAAGACCGATGAGAAGCACCAAGGCTGATCAACCTGAACATGCCTGTGTGCCCCTCCCGAAATCTGCCCATTTGGAGCTTGATGCATATATATGAGAGAGCTCACCTCACACTGGCGCATGCAGGGTCGGAATCATCACAGCCAACATGGCGGAACGCGGCGCGGCCAGACTCATCAAGAGCCCCATTGTGCATGTGTGATGTGTACTACGTACCTCACCACAGTCACACTCACCTCTCTCGAGACTTCACCACTGGGACTGCATGATTCAGCGGAACCCTCCAGCTGCATTGCTGTTCGACTCCTCCATCCTCCGCGACTCTGCCCTGTCCTCGAGACTAGTAAATCCATGGAAGAAGGCGGTACGGCACCTTCTTTCGCACTTCTTCCCATTGCTCGCCGTACTGCAACACACGATTAGCCAACACAACACAGAGGAGGAGCGAGCATCTGGACCTACCCTCTTCTCACAGTACGCATCCATGCTTGGAATCGCTCGGTTGATGAAGTCACCCGCAAGAAAGCTACACATCATACCAGCCCAGACCCATCCGCCGCAGATGAGACTGTACCCGCTTCGCCAGAGAGTATATCCGCCGTAGTTGATGTTGCGAGCGAGACTGAACAATCCGCCGGAATATGGCTTCCCCTGGTTGTTGGGTTCCTTTTTGAACGACTTCCTCTGAATCTCACACCACCATTCCGTGAAGAGGCCAACCGAGTAGAGCGCCAGCCCAACTTGCAATGCTGGCGGAGCCGAGAGCAGGAATGCCTTCAGGCTCGATTGATCCGTCGGCTGTTGCGACGAGATGGCCCAGAGCGCAAGCAGTGTGTTGAGACTGTTCAGAGCGCTATTATAGACCGCGACAATACCCGAGAAGCCCGCAGGCATCACCGTGTCGCCGACAAAGAGCTTCCAGTAGATCTGCTTCAGACTGCTACCGCACGCCAGTCCAAAGACGAGAGAATGGTAAGGGCTCAGACCCAGAGCGGTCGTCGTAGCCTGTAGTACTGGTTGTGCAATCGGAGTCAACCCAATGCGTCGGATCATGTCAAGGCCGGTGCCAGACCTGAGCAACCACCATTGGAGCGGGAGGTCCAATGCTCGTAACACCGTGAAGCCCAGTGTGCCGTATGTTGAAGTGCCCTTCTTTCGAGACTCCCAGAACCAATCGGCAGGTTCGAAGCCAGCTTTGGATGGCGCCTTAGATGGGAGCCCATCCTTTGTTGAGGCCTTGTCAGCCATTCCACGTAGCAGTCAGTACGTCAATGAAATACTCTCCAAGTACCATATGTGTTGACGGATCTGTTTGACATTAAAGCGCGGCGGAGAGATCGAAGGGGGCGGAGGACTGCTCGGACTCCCGGCTTGGCAAAACTTAGCCGGTACCTCAATCTATCCACAAACTCCATCACCACAAGCATCTCCAGCCGATCTCGTTGGGGACTGTGTTGGACATTGGCGGCAATTCTACCCAGTCCGCCATGTCCAGGTCTCTCAATGCGCCCTCAGCGCGCCTGCTGCAGTCCTCGCGCCTCTTCTCCATCCCTCGACCTCTACCGCAACCAGCTTTTGACCAGGCAACATCGACAGGCGACTACCGCGCATCCGATACCGCCACCCTACCATATCCCGTTCAACAGGCCATCACCACTCCAGCATCATCACATTCTCGAGGAGACTTTGGTCTGAAACGTCCCTTGCCATCCAGAGCAATTCGAACTTCAACACCACACATCAAGGTTAATGCACATGACAACTTTGCTCACATCACCGACTTCGGCAGTGCTGCGAATCACACGCAGACAGAGGCAAAATGGAGGGAGATGAATGTACCGATGATGGCCAAGCCACTGCCCAGGACGAATTACACGAACAAGGAGCCCCCCCAAAGCGCCTACGACGACAAAGTTGACCATACCGATCGCGATGCGCTTCGAGTAGACGTGACTGAGAGACAGATGCAACAATCCGGTAGCAGTGGTCCTGAATCCACGGAGAAGAGGAGGTGGAAGTACGGGGGTCCGTGGGTGACGGGCATGTCAGAGGGCGAGTTTGAGATGTACATTGTTCAGACCATCTCGGCCCGGAAAGCTGAGTTCAAGGAGTTCTTGAAGGAGAAGATGCTTGATGCACGAGTACAGCAAGAGCAGAGAGCCTCGCGAGAACAGGGGGAAGGGCGTGTCACATACTATCGAAAGCAGGAGCTGCGCCGGGAAATCGAGGCAAATTACGAGAAGGAAGAGAAGAAACTCCGTGACAACCACACCGCGCAGCGTCTGAGTTCAGAGCTGACCGCAGCAATCTGCGACTTCTTGGACTTGCCTGGCATCCGAGCCCCGGGTCCAGCGAATCTCGGGCTTAATCTTGAAACTGAAGAGCTCAGACAGCGCCTGACTGAGAATATCGACAAGGGCGAGAACTTGAGTCCGCCAACGACGCATCCAGCTGCGGGACTGTCGCACCTGCGCTCCAGACTTTACATGGAGAATCACCCGGTTCACGGTCCCCAGGCCCATCGGTCGCCGGTTCTCTCGCGTGTCCTGAGAGCTCGCAATTCACAAATCGCCGCGTCGCTAAACAACGCTGTACTCGGTGTCGGCGGTGTTGTCGCTCTCGATCCTGTCTCAACTGGAATCAGGGTGGGTCGTCCCCGGAAACCGATCGACGGCGAAAATCAGCTGGAACATTACACCGAGTACACAAGGATGACGGACGCGCTGGATCAGGACATCAAGGGCGGAAACAAAATGTGGGTGCAGCCCGAGACTGCGTTTATCGATGAGAAGGGACGCGTCCGACTGCTGGTCAGCAGAGGAGATCAGGAAGCTGTTGCAGTCAAGACCAACAGGGTGCAGCACATCCATGAGGCTAAGAGTGCGAGCCTTAGCTCGCCTTCATACATTTCTCATGAGGGTGGCTATGGTAACTCGAGATACGGAACTCGTCTACCTGATATGAGGCACGCACGTCCGGGTCGATCACATGTACAAGGGTTTGACGAGGAGTTGGGCATGTCGTCGCAACAGGGACCGATTGATCGGGGAGCTGCTTCAGCGAGGATTCGAGAGTTGACAGGTGGCAGGATGCCGAACTCATGACGGGCTCGGTTGGTCTCGGCTGTGAATAGAGAAACCACTTATGGTATTAGTATACACTTTGCTTGTCAGACCAGATCTACTCATCATGTACAAGTGGAACCTCACTGCAGCCATCCTTCCACGTTCCAGTCCATAGCTTCTCTTGGCAAGCATAAGGTAGGTAAGGTACTGGTGCCGGGGCTCCACTTTCCTTTTCCGGCCCTTGTAGCTGGCTTCACCTTTTTCGTTTCACCTCAATTACAGCGATAACAACCACGGACGTTGAAGAATGACCCGGAACACCAGCAACCATACCAACATGACTTCATCAGACCCCATCGCCAATCCGAATTTGCCCAGCCCGCCTTCGGGCAAGTATCCGGCCAAGGCTCATGCGAGACGGGTTGCGAAGTGGATTGCGGAGAATGGAGGGCCAAAGGGTGGTGTTATTTATCTTGAAGGCCAGGGGACCAAGATGACTGAGGTGAATTGCTTTCATTGCGAGCGACTCATTTTATAGAATGACTGATGTGGCTGGATAGGACGATGATCAGGCGAGTCATTTCAGGTGAGTGAGTTGGATCCCAAACCCTCGACTATCTCACTCCCTCCATGGGATGCGAGAAGAAGAAGAGCGGGAATGCAATTTTTCATGGTGACAATTACTGATCTTTTTTTTTTTTTTTTTGTGGACAGACAGAGACGGCACTTCTACTACCTGACCGGCTGCGATCTCCCCGACTGCTTCTTCGCCTACGACATTGCATCGGACAGATCCACGCTCTGGATTCCCCCCGTCGACCCGGAATATGTCATGTGGGCCGGCATGCCTCTGCTCCCCGACGAAGCGCTGGAAAGATACGACATCGACGCCGTCCTCACCAGCGACGAGCTCAAGTCCGGCGAATCCCTCGTGCAAATGCTCCAGACACCAAACAACACCACCATCTTCGCCATCCAAGACCGCGCCGACCTGGCAATCTTCCACTCGGAACAACTCCAACCCCTCCAACCGCGGATAAACCACACCCTCGCCCGCCGCGCAATCGAACAATGCAGAGTGGTCAAAGACGACCACGAAATCGCCCTCCTGCGCCACGCCAATGCCGTCTCCTCGTACGCCCACGAACAGGTCCTCGCCAACGCGCACCGCGCTTCCAACGAGCGCGAACTCCACGCCCTCTTCGTCATGCACTGCCACGCCAACAACTGCAAAGAGCAAGCCTACGGCTGCATCTGCGCCGCGGGAACCGCCGGCTCCACCCTGCACTACATCCACAACGACCAAGCCCTCGCCGGCAAGCACAACATCCTCCTCGACGCGGGTGCCGAATTCCAATGCTACTGCGCCGACATCACGCGCACCTTCCCCATCACCCCGGACGGCACCTTCACCCCGGAGAGTAAGCAGATCTACGACCTCGTCCATCGCATGCAGGCGGAATGCTTCGCGATGATCCGCGCCGGCGTTTTATGGGAGGACGTGCACATGCGAGCCCACACCGTCGCCGCCGAGGGTCTGCGCGCTCTCGGAATCTTTTACCAGTCCCTGTCCACGCAACAGATTCTGGACTCGTACATCACCACGCGCTTCTTCCCGCACGGCCTCGGGCACTACCTCGGCATGGACACGCACGACGTCGGCGGCAATGCGAATTACGAGGATCCCAACCCTTACTTTGCCTACCTCCGCGTCCGAGGGCGACTGCCAGCGGGAGCGGTCATCACCAACGAGCCGGGGATTTATTTCCGCAGTTACCCGTTCCGAGCGGAGTTGAAGGAAGGGAAATGGGATGGGATTGTGGATCAGGAGGTTTTGGCGAGATACTGGGCTGTCGGCGGTGTGAGGATCGAGGATGATGTTGTGGTGAGGGAGGATGGGTATGAGAATCTGACGACGGTGAGGAGTGATTGGGAGTATGTGCAGGAGATGGTCAGCGGTGGGAGAGGACGGGAAGCTTGAAGATCGATTTAAATCCACTCAGCCCAGAAGTATCCATTCCGTCTTCGGTTGCATAGATAGCCAAACCTCTTCAATGACTTTCCCGATCAATTTCCTCTCCGCAACACCATTCCCATCTCGTTCAACCCACATGATGTTGCAGATCGCCCAGTCATCCCGTCTCTTATCTCTGGCATTATGTTCCGCGATCTCAACAGGACGTCTGCGCGGATCTGCCGTACCAGACTCAGGCCAGAAAACATCGTCAAAATCATTCGAGAACGACAGGAAGATGCACTCGAGGGCAACTCGCGGAGCCTGCAAGGTGTTGGCCGTCTCCTCGGACATGATCATGGTACCTGCAAATTGACCCAGAGCGGTAATGAGAGAGTACGCCTTGGCCGGCTGCGGCTCGAAATAGCTATGGTCGTCCCATGCAATCTCGAATCCGAGATGTAGACAGCAGGTGGTGGTCAAGAAATGGAGACATCCGCCACCGCGAGGCAAGATCTCGGGCTTGATACGCGGTGGTGGCTCGTTCGTCCGGCCAAGATCGATTCCGCAAGGTGGCTTGCTTTCAGTGCTCCTCCATATCGAAGGGTGTTTCTTGTGTTTTGGCATTGGCATCGACTGTCCCTTTTGATCCACGAGATACCAGCTGACCGAGGTAATGATGTTACTAACATCATTATTCACTCCAGACGTTGCCAGATCCCACACTACCCCGACACCCACATTGCTGAACCATCCCGCCCAGCTCCAGCTAGGAATCCTCTCATTGTCGAGCCAGATCTTTGGCCGCTGGCAGAAGGTACGCGGTGTCCAAAGTAAGCACACATCAAAGTATGCCTCTGGTATCCCGAAGTGTATTTTCAAGGATCCAGACTTGTCAAACTGCTGGAGCAACTGTAGCACTCCCATTATCGCATTGACGCCATCGTTTGGATAGGCCATGCGTCGAAATGTGTATCTGGTCACTACGTCTCTGTACGCAGATAGTGCATTGCTATCGTTTTCGATGAACCAGTCATGAAGGTCATAGGTTGAAAGCTGGAAGCACCTTGAGGGGGGCTGGGAAAGATCTGGCAAGAGCCGTGGAACGAAGTCGTCTTCGCCAGGCTCAGTAGGCTCAAGGACAACGCTTTCGCGCCAGCTATCGCATTGACAGAGCCAATAGGCTTGACTCGGTCCGAACATCAACGCTCGCCGTGCCAACATGGATTCTTGGTAAGTCCAAGCTCGTCTGCTCCAAGTCGTGTCCTCTGTGTCCTCTTTATATGTGGGCTGAGCTAAGGCAAAGGTCGTTCCTTGAAAACGACTCGTGACTGAATGAGTTTGTCGTAAACGAACTCCGTGAATGCCATCGCTGGCACTTTGACAAGCCGCAGCAATGATGACGATCTCTGCGCATTTGTATATGCGATCAATCTGCTGCAGCTGATGTCGTTTATCTTGGTTGACGGCTGGTTTCTGGGCAATGCACACGGAGTCTACCCAGAGATAGCGTAGCCCGAGCTCAGAAGTGGCGTGGATAGCGTCTTCCAGAGTCCTGGGCAGCTCCGGCAGCAGATATGAATCGTTCGGCTTCTGAGGAAAGTCGTTTTCGTGCATCAAAAATTGATGTCGAGGATCGCCCCAGACATAGCTAAGTGCACTGTATTGGCAACCGGCTGGCGCAGCGACGATCGCTCTGGTCTCGATGTCGATGACCCGCAGGCCGACAGGCTCTTCGATTTGCAGCCACTCTGGATGTGAGCATCGCTTTCCGTGTACGATCTTGCAAAGGCGCTGCCACTGGCGGATGAGGTGGAAATCGACTTGTCCCTGCTTCAACAGCCTGCCGTGGAACTGCCAAGTCGAACGAGGCAATTCTGTATCAGCAACTATGATGATGTCCCTCCTGTACGAAAATGGCGCAAGCTTTATTTCAGGCCTTAGATGAACGGTCAGATGGCGTGTATCATGTCCCGTAAAACGAGGCGGCCGCTCATCCCCGACGCGGTTCCGAGTAATGCCATCAATCTTCCCGTTCCAAAGATCTCGGTCGTCCCAGTAACCTGGCCAGCTGTTGTCGGATTGTACGAAGCATTCGGCGTGCGTCTCATCAGCTGAGAAGGCTGTCGGAGCGGCTCCAGTGGTAACGCAAGTCTTGATCAAGAAGCAAAAGCTGCATGTCTCGGCTCGGCTCGCGATCTCGTGGAGGCGCCCAATTGACACTTGGGCGCTTCCAGAGCGAAGCTTTGCAAGGTCTAAGTTGATGCACTGAGAGCAGAGCTGGTCCATGATTCCTGCTGAGTTTGAGAAGAAAGAGCTGGGTCATGATTCCTGCTGCGTGAGAGAAGAAAGTGGTTTGAGGAAGGCTCGTCCTTACCAAGACATGGAGGGGCCTCCGCAGGTCACCGGCGGCTACTTACATACTCATCAACCAACAGCAGGAAGTAGCAGTCCATCTCCTCGGCATCTTCGGCATCTTCGGCATCATACCTCATCGCTGGCAAGATGGGCAATCATAAAGTCGGAGCACTCAGGCTACATGTGGTAGCCCTTGGCAAGCATGACAAGATCCCATGTCTTTGATACAATGGCCGCTAGCATCGAAGAACTAGCCCGTACCCGTGTCTCCCTCATCCGTGTATATATTCATCTTCAGCATCCGCATCCTGAGGCGGAGCAGCTCGCTCAACCGCTGAATCCATGCTTCTTCTTCAACTCCCCAACATATGCGACGTACTGCTTCTGCGCCTCTTCAGCCGAGATGCCTTGATCGACCGTCTTCTGCCATTCCTCGCGCTTCTTCTTGCCCTACACAACCATGACCCGTCAGCTGTATGACGCTTGACTGTGAGCATTCTTGCTTACCGCGAAATCAAATGTGCTCGGCTTAGGCACAGTGCTGATATCCTCCCCCTTGCCGACCTTGTAGAGACCATAGAGCTGTGAATCATGTTGGCAACCTCCATGAAATGCTACTCAAGTTGTAGGTTTCCTACCTTCAGCATCTCATCGGTGCCAGGCTTGCTGTTCAGCTTCTGGACGTCCTCGGCCGCCTTCTTGAACGCGGGTGATTCGGTGACCATCTTGTCGATATTCCGTTTGAAAGAGCCGTGAGGTTTTAGATCGTAATGCTTGGGGAAGCGGTTTATGTGGGATGGATCTAAGTTGAGCGTTTGCAACCACGCTTCCCAACGTGGGGTCGGGCAGTGGCCGGAGTATATAATTACGTACCTAGGCTAGGCTCAAACCCAAAACTCGAACCCCGAAAACCTTTACACTTTAAAGATTTGCGTAGCGCCTACTAACTTTATTTTATTATTCTTTGATTATAGATTTACAAATATATTACTATAAGTATCTATAAATATAAAGAAATCTTATAAACTAATCTATTCTACTAGTTCTACTCTCTCTATAATTTAATACTAGATTCTACTATAGATTTAGAACTATATAGAGTATATATTAAGCTCTAGTAAACTATAAGTAACTAGTTATTATAGTCTAATCTAGTCTTATATTATATTAGTAGTAATAGCTTTAAGTTCTAAAAAACTAGTATAACTAGTACCTACTACTACTAAGCTAAGAAAGCTATTAGTATAGAGACTACTCTTAATAAAATCTTTGTATAGAAGATAGTAGTAGCGCTAATACTATTATATATTATAGATATATTAGAAAAGATAATATTATTATAGTAGTATATATAGAAGTAGATACTTACAGCTAGTATTATATAATAATAACTAGCTAATACCGTTTTTATGAACTCCGTTTTAAGGTACCTATATACTTACCTTACTTTAGCCCGTTACCGTACGGGCTTCCTACATAGCTATTTTCTTATAAGATCCTTAGCCTATATACTAAGGAATTACACTACACTTACTAAAGTAGTATTATACCTAAGTGTAAAAAACTCTAGTCTTAGTAGCC